GAGACAGCGAATGTAGCGTAAAACAAACTTTTTGTATTACTTTTTATTATTTAATAGCCAAGCTGTTATGGAAACAGGAATGGTGGAGGGGCGACGGGGATAACCTAAATTTTCAGTTAGAAACGAGAACAACAAGCAGTATAACGTAGGCCACGGCAGTGCTGCCACCTGCCACCCTTTGAGGGGGCATTACAGTTGGGCTTCCTTAACCAGAACTGGAATTTTAAACTTCGTTGATGTAATATCAATATTTCTTCAAAAAATAAATTATATCGTTATGATTTGCTATGATTTTTTTTTTCTAAATTCTGAATTCTCTGAAAATCTTTATTTTGTATGTTTAACAGTCTACCATTAAAAAAAATAATCTATGTGATCTAGACAATATTTAAAAAGGTTCCAAATTATGTTTTTTTTTTAAATTTGTTTTAACCATTTTTTCTATTTATTCATTTTTCACGTTGATTTGAGAGTCTTAGTTAGGGAAGCTGTACTGCATAGAATCCGGAGAGAAAGAACCTCAAAAAGAAAGCCAAGTTGCGTGCGGCGAAAAGTAGCTCCAATAATAATACAAGAAAACGCTGATGAAAAGCGAACGAAAGCGAGAGGACAAAGGTGGGGGATGGACTGGGTGACCAGTGAGTAGCAGCTGTGGTTCCACATAAAAACAAGAAAAAAATGCGGATTTAGCAAAAATAATGTGAATGTAAATGCGAACCACAACGAAATAAAAAGCAAAGCGCAAGTGACCCATCAAACACTGGCACACACACCACTCAATACTTACCGGTGACGTCATTAGGCTGTTGTCGACTGTCAATCGCTGGCTTTCCTTTTATTTTTGTTGCTCCACAAGTGAGTAAGTAAATGGCTGAGACTGCGTGGGGGTGTTTCTCCCTATGGGAGCCGCAGAAAAGCCGAAAGCGACTAACATATTGCTGACAATAAAGAAGAAAACCTAATACCCCACAACCAATGATTCCAAAGTTAACCGCTTTGCAGGAAAAACTAGTTCTTTCTTAGGTCAAATTCTCGCAAATTTATGTTGTTTTCATTACTCGAAACTCGTGTATTATGAATGTTGTCATAATTTGTATCACAAATTTTTTAACAAATTCAATTGGAGAAATATTCCTAAAAATAAATTAATTTCAAATCAAGTAACAGAAATTCCTATTCTAAACATTTTATGAAATATTGCGTAAATTCTACTAAAACTTCATGTTAAATATTAAAATAAATTAAAAACTCACACTTCTACACATTTTAAACATGTAAACTAGAGACAATTTCCTTAAAAGTTGGTATATATTAAATACAGAGTGATAAGAAATAAGGGAGAAAATTGATGCGCTTAGAGAAATGCAATTTTTCACTTCACAATTTTCCTCTACCTCAGCTGCATGCTGAAAAAGTACAAATTAAATGAATGGAAAAGGGCCAACGTCAGCAAAAAGCAAGGAAACAAAAAAAAACCAACAGTGTGAAAATTTCATCTAATTAAATTAGATGCTCGAGTCCCATAAAGGGAAAAAGCCAAATGGAAGGGGAGTGCGCGTGGGTGAAAGTAAAAGCCTGCCAAACAAATCGATGGGATTTCACATACAAACAGCTGACACAAAGCTTTGACGGAGCTTCCTTTTTTCTGTCAATTTTTATTTTCACACACGTTTGCGGTTGGATTATTTCAAGCCTTCGGCAATGAATTATGAGGTACTTCTGTCGAATGGTCAGGAACCGAAATCGGGAATGAGGTTTTTTAAAATTAGGACAAAAATGGGAAATGTAAGATATGTGACTTAAAATACGACATTATTGTGTTCTAGTTGAAAACTTTATGTACCATTTTTATACCCTCGCAGAGGGTATTATAATTTCAGTCAAAAGTTTGCAACGCAGTAAAGAAGACATTTCCGACCCTATAAAGTATATATATTCTTGATCACCAGGAAAGTCGATCTAGCCATGTCCGTCCGTCCGTTTCTACGCAAACTAGTCCCTTAGTTCTAGGGCTATCTGCTTAAAACTGCTTTCCCAAAAGTTGTCTTTCTATTGCAGGTAGTATACAAGTCGGAACGAGCCAGATCAGGCGACTATATCATAAAGAAAAGAAAATTATAACTTTGATGTTTTTAATTATTTTTTTTTCTTTCGGATTTGGTAATATTAAAATATTATGGAATTACGGGTTTAATTAAATTAAACTCGGACAACAAAATCATATAGCTGCCATAAAAACGATGGCAAAATGCAGCGCGAATTCAACATAGCTTCATTGTTTTTAATAATATATGCATAGAAATCGAAATGTATTCGATTTGTAATAACTGCAAGGGTATCGGATTGGCGAAGTTTGCTTCCTTTCTTGTTTTAATTTAAATTAAATGTTAGAACTTTAAAACTATAGGTCTTTGTAAATATATGCTTTAAGTTCAAATTAAAACGCAAGTAGCTCATACTATGGGCAGCGTTTTTTAACCAAACGCAACCATCAAAATTCTTGTCGATTTTCTCACTTCAACACTCGAAATTTCAAGAGCATCAGCACTATGAGGAAAATGAAAAGGGACAAGTGCTGTTCAACTAACTCGGCTGGCTTAAGTTCGCTTTTATCTTTTATCTTGCCACCCCCTAAAGTTCCCTCTTCACCGCTCTATTTGCGTTAATTTTTCATCTTTGTCTTTATCGTAGAGTCGTGGAATTCCTTAAGTGGAGGAAAAAGCGGACAAACAGATTAGACGTGGCTTTGGATAGGAGCCTAACAAGTTGCTCAGGTCAAGTCTGGTTTTTGTTTGAGTTCCTTTTGTTTCCACCACACTCATTGCGTTCTTTTCTGCGATTTTTACCGGGTATTTGTTTCAGGAGTAGACGAATGAGGTAGACCCTTTGTACGCGTTGTGCGATATGGTATATTGTACTCGGGGAAAAGTATAGAATGAATGTAATGACGAAGGTGGGGCGAAAACGTTGGTTTGAAACTGAGTTTCTTACCGATTTACATACATCAAGTTTAAATATGTTTGAGTCGGTTTCGAAACCATTTCCTCAACCATGCCAATAAGTAAAAACGTCAATAGCTGAAATATGATTCAGCGGAATACGGGTTAATATCTCTCTTGAAATATGTTTATTCTTTAGTGATTGCTCAAGCTGAGGCGACATAAAATGGTGTTTCAAATGGATTTCAGTCATTTTTAATATACCGAATGAGTCGGCTTTGAACCCTTTCCCCTATCTCTCTGTCCTTCTCCTTCGTCTCAAGATTGTCTGTCGCGTATTTCTTCTTCTTTATGCTCTTGCCTACTGATAATTAAATAGCAACTGGTTTTTCCTTGTGCCATTGATTTGGTTCTTGGTTCGCCTCTTGTGTTTTCACTCATAATTGTTTTTAATTTTTAAAAACAAATAAATGTCGCTGGAACAGCAAACATAAATTACATTTTAATTAATTAATTGCTGGGCACCAAAGAAAACCAATAGCAACAGTAGCACACATACATATGTACACACTATAGATTCTACAGTCATCTTTCCCAGCTATCCGCCATCTCTGTCGCGCCTCTGCAATTGAGGTCAAATGCGTAGTCGCATATCAACTGCAGCAACCTCTGAGGGAGACAGAGAATCCGAGAGTAGGAGCTCAATAACCCCAAAGTCCAAGATGTTGCTCGAGTTTTTTTTTGCCGTTTCTTTACTTCGATAATTACACCAACCGAATGCACACATCTTGTGTAGCAGGCTATATCGTTAAAAAAAATAATTCGATTGAAGGTTAAATCACTTCGGACGCTAAACTAAATATTTAATCATTTAATTATGACCAAAGTCGGTATCGGTATTGACGCATTGATAGTGTGTACCGTGAACGGGAACGCTTCAATTTAATTTGTTCAACCCCTACCAGACGAAAACGGGAAATAAAGCAAATCACTGAAAAAATACAAATTGATAAATTTTTTGATTGTGATTCATTGAAATTTTTTAAAAATTGAATTTTAAATTTGTGATATTAAACAATATTTAGCCCACTGTGCTCAATCCATGGGCTTTTCTGTTAACAGACACTGTTACGGCAGCAGGCATACAGCTGTCTCGCTTATCGCCGTTTATGCATGGCACGACGGCATGAGTCACTCCCTCACTCACACTGCCTCCCTCTGCTCTACCGCCACCCTCTTGCCTATTCTCATGGACAGCAACTTCACAGTTGCGACTGCGCTTTAAAGAAATCCCCATTTAGTCAAAGCCGGAGATCGGAGGCCTCTCTTTGCCGGCTTGGTTTGGTTCACTTGTTCAGCTTCTCGTTCTTGGTGCTCCATTCTCCACCTCATTTGTGTGTGTGTTTGACAGGTGCGTTTTGTTTGTGTAACGAGTTTGCTTGCGATAGTTTCGGCCTCTGACGCATGGAAAGCTACTTGTCTCTGTCGCTCGTCATTATCAGTTTGTCGTTTGCTCTCGCACATTAGTGTTGTTGTTGTTTCTCTCTCCTACATTGACAAGAACAACAAAATTAAGCGGCAGCGGCATGAACAATAATTACATACTAATACAAACTGCTCATTTGCCGCATTTTCACACGCTCACAAGTGTTTTCACCTCGTTCTCTTTCGCTTCTCTCGCCTGCACAGAAAAAAATCGGATAAATAAAAATTTTAAGTTCGCAGGTTTATGTTCCCTTAAATATACTTTTTAATACCGTGGATAATGTGTTTTCCAATGCCAGGTCGGCTTTCGGCCCATGCGAGTAAAATTGTGTAATGAATTAGAGTCAATTTATGTTATTAAGTTGTTTTAATATAATTAATATAATGATAAATATTTGAAAAACAATTTGATGGTATATTCAAAAATGTTATTTTAAATGTTGAGCATACCTAACATTTTGGTAACAGTTTAATTTTTATTAAACATTAAATTTTCTTTCTGTGTATAAGGTTCTCTCTCGCTCTTTTCCTTTCTCTCCTGCTGCCTTTGCCATCATGTGTTCTTTGTCCGGAGCTCACTTGATTTTCGATCGCTTGGCGCGGCAGTTGTCATTCCGTCTTCTCCGCCGAATTTGTATTTTCGCAACGCAACTCTCTCGCAAATCTCGCGGAGCAGTATCTGTGAGAATTCGTGGTGTGTAGAACGGCGTTAATCGCTTTATCGCTGTGACGTTAAATAATTTGTGTTTGCTCCAGTTTCCTTTTGAAATGATTCTGAATGCAGCCACGTTTTTACACTCTTGTTGCGCTTCGTTTAAGTGTGTGTGTGTGTGTCAAAAGTTGGAGAACCAAATAAATAAACGGCCTGGAACATAACAGGAAAGAGTTGTGGCTGTCAAACTGTTTCTAAACACCTCTCTTATCTGTATCTCTATCTTTTTTGACAGTCTGCCACAACTGGAAAATATCTTTCCGCTCTCAGCTGAGTGTGTGTGTATCTTTTAGTTTTTGAGTCAGCTGTCTGTGCTTTATTTTTCCATCTTCTGCACAACTTTAACGAGTTTGGTTTTTCCCTTTCCTGTTGTTTTTTTTTAAGTACTATTCTTAGCTCGCTCGCACTTTTCTTCATTTAGCTGCACACTTTGTTTACTGTTGCTGTTGCTTTTGTTGCTGTTTCGAGCTGCCTGTTTGTACACCGGCAACATAAACTGGTTTTTCGAGTTATTTATGACTTTTTTCCACAATTTATTTTGCCTGCCTTTTTGGTATCTGTATCTGCTGCCTCCTCTATCTCTTTCGCACTCGCACTCGTACTCCTTTGTCTTTCAGACTTTTGACCTGCAAAAGAAAAGTAACAAAAAAAGAAGTGTTTAAAAGCAGTTTGTTGGGGGCGCTTGGGTCTCCGGCTTTGGTTTTAATTTCGTAATGTGGCGAAAGTTGAGCGGATTTCTCGCATATTGCAGCATATTTTCTGATCTTTCGCTCTCTTCCACTCATTCTCCCCTGCTCAATCGTACACACGCACACAAAAACAAAGCGCAGCGGATATTTCAAATTAAAAACATTTTCCAGTTGGGATTTAATAATAGTATGCGAAGAGCAAACATAAAATTGTTTTTATAATAATACTAAAATGTGTGAGTGCAAAAAAAAAGAAAGCGGAATAGTGATTAAAAAAAAGGTTGCAAAACGGAAATAAAATAAATTTTTATTTGTTGATTTTAAACCCATCCAGATGTGCAATAAATGTGCTAAAATTGTGTAAAATCCAAGCCATGCAGCTATTTAAACAATTATAATAAAGGCAGCAAGAAAACACGTTCTGAAACACAACATCATTAAACAACAACAACACGTACAACAACGAAGAGTGAACGGCCGAAGAGTCAACAACAGCTGCTCACAGTTTTACAACCACTGGGCGTCGACGATCCCCCGCGACGCTCTTCCTCTTCCACTTTCGCGGGATTCCATGCATGCGGCCCTACTCGCTTCTCGCTCCCACTGAAAGCACCGTTCCTCGGAGTTCGCCGGGTTAGTTTTCATATTTTCATCGTTTTATTGTCGAATTTTTCTTGCTGCGGCTGGCAAACTACTTGTCTACTTGTGTTTAACACATGTTAAAGGCCCCGATCCGAATAAAGCAAACTAGAAGGGTTGTTGGAACTCTCTAAGATAAGCTGTGGCACTGCGACCAGAATCGTGTTCATCAAAAGGAATTACCCTGGAAATGGACATATAATTTTAAAAAGTAACCAGTGTTTTGTCCAGATAGTAAGAGTTTTGCTTCTTTGGTTTTTTTTTGGTTTTACTTCTTTTTAATAATGTTGATAAAGGCTGGTAAAAATTTTAAGGTGCACATCCTTTTATAAATTGCTTAAAACCAATATTAGTTTATGTTGAATCTAATTCAATTTCTAATCTTTTTAGTCATAAAAAAATTCGAAAGACACTAGGTTATTTGACGGAGTTATAAATGGATTTCACCGCCGAAAAAAATTTTTTTTTTATTACTCCGAAGAATATTTTTGGCTGTCATTTTATATCATAGATTTCTTTTAATTCTTTAGTAAACTTATAAAATGTAAAATTGTCATTTCATAAGTAAATATAAACATCTTATGAAAAAATTCCTATTTTTGTTTTATTTAGTATCTCCCGGATTCAAAAAAAAATTATTTTAGAAAAACCGCATTTTAAGATTTTAATGTCTGGCGGCTTAATGACATAGACCCTTTTAAATCATGTATTTCGCAGATCGATTTGAATTTAAGGGACTGTGTTCTAGACATATGTAATTCCTCTGTACGCACTCGAACTTATCAAGTTGACTATTATGCAGGGCCACATAGTATTGAATTTTCCTGGCCTTCAGTTTGGCAATCGACTGACAGACATGCCGATTAAAGATAAATAAGAAAAAGCGTAAAAATGCAATTGCTCAAATTGCATTGGCCGCGACATTGAACTCAGCCAGAAGCTGCAAACATTGCAACAAAAACACAAAGAAAAAACCAAGGAGACGAAACTTCTGTTGGCAACGCAAACGCACGTGAGGTTTTTCAATGTCGGAAAGCCACGCCCCCGCCAGTTCCCTAACGCCCACTCATGACGGAAGGAAGGAATCAAGCGTAAATTACGGCAAAGCGGGAGGTGGTTGAAGGTGAAGGAGACTTGCACGGATTGGGGTTCTTTTGGGGTCACTCTTACCCCTTCTAAACGATCCGATAGGTTGGGCCATTCAGGAAGAAAACACTAGAAAGCAAACTACCACTATACCTCCCATACGGCTGTGGTCAGAGTAATAGACCTGAAAAATCAAATTTGATTTTACAATATTGGTTTACAGTATTACATTTCAAAACTCAGTTGCTATAAAACTTACCAACTTAAGAATCAAAAAGTATTTTTTTAAGGTATGTTTTTAAAAAAGTTAATTGACTGGAATTGTGTTTGGCCACCAGAAAAAAAGATATTGTGGTGGTATAATTAAGCTCGATGAATGTGAAATACAACCTCTGTTTGATTCACATATTACTCATTAATTTGGAAAGTCCAAGATTACCGCACCTATAAGAGGAGAACTTTTGTGCTTGTATCCCAACCGCATCAGCAATGTTGGCATGGAGGGCATTTTGCTGCACAGATATGTTCGATTGGAATTGACCTCTGTAGAACCCATTTGCAAAGCTTTTGACTTTTGCACGTGTCCGAGCTGAGGCTACACTAATTAAAGCCTCCGCCACAGACGCACACAGGTACACAACACAGATGGCCCAGAAACAGGATTTTCGTGAGGAGGGGGGATTGGATTTCATATTCAATGTTAATCTAACATGCAAAGGTCAATCGGCCATTGAGGCGCCCCATACAGACACACAAGTGCACACACACACATAGTACAGACATTGTGCACTTTTCAGTTAGAGGCTGTGGCGTTGATAGACTACGTCGTCAATGGAATTGTTGTCTCTGCCTCCGCCGCTGGAAGTGGGCTGAGGGACGTGCAGGCCCAGCCCCAAATCTGACGGTACAGTGGGTTATTTCGAGAAATAAGGGTTGAGAAAATGTTAATTTTTAGAATTTAAAATCCATAAATAGATTAAAAAGGTACCAAAAGTTTGGTAAAAAAAATTCATAAACAGTATCTTCGAATACAAATTTCTTGTGTGCATTGTTAGTTAAAGAGTCAAAATTGTTTACTGATCATGTTTGAGTAATTGAAGTCACAAGAATTATTGAGTTATAATGTACTAGCTTAAAAACAGTCCTATTTAATAGTTAATTGCTAATACTAATCAATTTTGTTTGAATTGGGCAGATTCGGGCTATGGAATTATTTAATTACATGATGCCACCCACTGTGCAACGTGCAGTGGCGCTTGCATCTCTCTCTTTCTCTGTCTCCCCTTTTCTGGATGTCCTCCCACTTTGTATCCCACTCTCTTTTTACACACTTGCCACTCGTTCATTTCGACTCGCCTATTGTCTGACGTAGCTGCTAATCAAGGCGCGCTTATCTTGCCAACTAGTGTGTGTTTGAGTTCTCGAGTGTTTCGTTGTGTGTGCAAGGCTCTCTCGCTCTCTCCGCTTATCAGCCTTGATAGGTCAGTTGGTGTGATGTGCGGGGTAGAAGGCAGGAGAGGCATGAAAGAGTGTTTGTGTGTTCATTTATGTTATGCGAATCAAAATGCTGTCATTGTAGTAGTTTTTGTTGTACTTTACAGTACCGCTTTTGCCTTTCAAAACGTCAAATGCCATTGGAAATGGATATTGACACGTTACGTTATGTCGTTATGCTGGGCGTTATAGCAATTCAATTACGTTTCAATTACCAACAACACCACCGCAGCAGTAACAGCAATCACATTAATAATCACAAGCAAAAACGTAGCTGGAGCATATCGCCAATTGAGCCAATTTATCTACACTATTGGCACTTTTATTCGTCGTTGTATGCAGTTTAAAATTACATACGTTTTCATGTATAAATTAAAGCAAAATGTGATTTGAAAATATAAGGTATTTAAACTAGCACATATGAGTCATGAGATATAGATATTTATTTTGAGATATAGACATGGACACGGTTTTATTTAAAATAATTCCTTTTGACTTAGTATTTCAAAAAATTGATTTTGGTATTTTTGGCTTCTGTAAATAAAATTGCCATAAAAATCCACATATTTCTATGATAAAAGATTTCATGGGCTTTGAAAAATACGAATTACAAAAATTGAGAATGGTAGTCGAATATTTGATTGGTTTTAATTAAATATACTAATATATATATATATAAATATATTAAAGAGTATCCCTGCTGATGTCTAAATTGCTTGGTAAGCCTTTTCAATTGATTTGCATAATTGAAATTCAATTGCTCGTGCTGGCAATTATAATGAAATTGTTTGTTTATATAAATAGAAATTACAGCAACAAATCAATTGTAAGCCTTTGGAAGAGAAAAGGAGAGAAAAAAACAAGTGCTGCATAGCGTCACACAAATCTCCAGCTGATAAGTCCCCTCCACAAACACACACAAAGTAACAAGTATAGACACCCTCACTTATCACTCGATTTCCTTTATCATTTGTTTATTTTTAAGCGCCCATTTGCTTTCTTTGATTGCTTATGTAATTTCCTTCCCCCCAAATTTTTCGGTCACCCACGGGTTTTTTTGGGGCTTCTTGTATAAGTGGTTTTTCTGGGCTTTAATTGAATTTGCAATTATGCGTGTTAGTCACAGTTTAGGAGCCACTGAGTCACCTTGATTTCCAATCAATATTCCGTCGAATTAGGCGAAATTCTTTGCGGTTTCATCTTGCTCTTTCTCGACTAGGTACACAGAAAAAACATTCATTAAATTTTGATTTTATGATTAATAATAGAACATTTTGCTGTTGGTGACAAAGGACAAGGACTCTCATTAAACGAACTTTTACAAATTTTCCAATTCGATTTGAAAATGTGGTATCTCGACCAAAATTATAAGTAAAATTATTTCATAAATATTTTCTTTTCTGTGTCGCTATTGTTGTTGTCACTAATGTTGTGGGATTCTAATTGGGATTTTCCGCTGTTTGCGGTTTCTGCTATTGCCGTCATCAGCGCAGGTTCTCTGTGTTTTCTGTTCCCTGTGCTATTTCTCTTCCCTTCCCGCCCTTTTTTCTTTGAGTCGGATTTGTGTTCAATTTACACTTGATTTATTTATGAGCCACACACTGATACAGATAACAGTGCCCCACACACACTCATTTGGGGGTGTAGGTGAGTGAGTTTGGTCAACCCACCTTGTGCATAATTTTATTTTTAGCTCTTGGCTTATTTTTAATTATTGATTTGTTTTTCTATAAGGCCAAACGGAGCAATAACTGTTTTTCCAAAATTTACTTTCCTTTAAACGGGTTGGAAGAAAAACATTTGGTTTTGCAAAAAATTATAATTTGTTTTAAGGCCAAAGTTATGTCATACCCTTTATCATGAAAAAATGTGAACGTTCGGGTCAAATTTAAGAGAATAACGACGAAAATCGTTGTTTATTTTTCGATTTTATTGCTTGTTTTTAAATTGCCATAAAACGTTCAGTGTACATGGGTCGTCGTGTTAATTCGATGAAAATGTAATTCTTAATAAGGGTCCAAAAGTAAAGAAATAAATATGCCAACATACATTTTGGAAAAAATATGTTCTATTTATATGTTCTATATATTGTATATTTCATCATTTAATTTGTTCACATACATACACATAATCGAATGCTTATTGAGCTGTGCTTATTAACCCCTTCCCATCAAGGAAACCTCTTTGCAAAACCCCAGCTGCGATTTCCAGCCGAGAGCCTTTTTCTCACATTCTGATTCATGAAAAAATAAAGGTAATCTTAAGAACAACCGGCAGCGACAAAATGGGAACCCGTTTCCAGACCAGGCCACAGGCAGTGGCAAGAAGCAGAAGGCGTAGAAAGCCAAGAAACCGACCCCAAAAGTAATGAAAACAAAAAAAGAAAACATTACGCGGAGAGCAACCAAATAAAAATGGGTTTAAGTGGGGAGCCAGATATACCGAAGAAGTGGAGACAAACGGCGATCGATCGATGGACATTCAGCCATTTATACGTTAATACCCGTTCATATGTACACAGAAACACACACTTCAGTGTGTATGAACCAGTTTTGCCCCCAGGATATTAAGCCATAAAACAGTCAAAGCAATAACAAGAAAATCATGAAAAATGAGACTTGCCGAGGCTACAAATACCCTAGAAAAGCTAACCAACTAGAAATACCCGACTAATTAGTTTTTGACGGATGAGAGACGTTTTGATTTCATTTCGTTGATAAAATGTACGTATAAAGAGCTTTGCATCTCGTTTATACATTTTAGTCTGAGATGCATATGTAACTTATAAAATGTTAACCCCATGAAATTACCATTTATTCTTGATCAGCAAATACAGTCAATTAAGTATAGACTTGTCTTTCGGTTTATAGACCACACGTATCTTTAAAACTAAAATAGCTAGTAACACAAAGGATTTTAATTTGATATCGCTTATTTAAATTACCGTTTATTTTACTAAATAAAATTAAACTTTTTTGCACTTCTAGGGTGCATGCTATGTGCGGGAATTGAATTTGGAATTAAATTTGCCTGCAAGTGTCCAGTGGCTCTGTTATGTGGCAAAGAGCTAAGAGCGAAGAAGGAACTTGTAATCGAAGTCGAACTCGAACTTGTTTCTGATTCATTTCGTCGCCTGCTCAAACCCCTTTGGCTCTTGCCTACAGCAATTTACTCTTTAATTGTTATCGGTTTTTAGTCTTTGTGATTTTTTTAACATACCCGCTTAACGGTACAATTATAGGTTGAGTGTATGTTGTTATTGCCTCTCTTTTGACATGGCAAAGAAACTTGTGGGCAGATAAGATTTTCCGACTCCCGTTCGCAGCTGGCAAATAATCGACAACTGGCAGACTGATATTAGATGAAAGTAGAAATTATGGCAACGGGAATGGAGGAGGGGGCAGATGAAAAGGTGGTCATGGAACGAGTGGGAATACCCAATAATTTCCTGTTAATCGTCTTGGGTGGAGCGGGAACCAAAACTGAGAGTCTCTTTTCCATCAGATAACCAATTAAATATTGCTATGAACAACAGCATAATGCTTAAATAGAATTGACTATATGCAATTTTTGCCATTTGGTATATTAACTTAAAGATTAGTTGTGCAAAGTTAGACTGATTGATGGCTGCAAACTTGAAAACTAAATTCTGTCATTTACGCTGCCGACGCGGCATAAGATAAAAAATTTCTGTTTTCGAAATAATAAAAGTTGGATTATCCAAATAACTAGAGTATAATTGAATGGAATATAGACAACGACCTATTGAAAATTACTGAATGCTTGCATTGAAGTTAAAAAATAGAAGCTTGCAATTAGGTGTTAAAAGATATTGCCTTTCTTTATAATAAAGTATGCTTTATCTTGAAAAGTTTATTATATTTTAATTTACTTTTTGTCTCTTTTGTCTAATTGGACTAATTCTTTCTTTTTTCCCATGATTAATTTGCTCGTTGTAAAACATCCCCGCAAGATATACATTTACAGAAGGCAACGTAACCCTTAACCCAATTAAGCAACTACTGTAAAGCTGTAATACCGATTAACCCCGACGACATTGAACTAAATTTTGCAACAATGGAAAGCATGAGAACATAAAAGATCTTTCAGTGGCCACACCCATCCAGAACTGCAACAAAGCAAAGCCTTTTGTCTTAATCAAACATATTTCCCTTGTCTGGCCATGAGTCACTCCACTACAATCCAATTCACTCGGCTCGACTCAACTTCCCCTTGAATAGTTACGGCTGAGCGAGCTCTCCGGACATGTGGCCATAACCAGCAGCTAGTTCTCTATTCCCTTTTGCAAGTCCTATAGTTGAAGAGAAACTCACCTGGCCTACACAACTCGAATCGAATCGATTTTTGTTGTGTGTGCTGTTCCACTTAAAAATGCAGAAAGTTTCTGTGTCATTGTCCTGGGTCTTTTTTGACGGGACAAGAATAAAAACTTATTTATGGAATTGTAGTAACGCCCACATACAAATGACAATTTTTGTTTTGAAGGAAAGGTTTTTGAACTTTACTATTTTCGTTTGTAAATAGTTTAGGTCCGTATACCCGGGGCATTTTGGTCTTTCAAAATTAAATGTTGCGCAAATATATATCCCTACAAACGTATATCAAGGAGGAAGAGTACGTACTTTAATAGCTAATCTAGATCGAAAATTAAATCATTTTTCAATTTGTTGCATTTAAGTAGCTTGACATTTAATGCTGGGTACACTGGAACTTTATTGACCTATATTTAATGGAATCGACTTTTCTTAAGAGAGTTAAATCCTATATCAGGTGGTTGTTGCTCCCCATTTCCAGACCAGTGAATTGTTTATTTTATTGCAATCAACTTGTTACTAATCGATTTCCGTTCCCTTTTTTTGCAGTGGCGGTGGCCCACAAACGACAACTGCCGGTCCATCCGCTGGTAATGTGGCAAATGCCACCACAGCCCTAGCCGGTGGTAAAAGCTCAAGCAATAACATGTATTCCACCCGCCAATCTGTAAGCACCACAACCGGTGTACTTATGGTCGGACCAAATTTTCGTGTCGGTAAAAAAATTGGCTGTGGTAATTTTGGCGAGTTGCGTTTAGGTAAGTACAAAACAAATTTTTGAAGTTCACTATCAATCAATTTTAATGTTAAATAATCATTTGTTTATGATGTGTTCAATGTTTTTCTTTCATTTTATATATAATTTAACTTGCCTAGCTTGAATTTTAAGTCTTATAAGTTTTATTGGGTAATCATTAATCAACTCTTGATGACATACAAATAAAGACGCCGATGCTGATATTTATAAGAGATCAAAATTATAGGCTGGAAATTACTTATTAATCTTTTGGGCTATATTCTGACATTTACCTATGTTTGTTTTTATATTTTTAAATTCGTTGGGTTGAGCGAGAAATGCACCTTTTTATTTATAGAAGCTGGTTGTTTAGTTGTAAAGGGCATCTTATTTTTTGGCAGATCTAGCATTTGTTACTGATCACAAAGTTTGTCCAACGTTTAATCGTTTCTTTCGAGTGAAAACATAATGATATAAAGAATCAATTATTAAAAATTTGTATACCCTTGCAGAGGGTATTATAATTTCAGTCAAAAGTTTGCAACGCAGTGAAGGAGACATTTCCGACCCTATAAAGTATATATATTCTTGATCAGCATCACCAGGAGAGTCGATCTAGCCATGTCCGCCTGTCCGTCCGTCTGTCCATCCGTCCGTTTCTACGCAAACTAGTCCCTCAGTTTTAAAGCTATCTGCTTGAAACTTTCCCAAAAGTTGTCTTTCTATTGCAGGTAGTATATAAGTCGGAACGAGCCGGATCGGGCGACTATATCATGAAGCTGTCATATACCTGAACGATCGGAAAAGCCATAACTTTGGTGTTTTTAAAGTTAGGAAGTTGTGACTTTTTATGAGTATTAAGAATGCATCAAATGAATCATTTTGGAGAATATAATTTACAGAATATTCTGCAAGGGTATATCAACATCGGCTCCGCCCGAAGTTAGCTTTTCTTTCCTGTTGATAAAAGATTTCTCCTTAATGTTTATGATTCAAAGCCAGACTTTGTAACTCCCGCCACCCCTTTAACCTTTTCCCTTCCCTAATTTTTGCCTGTTGGCATGCAAATAATGTCGCGTTCGGGGCTTTTGGTGTTCCCTTTTTTTTTCGTTGGCCACTTCCTTTTGGCGGGCATTCCTTACCAGGTCTGTTAACCACAATGGGAACAGTTCCCCGCTCCTTTTCACTACGAAAGTGCACAATACAACAAAATGCCATTCCATTCCGCCATCTGTTTTCTTGGCATCGTCGTTGTCGTCATTTTTGCTTTGTTTGCTAAATGCGCTTTTATAAGTTGTTTTATACAGGTCCCGCGCCACTCTTGCCGTTGTGTTTTTTTTTTGGGCCTGCCACTTCCTTTTGTGCATTTGTTGTCACATCGCCAACAGGTAGTACTATGTATATAGTCTAGCTAATTCTCAGCCGGCGGTGATAGTTCCTGCAAAACTGTAATTATCGCGCCCTCTCTTTCTCAGCCCCTCAGTCCGTCTCTTTTACAGCCCCCTCTGTCTGTCTCTTTCAGCCGGTCTGAGCCGTGCTTTTTCTTTGTTCCACCTCAGCATCTCGAGATTTTTTGTTGCATTTGTTTTGTTGGGGTTTTTGCATGACTCATTTAACAAAAGCGTTGACAAAAAACAAAAACCATTATTACGGAAAAGCAGTATTTAATTGGCTCATTTGTATTGCCTTTTCAGATTATGATAATCATAAAGTTTGACAAACACTGCTTGGATCTCATCGGTTTGGTTCAATTAAAATAAATTTATTTTTTATGACGTCGCACAGTCTATTTCATTTCGCTTATGATATCATTTTTATTAATTGTGGTCTATAAATACCCTTTGCTAAGTATATGTTTGTTGATTCTGTTTCGGTTTGTTATTAAATCAGATTAGTGCTGACGTTCAGATAAAAGTAAAATGTTTCGCCTTGTACTTTTTGGGAATTTTCTTAAAATGAAATCAAAATGACATAATTTGACTTTTGGTTTTTAGCAAAGGCCTCTTTGTGTTTTCCCATTTCAAAACAGAAGAATACCAGTATATTATAGAAACAGCTGGGAAACCAGAACGTTGACCAACCTAAATACTTTTCCGCCTCTTTTCTTAGCTCGTTTTTATGGGCACTTTGCGTGGGCGTTTCTCGTTTAATTTGGGAATTTTCGTTTTATTTTTGTTTAGCGCAGCACGCCCTTTATTAAATTTATTTTCTCTCCGTTGTTTTTTTTGTTTCTATGAGCGGTTTTATTGTTTATAGCGCGAAACTTGTTTTTGACGAATCTTTTGAGGTTTGTTTTCCATTTTATGCGGTTTTTGAACTGCAATTAATATTCTACATTGCGTTAGGTCACGGTATTTGTTCATTTACTCATCGGTTGTGATTTTGGTCTTGTAGCCTCGTGGTTTTAGTAATCATGAACAAAATCCTAAAAATGGTAAATCCCACAGTGAATTTGAATATAATAGAACAGAATGAACCTACTTTAAAGTTGTACATCTGCAGTCAGACGAAATTGAACATTCTTTTCGAACAGACCAGAAATTTTTCCATTGTAGACAAAAAATTTAAGATCAACAAATTAGTGCTAGTTTAGCCTTTTTCTTTTGCTCGCTTTAATGCCGAAGTGTTCTAAGAAATCAGCAGTGCTTTCAGGGGGCCTGGTGGGCAAAGGGCATTGGTTGGCGGTATTTTCTAGCATGTAATCAAAATCATGCGGCTTCCTATCGCCATGTTTGTATCTATTTGTGTGCGACGACTCTATCACCGCTATAATGTTGTGTCTGTTGATAAGCAGCGTCTGTCTCAACTACCCACCCACCCAGCTAACTCATAAGCCCAACCCAAGCCACCCACACATTCTTGGTGGGTTCTCTCACCGCATTTCTCATGACATAATTTCGCACATGAGCGCACTGTACGTCGTTGACATATTCTCTCAGCTTCTGTCTGCGTCTCCGTTCTGTCGTCATATCTAAAATGCAATTCACAAATTATATTCGGCCTTGTTCTCTATTACACTTCCGATAGATTTTCTTGAATTCCACACCATAACTCGTGTTATGGATAAAGGCATCCAAAAGATCTTAAATGTTAATTTGTAGGATAAGTAAAATTAAGTTATGCCCATAACATTGTAAACGTTATTTAAAAAAATGCCAACTTTATACTGAAGTTTGGTTAAAGAAGATTTCTTTGGCACCCATTTTAAAATGTATTTAAAATGTATTTAATTAAATTGTTTGAAAAATATTAAAATCGGTATCGTTTTAAAATTATTGAAGTGGTCGAGAACAAGGAAAGAAATATTGCAGGTTTCTTATTATTATAATTCTTTCCATTTGGCTAGGTCGTCGAATGTGTTGCTTTGGTGTTGGTGGTGTCGGAGGGCGTAATGGGCGTGGCACTGCTGATAACAGTGGGGCAGGTAAACACGTTGAATGCATGCGATTCGCGATAGTCTTGAGCATGTAAAAGCACTTGTGTGTACGAGACTCTTCCTTTTCTTTTTTGAACTTTTGGTGTTGCCCTTTGGTACTATTATTATTTGTTTTATGATTGCATTTGAGACATTTAACATTTAACTAATCCGGATTCCTCTTCTTTTGCAGGCAAAAATCTTTACAACAATGAACATGTAGCAATAAAAATGGAGCCTATGAAGTCAAAGGCTCCGCAACTACACTTAGAGTATAGGTTTTATAAACTATTAGGATCACATGGTATGTAAACTATCAATTTATTACTCTGCAGTCCGTCCTACGATCCAACCCTTAACCTTTTTCCGAAGCTGTTGTCCCACCAAACACTAACTAATCAACTAACTAACCAATGTCCAAAGACCTCTGCACGGGAGAGAATTCAAATAGCTCTGAAGAAGTACAGATTGTACTCATTTTCAATATTTACCCATGCCGGTCGCTTTATATCCTTGTCACTCCCTATCTATATACTATACCCATCTCTATCTATTACTAACCTTAAACTACTGAAAGTAAAAAAGTTTTGCACCGTTACCACCACTTGAATAGTTTCATATGTAAACGAATATATTTATAATTTTTGTATAACACTTCTGGTACCTCGCAAGTGCTAGAAGCATTGCGAAAAAAGAATACGACGAACAGAAAAACATGAATAGATTTTCTCAAGCATATTTTCGGAGGTCGGTCGGTGCGTGAAGTGAAATTTGAAAAATATTAAATGAATGAAATACGAAAACTGTATAAACACGTCTTGTATATTGTAAGTCTGTAGTGGAACAGCTCAGGCTGCAACTACAATTACTTGTATACCCGCTAATGTAAAACAGCTCGAAAATCACTTTACAGCCTATTTAAATCTCTATATATGTATATTTCCTACTATATATATCGATTTCTAAACTATTACCAGACTTTTGATTAATTCTTGTTTTTTTTTCGTTTGAAAATCCTTTGTTTTCCATTGCTTATTCTTATTTGTTGTTTATATGAATATATTGCTCTCTGTTTCCCTCCATTATTCATCAACTACTACAAAAATAACTACACCAAAACCCAAAATGTTCGCCATAAATTATAAAACAAAAACACCGCTAAATTGAAATTTAAACCCGAAACCGATCATCATGCGCTGCTCTCTTTCTATCTATATATTTCTCCCCGTGTCTGCTGCAATCTACCACAACATTACAACCAACTCGAAACTGAACTGAATTGAACCAACCATCAAACAACCAACTACAATCAATTGTTGCATAATACATTTTTATGCCATGTTGCTATAATAATGAACCAACCCCTCACTCACCATCCCCACCACCATATTGGATCCCGAATCGGAATTGGAATTGGATTCTGTCTGTATCTGACCGAAACGAAACGCAACATCGAAATCAATATCAAAATGCAGCCGATAACGCCCCAGATGGCATACCACGCATTTATCATTTGGGCACATGCGGTGGCCGTTACAATGCCATGGTTTTAGAGTTATTGGGATTATCATTAGAAGATCTCTTCAATATTTGCGCCCGTAAATTTTCACTTAAGACTGTATTGATGATAGCGAAACAACTTGTAAGTGTGGCTTTCTCCAAGAACGAAAAAAAAAATCAACACCAAAAGGTGTTTTTGGCGAAAGTAAAGCGGGTTTCACTTGATTAAAAGAAATACATTAGTTTCATTATAGCATTAGATTAAAATTCCGATGCTCAAACAACCAGCATTCTTCTTTATATTTTTCTATTTTACACCTATTATCCAGCAAATATTGCATATTAAATCGATCTGTTTAACAGTTATATCTTGTGAAATCCGCCAGCATCTCGTCCATAAACCGATTTTGTAATTTCTAATTTATATTTTGAATCAAAGTGTCTCAACGGCTTTAATAAAGGTTATCTTTTTGTTTTCTTGGTTTAGTATGTTTTAGTATTCACGCAATGAACGTTAGCCAAGTTTTTAGTTTACTGTAGATATGTTGAAAAAGTAGTAGAAGTAATAATACTTTTTTTTTGTTGCAACTTCCAATATCGTATAACGGATCTGCAAAAAAACTTTTATAACCACCAAAAGTAATACCCCGAAAGCATGTAAACAAAGCGTCGCATATAGAATTTGATAAAAGGTATACAATAAACACTTTTTGTACATAAAACAATCTGAAATCTTCTTCTTTGGTATTTTCAAGTAAAAACAACTGAAATAAAGCCATTTAAACAGTTTCGTTGTTAAACTTGCTAATACTTTACTTCACTTATGTTTTCATTTATTAAACTTATTTTGGCATACGCTCTATTCTTTCATTGATAAAAAAAGTGAAATGTATATAATTAACCAAAATTACTAACACAGTTGCAAAAGATCTACCGAATCCGCTGTCGGAGTTCAGAAAATCCCAAGAACCTGTTATACACACCACACACACAACCACCTTCAAAGACTACTTTAGTGTTAAGATTAGTTGTAAGCACACACAAAACTGTTATAACCGCGTTTAAGTTTCTACTGGTTAGGTCAAATGAGGTTCGGAAGAGGAGGATGAGTTGGTAGGTGAGTTCCCATCTCCAGGTTGGTCGTCCAGCAGGCTTTTCCTTGTGTATATGCTTCGAGAATCTCTATTTTTGTTGTTCTTGTTGTGTTTAGCACAGTTGCCGATTATGTATTAATATTTTCACTCGATCTCTGTCGAATTAAAGGTGGTAATATCGTAAGACGCGCTACACTAACCTCCAAAACATGAGCCGTAACTTCATCGCTCTCTACACATCACTCTCCCACTCTATATTTCTCCTTTTTGTTGTGCCCGACCCGTCAAATCAATAAAAATGCAGCTTAAAAACAAAAAGTTATATATTAAAAAAAATGTTTTCTATTTTGTAAATCTTATCTTTCTTTCTTCTCTCTCCCATCTCTCTTTATCTCTTGGTCACGAATTTTTGCATAAATACAACAAAAACAACAACAACAAATCGAACAACCAAAAAACTTTTGTGCGCTGTCCAACACTCGAATAAATAATAAACACTCGCTCGCTTCCTCCAAAAAAAATTCCATGTCAACCCAACCAACCAACTGAAAAAAAATCGACCAATCAATCAATCGATCGATCAATCGATAGCAGAGGGTGTACCAGAAGTATATTACTTCGGCCCCTGCGGCAAATACAATGCTCTTGTTATGGAGTTGCTTGGTCCATCACTCGAAGATTTATTCGATATTTGCGGCAGACGTTTCACTTTGAAGAGCGTACTTCTGATAGCTATACAATTAGTAAGTACAACCACAACAAAATCCACCAAAAACAAAGAAAACAACGCAGCGAAAACCACAGAAACCTGCAATCAGTAAAGTTTCCTTAAGCACGCGCATACTTCTGCACATAATCACATTCACAACACTGGTAGCCGAGGCCAAAATTAACCAACACTAGTACTAAGATCAAGATCGAAACACTTTTTGTTCGTTTTGCGTGTGAGTGGTTGGGGTGTGTATATGTTTTTATTAGGGTTGCTTGGTTCATAATTATATTATACTTTTAACTCTTACTATTTATTATATTTTCATTACTAACAAACAAAAAAAACCAATAGGTCGCTGCCTTTCTATCTCGACTCTCTCCGACTCACTTTTTAGTCATTATCGTAGACGCCTGGTTAAGGTTTAATTTATACATAAGTTTTAAGTTTTGTTTTGTAAATTCATTAAGAGGCATAATTCACTTCAAATGCTTCTCTACCGAAATAGTTTTTAAATATCAGATACGAATACAGCGAAACCAAAAACAAACGTTCATTGTAATTAAATTAAATTTGCATGCACACATCAATTTGTAGTTTAATTTAGATATTTATTAGTTTTTTAAATTTATAATTTATCAGCGAAAACAATAGATAAATAAATAATGCCGTTGCCATCAAAAACGAAAAAATTTACAGCAAAAACATAAACAGCTAGTTGAGACACTACAGAAAAAATTAAAAATTATTAACATGTAAGCCAATTAAAAAAAAGAGCATTCCATAGGTTTTAAAATAACCATAACTTTGAATAAACTAACATATTTTCCTTATATATCCCAAACAATTTAAAATTTAGCTCCACCGGATCGAATATGTTCATAGTCGGCACTTAATATATAGGGATGTGAAACCAGAGAACTTTCTCATTGGCAGAACGTCAACAAAACGTGAAAAAATTATACATATAATTGGTAAGTCAGTTGTTTTATTTAATCCTTAACATAGACTAACTTTGGTTTTCAACAGATTTCGGTTTGGCCAAAGAATACATTGATTTAGATACAAATAGACATATACCATATCGGGAGCATAAGTCCCTAACTGGAACGGCACGTTATATGTCAATCAATACGCATATGGGGCGTGAGCAGTCGCGACGCGACGATCTGGAGGCATTGGGTCATATGTTTATGTATTTCTTAAGAGGTTCACTGCCGTGGCAAGGCCTGAAGGCTGATACACTCAAGGAGAGATATCAAAAAATCGGTGATACGAAACGAGCAACGCCCATCGAGGTAACTATACGACAGTATATACCTAAAATCTTTTCGACCATGGTAATCCTTTAACTAACGTTTTGTTATTTTCTTGTAGGTGCTTTGCGATGGACATCCGGAAGAGTTTGCGACATATTTGCGTTACGTACGGCGGTTAGATTTTTTCGAAACTCCCGACTATGATTTTCTGCGAAGACTGTTTCAAGACTTATTCGATCGTAAGGGATACACTGACGAGGGCGAGTTCGACTGGACAGGGAAGACAATGGTGAGTTATCGTTTTTTCGACTTCATATTACACTATTTAAGACACCTAAAGAACACTTAACACAACGAAAACTCCGCCGAATTCTGAAACTTAACCCTAATCTAATTCATAGGAGACATAGAGAAATGCAAGCCATTAGATATTTAACAATATGATATCCATACCAGTTACATATCCCGATAGCACTCTTAAGTTAATTATCATGTAACTCTTAAACCATTTCTAATGATGGGAAGCATCAGGCATGACAAAAGGAACTCAATTGACAGAGCCATATTACTAGCACCACTGACGCCATCACCCCAAAACCACTGTGAATGATCTGAATTAACCCAAATGAATGCAAGCCCCTTGGGATCGTAAGTTGGTATGACGACCTAATTAACCAAGCTCTAACATGGCTGGATCCTCGTTGTAGCGCCATAGTTTGCCCGCCACTCGCCGCTGCTGCAGGGGCTCAACTTGTTCTGAAGTTTGATTCATGTTGCCAACGGCATATGTTAAATCTTTCTGCCTTCAATGACTTGACTGAAATATATATTTTTATAAAGTATCCCACCCACTGGCAAGTTAGGATCTTAAATTAAAGAGCATTAAAATCAGTAAAAACCCAAACACAACTCCGAACAAATGCAAAGTGTTTTAATCTCTTAAACTTCCCTCTAAATGTTTTGGAATTGATATTGAAGACTTTCTGTGTTTTGATTTTAAGACCAAGGAACAGCTGGACCAAATGAAGGTCATTAAGAATGCACCGCCATCGCATTTGGCCAAAAATAAGTCTGACAAGGTACAGAAAAGAAACAGAAATGAGGAAATGTATATTTAAAATCAAAATTGAAATCATTGTTGCATAGCTAAGTATAACGCTCGATCGCTCACTCAGTGTTGGTAAATGCTTGTTCTCAGTGTGTAAGCTCGTTGCTTTAAGTGGTTAAGCTAGCGTATGTTAAGTACAAAATTAATGACTAACTTAAGCAACCAATTGATGCCATTTTTAACAGCACTTTTCTTCTCTCCTTGATCTCTTTTCTCTTTTTTCGGTTGTCAACACCGTTTCATGTGCGTGTAACTCTCTGTGTGTTTTTAAAACAAAACTACTGCTTCATCTATATATAAACATGTTATCGAATTAAAAAAATGCATTTACATCACTGACATATAACAGTCAACGCCCGTCGGATCTCTGCAAACTGGCCATGAAGTCATCATTTCACCAAATAAAGATCGTCATAATGTTACGGCTAAGGTAAAGTATACAATATGCAATGATTTACTATCTCAGACCGAAAAGGAAAACAATTTGTTCTCTCTATCACTGACAAAATTAAACTCGATTATTTTTTAATAATGTCTATAAGATAAAAACAGTTATCCTCGTTTCAACTTAGCTTTAGCAAACTTTGTTATCCTTGGTTACTCAGTTTTTTACTTCTAACATTCGTTCTTAACTGCTCTTCTTTCTCTACTTATGCTCAACGCTTTTGTTTTGATCCTACTCTTCTCCCCTCCTCACAACATTTAATATGTAAAAAACTATAGGACGTTTCTTATTTTGATTTTGATGACGAAGTTGATAATGAGAATGAAGAATATATAATACTTCAGGTTAGACGTTGTAGGCTTGAAAAATATCTCTGTACTGGTTAGTGTGAATTAAAGTGCTCTTTTACTCTATATATGTACATACACTTGATTCTGGTTCTAGACTACATTGCTAGGTTTACGGATGACTTATTCTTTCGGTTCCTTAGCTTTCGTTAATTAAAGCTATGCTAGGATACAACTAAGATATTTATTAAATCGATTTTTATTGACGGCCTTACATGAGGCTGAATATTCCCAAGCTACTTGTGGAGAAGCTCGACTAACCTAGTTTTAAAATTGCTTGAATCAATCGGTGAACGGGACTTGTAGACTAAATCAATCTAACTTGGTCTAATATGCGCTCTTAATTGTGGCCTTGGTTAATTAAATGAATTTTTTTGGCTTTAATTGTCTATTGTATGAATTAAACCTTTTTTTTGGTTGTATTTTTTGCACACTCTTGACTTGCTTTAGTTTTATTTAGACTCACACACTCCCTAAATTGAACACACTCGCATATAATATTAAAGCTGTATCTGTCTCTTTGTTGTACAAAACAAAACAAAAAATTACAAATCAAATTTAAATTAATTATTGATAAATTTGCATACATCCGTTTCCAACAATTGCCCGCTCGCTCGCAAAACCGAACTGAACTGTACCCAATCGAAAACAAAAAAATAATCAAAACCAACTGTCCAAATCCTTCACTACCACCACCACCACCATAACCCGCCCAACCACAGACAAATGCCAAAGGAGGTGTTGCTGCGTGGCCTGATGTGCCAAAGCCTGGGGCAACACTGGGCAATCTAACGCCGGCCGATCGGCATGGTTCAGTGCAGGTAAGTTCGCTGCGACAACCGGCCAGTGTTGTACAACTGTTTTTTCTTTTCCTTCCGTTTCCGTTCCGTTTTATTTCTGTTTTGTCGCTCGCTCGCCCGCTCAGTCTTCAGTCTGTAATTGTACATACATTAAAAAAAACTTAGCAATCCAACTCCTGGTCAAGACATAGCATAAATATAAATACTTTGTAATCGCCTCATTATTTTATTGAACTCTTGTTCGATTGTGATTTTGTACATAATTGCCTAAATATATTTCCTACAATTATTACAACGAAACATTATCTATCGCAGACTGTTATATTTTTGGCCTTTTCAATTCTAATGTTTTCACTTGATTTACTCTACATTAGCTCAACAAGGTACTGAACAATAATTTCTTCTCCCAACGTGTGTTATTCCCACTCCTCTCCACTATAGTTCATTCCACTTCCGTTCAGTTTGATTTTGTTTCTTCAACACGTTTTATTCGTTTTCTTCTTGGGGATTTTTTTTTCTCGGATCTTCCTATTATTTTTTTGAACCTAGAGTTTTCCTCGATAAGAGTGGAACTGATTGATACTTGAGGATCCTAAAATAAAACTGCATGAGAGACGAAGAAGAAACGTAGGCTCTCTTTTTGTGCACGGTACTAAATGCATGTTTCAGCTGTGCATTAACCAACACTGGTCTAGCCATAACTGTACTTGACTGCATGCCACACATGACATTATACTACTCTAGAAAAGCATGGATCACATACCACACTTTCGCAGTCGTAGAATAAGTAGAGTAATTATTTTAAGAACTCAGCTGGAGGAACCTCATTTCTCATAAAGCGACATAATTGGCATGCCCTTACGATTCGGAGAGTCTCTTCTGATGTATCGAATCAAATTCGAATCCCAAACACAACTTATTACAGAGATTGCCTGAAGATTCGAGCTCGGATGATGATAGCCCCTTTGATGCTTACTATGAGAAAAGCGATCCGGAAGACGACCCTAAGAAATAAGACACCACACCAAAGACCTACCAACACTACTACTTTACTTCCTAATACCACGGCTTCTACTAAAATTTAATCGACATTCTCCTTCGACAAAACCTAAAACGGGTTTCCTTTTCTTTTATTTTCGTTTTCCAACACTTGCGCGAGGTATTTTCTATATTAATTTGTCTGTCATCCGGTCTTTATTTCTGTCGTGCGTGTCTTGTACCTGTCCAACATCAATATATATATATATGTTTGTGTGTGATCTGAAAACGAGTCCTGACGATCCAGGCAATCTCCGTATTAGGTTGAGGAAGAGAGCTACATACATATTTATTCAAACCAATGTATATAGAACAGGCTCTGGCTTAAACATTGCAGACCGAAATTATAAATTTTTCATTCGTTGTCTACTCAATTTTGTAGTGATACCGAAATAGTCCTTGTTGTGTATAACAGTTTCGTTCTGTGTGTTGTCTGTAATTTCAATTGATAGTTTTTTTGTCGACTGTATTTCAACTGGTTCATTTTTGATTAGTGAAATAAATAAAGCGGTGTAAATCGTTAAATAATGTTTAATCACTACTTACTGTATATACTCGTACTATATGTTTAGTACAAAAGTTAATGGCGAGTGGAGACTAATAATACAATGTTATCCATTTTTTTCTCTGTTCTGTGTTGTTCCTTTGCAGGTTGTGAGTTCGACGAACGGCGAACTAAATCCGGACGACCCCACGGCCGGACACTCAAACACGCCCATCACACAGCAGCCGGAAGTCGAAGTGGTCGATGAAACAAAGTATGTGTTACCCAGGCGATCAATTAATCGGTATATCGATATGTAGCCTAACATTTAGACGTGTTGCGGGATAGGCTGAATAATGTATAGACTAAATTATGAAAAAATAAATTTTGGTGGATACGCCGATAATAAAAACGAACTGGCAGTTTAACAGGCACGGATAAAGATTATGATATGCAAAAGTTAGCTTAATTTGTCTTGATATTTGTCCTTTAAATAAAAATACTTTTAATAATTGCGCTTTAATGGAATCAGAATCATTTACTTTCGAGTATATTAAATATAAATTGCTTTAAAAAGTGATCACTCGATTATGTTCTCCACTCGTAAAAGATAAAGCTTAATTATTGAAATAAAAAATTGTCATAGATAGAAATTAGAATATATCAAACACACATTATTTTTTGTGTGTTTGATATGTAGATTTTTTTATTTTTAGCTTAGATAAAAACGCAAAAACCGCCAATGCCGGATAGATATATCGATACATTGATTAACAGATCCACTAGATAAATAGTGAATTTTTTGCTTTGTCGTTTTAATGCGCAACTTCCGTTTTCCGTTCTCTTTTTCTCTCTCTCCCCCGACCACTCCACTGCCACTGCCTCTGCCTACGTCTCCCCCTCTGAATCCGTATCCGAATCCGTATCCGTATCCGTCTCATTTCTGTCCCTTGGTTAACTGTCTCCAGTGGTTCCTTATATTCCAGATGTTGTTGTTTCTTTAAACGAAAGAAGAAGAAATCGACGCGCCAAAAATGACTAGACGGTGTACAATGTAGTCCAGAACGCGAGGCAGTCACCCTGCTGCGCGCCACTTCACATTCAAACTCACGGGATAGCGTATTGAATAATCCGAGTCAGGATTATATCCAGCAGGCAACGTCGCAGCACACGTTGCGTTATCCTCCATCCGCGTCGATGCTGACGCCAACACCAACTACAAACACACCGACACTTCCGTTGTAATTTATATAAATATAAAGCCAGATGCAAAATGCAAAAAGCAACAAAAAAATATTAAATCAAACAAAACGAAACCCAACAACAAAACAAAAAGAAAAACAAAAGAACCCGTAAACATTAAATACACTAAAAAACAGTAAAAACAAACAAAATGAAACCAATTTTGATTAATTATTGTAATGATTGTATTTTATTATTATTTTTATTATTTACCAATTTTGCGTTTATTATATAAATTATTATAATTATTAATTATATTATTAATTAATGCTATTATAAATAAAAAGAAAACAAAATTCAAACGTAATTCAAGCCGACTAGACACGACACTGCAATTCAAGCAAAGAATCACTCACAATCTAGGCAGCTCCTCCCGTCGGTGTCTTGTGAAAGGAATCGGAAAGAAAGCTCCCCAATACCACTACCAATACCAATACCCCTCAGAACCCAATTGCTCTTAACTGAAGGAAACTTAAACACACAAAAACCACTTAAAGCATATTTATATATTATATACATCTATTAAAAGAGACGAAAACAAAACTAGTGCAGCATCATTTAATGAGAGAAAGAAAACATATTTATACGCAACCAACAACAACTTGTAAATTATAATGAATGAAAAAAGAAAGCGAAAATAAACATCATTTTTTAAAACTATTCAAACTTAATAAATGTATGCAGCTATATGAAATCATCTAATACCATAATACGTGTACCATTGTCAGACAAATAGCAAACCAATAAAAAAGGTAAAATGTTGTATTCTGAACACTATTCATTAAATACTCCATTAATGGGCTTCATAATTTTTCTACGATTATTCGTCGTCCTTTATGGATATCAAACAAAATGGATAAATGTCCAAATTTGTGACATTTGGTAAGCAGATTAAGCTGTGCTTCCAGTTTTAACCACATAAGGAAGAAAAAATACCCTTAACTCTACAATGGTACATTCACGTTTTGTGAAAAATTAACATCAGGCGGACGTTAGTGGCTTATCAATGGCTGATAACGATTTTAACTTAACTTTAACCTCATTAAATATCTTCGGTGTAAATGGAAAGACTAGTATCTCAAGATTATCCACCACACAAAATTATTACAGACACTTTTAAGAAGTTATATCTGTTTGCTTATATCTGTTATACTGTCTTGTAAAAATCAAATATTTATTTGCTTTCCCCTAATGAATGTCACAGTTTAGAAATGTTCTAATCAATACTGTAAATCTATTGTTGTTAAAAGTCATCTCTGCAAAACAAACTTTGTTGATTTTACCAATAAAGATGATTGCTATTTGTTTGACAATGACTCTATGTATGCAGCTATATGATGTCTCAGATATACAGTGTACTTGTATGAATCGCCACTCAGCGTAGGCAGCTTGGTTTAGATCTGTTTTGAATGCACTTTTCTAATGCTAATATGTACATATATACACAAAAGTATTTTGATATATATACACGTCTATGTATCGGATAAATCAAAAAGTAGAAATCCCTTTTGGTAGTCAAATTAATTTGGAGCATTTATTTTTTGGATCGTTTCTTAGGTAATTTTTCGTTTATAATGTGCGAAGTTAGTGGAATAAATTTGTTAGGGAACTCCCAAAGTTTCCGCACAGATCTATTACCTGATAGGTAAATACTAATGTACTGAGCCATTTCTTTGATATTACGTGATATGAGCACTAAACTACTAAGAAAGTTGCCTGCAGCTATTCTTCCCACTTCTCCCTTCCCAAACACACATCTCCGACTCTGAACGAATTTGTTTTCCTCTACACTCCTCCATGAAACGTGAAAAGTAATGCTAAAATGAATAAATCGTATGGAATATATATTTTAAACAAATTTTTTATACTTATTACAAATATACATATTACAAGAAAAAAAACAAAAATAGCATTAACTATACAAGAACAAGGCAAATTTATCGTGTTTTTTTGCAATCTTGCTAGCATATAAAACCAGGAAAAAAACCTTAAAAAACAGCAAATCAAATTTCAAATTTTACATGAATAACATTGCATATAAAATAACCCCAAATTTCCTGTATAGTTAAAAAACTCATTTGTATTATATATAAAATATTAAAGATACACAAACAAATTACGCTAAAATTGATATTTCTATGACGAAAAAGGAATCCGAAAACCAACAAAACCGCACTAGTTTATATAAAGTAAAATATAACAAATTATACATACATAATGTACTTTAAATGTTGATAAACAAAAACACAAAATAACCCATGCATTGATGATTTATATATTCAAGAAAGGAAATTTACATATTTGCGACACAAAAAGAGCAGAGCGGAGCAGATCGAAGATAACAAAAATAAAGCGTTTAATGGTTGGCAAGCAAGCAGTGCACGCAGGCCTTTTGCTATTTGCAGGTATAGCAGTTAACATTGTTAACTGCGGCAAAGCAGTTTTAAAACAAAAGTAAATCGAACAAATTTAATTCTAATAGATCGAAAGAATAACGCGTGTGAAGAAGTCCCAGAAATATTTTCCAACTGGTGTGTTGTAGGCATTATATCGGTTACAAGCGCGAAACAACAATAACAACAGAAATATTGTGTAAAAATGATTTATTATTAATGTATAAGAATAACAACAACAAAAAATGATAACATTAAACGATGTAAGCAAACCAAGGAGAAAAACAACAAAAGAACAAAAAAATATGAAAATAAAAAAAACAAGAAAAAATTGAAACCAAAATAAATGAGAAATTATTGAAAAAAAATGTGTTTTAACCATACATGGAACGCTACTTAGGCTAATTAATGGAAATATTTATTGTTAAATAAATTATGACAAATTAATAGGCTTTGCAGAAAAAACAAAAGAATTAGACCAATTACGGTGCGGTTGATTTTACTAATTGATAGATCATGTGTCTCTAACAGACGCCTCACGATCTGACCACGCTCCCATCTGAACTTACTTGCTCATTTCACAAGCACGAGTGAACTGCAGGCGCCTTGTTTCACGTCATTGGATTTGCACACTGTTTTGACGTAGGCAATGTTGCCGTTATAACAGTTATTTTACAGTTTCTACCTATTAGCAATAGAAAAAACCACGTCGAAATTCCAATCTATTACTCCACCCATTTCAACTAGGAACTCGGCGGTTTAGAAATTTATATCTCGAAAACGTTTGTAAAGCTTAGTGGTTTTGACTATCTATGCTTATATTTAGATAGACAATTACTGAAAATACCGTACGTATTTTCAGAAGTTAGTCGAATTAATTCTCCCTTGAACAGATTTATATTATAGCTCAAATTGGTATTCCCCAGCGAATTTTCTATTGAAAAGTGTAAACGGTTTAATATCTGGAAAACTTAATCGACTTTATTAATTCATTTAAGTTTAGTTCATATCTTTCTTTTATTTGTTATTCTATAATTTTGTTTAACAGGAAGTTGTGGCAACTCTGGATAAGGCTAATACCGAAAACCGTTAGTAATTTGTATTACTACTACTTAGTCGGGACGCAAACCACAGCTGTGAGAACAGAGAGCTTTTGCTTCCGGCCACAAATTGGAGGCAAAGTAAAAGTCGCGATCCCACATCTTGGCTAAGGTCAGGCGCCTTTTAATGCTGGCCAAAGTGAACGGATGCAATTACTCAATTGCTCTGGCCTTTGTGCATTGTATCAGTGCTGTGTATATGTATGAACGCCTTATGCTGGGCCCGAAGAAAATTAGCGCTATTGCCAAACGAACAGCGGTACACAGGTGAACGCTCGCGAGTGGGAGAGCGAGCTTTAGGAGCGGTTTCTTACCTGCTTAACCTGCTGCTCACGTCTGGTCTTCGTTAGTGGGAGCAGTGGAGCACTGGGAGCAGCGGCAAGAGCGTGAAGCCCGCGCAAGATATTCAAGCGAACTGCCAAGTCCCGACTCCGTCAGTCTGCGAGGCCGCCTCAAGCGTTCAACACCTGTGCGCAGTTAAAAAAATATAGAAACCCAACCCAACGCAACGCAAACCAATCCAATCCAAACCAACCAGTACTACCAATTAGCAGGCTCTTAACTCAACCGAAGTGAATGAAAAGTGGCTGAAAAAAGGGAAACTCAAGCGGTATGCAAGTGCAGAACCCAGCCCAACCAGATGAGCCCAACCCACAACCCAGCCGATTGAGATTCCAAACGCAACACATGCTGCTGGAACCGTTTTAGCCAAGAGAGTTGTTTTATTTTGGCCACAAGTGGGCAGAGAGGAGGCGAGCTGCCGAGTGTGGAGTGTGTAGCTGGTTCGAGAGATCACTGGAAAACCAAACAAACCGAAGCCAAATCGAAACAAAACAAAAACGCCAGCGAACAACATGAATCAAACGCAAGTGAATAATTTTCTAAAGTGCTTCCTGCAAATCGATGAGCCCGCCAGCCGCTGGGCATCACGTCAAGATGGGGAGGATCACGACGATCACGATCACGACCACGACCACGATGAGGAGGATGAAGATGTGAGTGGGGTGCTGGTGGCCAAGGTCACCGCCATGGTGGTGCTTTTCTGCGCCAGCACCATCTGCGGTTCTATTCCCTTCCTGCTGAACCGCTGCTACCGCTGGACGGAGAACCAGACGAATGCCCGATCCGCGATTGTTGTGAAGTGCCTGCTGTACTTTGGAGGCGGTGTCCTGCTAGCCACCACCTTCCTCCATCTGCTGCCCGAAGTGCAGGAGGTGGTCGAGGAGCTACAGGAGTGCGGCATAATCGGGGAGCTCACTTTTCCGCTGGCAGAGCTGCTCATGTGCTGTGGTTTCTTCCTCATGTACTTCATCGAGGAGGCCATGCACACGTATGTCCACCACCACCAGAAGGACGAGGCGGGTGCCGCCTTCGAGCGGGGTCACAGCATCCGGAATAGCCACCTGCTGAAACCCACCGAGGGCACCACACCCACTGCACCACCGGCGCCTTTGCAAGGGACCGCCGAACTCGGAACACTCTCGGTGCAGAATCTCCTGCAGAGCGATCTGGAGCAGCAGAAGTTCGCCTCCTCCAAGCCACAGCACCAGACGAATGGTCACGGTCACAGTCATGGTCACGGACATGGCCACAGCCACCTTCCAGTGATCGCGGATGACGCCTCCGCCGGCGACATGCTGGCATCCTCGCTGCGCGGACTCTTCATCGTGTCCGCCCTGTCGCTGCACGAGCTCTTCGAGGGCATGGCCATTGGCCTGGAGAGCTCCGCCAGTTCCGTGTGGTTCATGTTCGGCGCCGTGTCCGCCCACAAACTGGTTCTGGCCTTCTGCGTGGGCGTCGAGCTGATCGTGGCCCGCACCAGGATGACGCTGGCTATCGTCTATGTGCTGACCTTCGCCGTGGTCAGTCCGCTGGGCATCGGCATCGGAATCCTGATCAACCATGGCCAGGAGACGACCGGACCGAGTCTGGTGTCGGCCATTCTGCAGGGATTCGCCTGCGGCACGCTCATCTACGTGGTGTTCTTCGAGATCCTCTCGAAGAATCGCTCCGGTCTGCGCGCCTATTTGGCCCTCTTCGTTGGCTTCCTCGTCATGTTTGGCCTGCAGCAGTTGAGTGAGTATTCTTATTAACTTTAGATTGCTACCGAAATGCCACATACTGAAATCCGCCAGGGAAAATCTTTCATAATGATCGGTTTTTATTTGATTTTGTTTAGTAATTTTTAAACGAGAAAGACCAGAGCTTGTGAACATTCATGACAGAATAATTAAAATAAAAAAGCTGGGACCATAATGGTTGATAGAGTGCAAATGATAATTAATCATTTCTTGTAAGATTATCATATTATAATTCCGCACAGAAAGACTTTAAGTAATATTTTAAATCGAAAATGAATCACTAAAAAAAACCATTATTTTTTATCGTTATTTTTTATCCTTAAAAAAGAAAAAGGAACATTAATATTACCTTTTGGTCCCGGCGAAATACATTTAATTTTCTCTGTTCGCGGAAAATTTTACTTTTTTTCACCAGAATCACGTTCGTGTTTGTCTCTCAATATTAAAATTTACTTTCCTGGATAATTAGTGTCAAATTAACAGTAGGTATATGCAAATACTAGGCAAACTTCATTTACATGTATATACTTATTACATTTTCAGACCCTTTGAAATCAGACACTTTTGCCTGTTAGGTTAGTGCATTCACTGATAATTTGTTTAGGCTTAGGGATAATTAGTCGTCGGGCTGTCAGATGAGATTCTTTAACCGGAATCGATTCGGGTGAATTGGGAACAGGTTCTATATGACTGATCCGCTGGAAGCTGCGTGGTTGACCTTGTAAGAGACCTTGCTGCGGTTGATTTTGCATACCGACATATAAATCTGTTTGTCTGTGTACCTAGCAAACAGGTGAAATAAAAATCCCGTCCCTGCCATGAAGTCATCGCGAAAATCTGGGGCTTGTCCATTCGAAAAAGTACCGTAAAAACCACAAATTAATTTGGAGAGATGAGCAGGGGATTTATTTCAGAAAAGAAATGTTTACGCCACCAATATGTGATTAACCGAAAGTCGGATAAGTAAATATATGGGCAAGATAAGGACGGCCAAAACGCTCGTAAATCATGGCTTAGATCGGGGTGATTGAAATGCGTTCCAATGGTAACGACTTCTGCTTCTATTACGAAAAGAGTTTAGCAATCGGCGGGAAACCGTGTGTAAATAACAATGAGGAAATAGGGTCAACCAGATAAGGATTGGCTTACTTTTCAGTTTAGAGTGTTTTACCTCAGATTAACGCCAGTTAATTGTGTTACTAACTGTGTACCATTCTTTCGTTTGCAGCTTCCGGTGATGGACATGGACACAGCCACAGTCACAGCAGCTGCTCATCGTCCAGCCACACAGACGATCACCATGAGACTGAGACCAGGTCGGGCTCGGGCCACGCCCACGACCATGAGCACGACCACGATCACCCGCCACACCACAACCACGCCGAGGAGCTGGCCACGGTCCACAACTACGAGCAGCAGCTGCAGATCCTGCGGCAGGTGACCCAAAAACTGCTCGAAGCACACCCCAAGAAGGACGCCTAGATTGTAGACTGCCCAGCAGAACTTTGATCTAATTATTGTATATGTATTTATGTAGACATAAACTGTAAAAATAGTGAAAGTAAAACCAATTTATATTTAACAATTTTATTTTAATGTTTTGCCGTTTGTGGGTGTGTTTATTTTATGTAACATTTTTATGGTAAATCGTTTTCTGTATTGTTGTTCTTGCTCCAAAATATTTGCTGCTGTTAAGTGCTGTTTTTTATGTATTTGCTGGTGTCTTAATCTGAAATCTGATATGTGTTGTGATAGTCGAGTTTATAGTTTAGATCGTTGTCCCTACATTTATGCTTTCACATTTTTCATTTTCGACTCCATTGTTTTTGTCAGACATTTATATTTTGGACTTGTTTTTAATAAACATTGGTCGAAGGGTGTTGTTGGGCCTATGTCCTATTTTTATTATACCCTTGCAGAGGGTATTATAATTTTGGTCAAAAGTGTGCAACGCAGTGAAGGAGGCATCTCCGACCCTATAAAGTATATATATTCTTGATCAGGATCACCTCCTGAGTTGATATAGCCATGTCCGTCTGTCCGTCTGTCCGTCTGTCTGTCCGTCTGTCTGTCCGTCTGTCTGTCCGTCTGTCTGTTTCTACGCGAACTAGTCTCTCAGTTTTAAAGATATCGAGTTGAAACTTTGCACACAGCCTTCTTTCTTTTGCACGCAGTATATAAGTCGGAACGGCCGGGATCGGCCGACTATATCCTATAGCTGCCATATAACTGATTGATCGGAAATGCCATAACTTTGGTGTTTGTAAAGTTAGGAAGTTGGAATTTTCTATGGGTTTTATATTTGGCCAATGAATCCGACCTACCAAATTTCATAAGGATCGGCCGACTATATCCTATAGCCGCCATATAACTGATTGATCGGAAATGCCATAACATTGGTGTTTGTAAATTTAGAAAGTTGGGATTTTCTATGGGTTTTATTTTTGGCCAATTAATCCGACCTACCAAATTTCAAAAGGATCGGCCGACTATATCTTATAGCTGCCATATAACTGAACGATTGGAAATGTCATAACTTTGGTGTTCTTAAAGTTAGGAAGTTGGGACTTTTTATGAGTAATAAGAATGCATCATATGAATAATTTTGGAGAATATAATTTACAGAATATTCTGCAAGGGTATATCAACTTCGGCACCGCCCGAAGTTAGCTTTCCTTTCTTGTTTTTTCTTTATTGTAACATTTAGTTTTTAAGGCCTTTAGTAATCTTGGTACATATGTTACGGTCATGAATTGTGTAGATTCTGGACATTTTGTTCTTGTTCAATTTTTGGGTGTCTTTTTATTAATGTTTTTATTAAATGGTTTTGAAAGTCGTTGTCTTTTAAAATCAGTCTTATTTCTTCTTTGGTTTCTTTATTAAATATTTGGTCATAAACGGTTAATCATTCGTCCTGATGCTGTTGGTTTTTTGCCACTTTAGTTATAAATGTTTCCATGTCTATGAACCATTGAGTCCAAATATGACAACCTTCCAACGACCTCCTGTTCCAATTTTAACTATTATTCTGGCCACACTTTTTAAATCGTTAAAATTTTGTTAACGCGGCGTTTGACGATAGGGATACCAAAGAGGTGAAATCTATTGAAGTCAATCTATATTATTTGGAATTTACTCAAATTAATAAGTTAATTAATAAATTCTCTTATCTCAGAGCACACTAATAACATGTTAGAAAGTTCGATAATAATAAGTTACCTTTTAAATGTTTTTTTAATTAGGAAAATTGTAAAAATTGGGGTATATAAAAAGTATAAGTATATTAACCTTCATTAAAGCTTAAATCCAGTTTGTTCAGGTTTGACTGGACTTGTTTGTGGAAGTAGTACAACTATAAGAATAGTATAAATGAGATAAAAAGTTATAAAGAAATATAAAAAGATCTGTACTTATTTTTAATAAATCAAGATTTAAAAAAATTTTTACAAATTTAAAGGTTAAGAAATATGCACATGATTAGTAAAATTACTCCCCAAAACTTGATTATATTTATTCTGGATTGCCAGTTAGATTGGATGTCTCAGTAATTTAACTACGCTTCCAAGATCCAGAACAAGCTGTTTAAACGTGTTGCAAACATATTTCTGGCATTTCAAACTGGGTTGAATTCTGAAGTTTAATTGCTTTCACGAATTTTTTTAGAATACCCACCATAAAGCGGAATACGTGCCTGGGCATAAAGTTCCCCCATCAGATTGCAGGCAGGCCCCGTTTGAAGAGCAATATTGATTCTCGTCATTGTGAAATTTCAGCACGATATCTCAGCAGTAGTTTGCGAATCGTAAAGTGCGGTGGACTTATGAACGAGGCCTTGTTGCCAGGTCTGTGTTCATCATGTGATCGTCTGGTTTTGTCGCATAGCCACAATAAATACAATTTGCAGCTGATAACTTTGGTGCTTGCGTACATTTTTAACACGATATCTTCACAAAACGCGCAGACCGGTTTCGAGTTGGCCCCGCTGCTCTTTCCCACCGATCCACTATCTCTCTGTTTTGTGATAACTGAGATAACCGAATGCTCTCCGTTCGAGCCAAACTGGCAGCCAGCCCAACATCAGGCCCCCCACCGATCCCCAACGGCCGGATTGCAGCGGAAATTAGCGCGTCAAGTGTCAAGTGTGAATTTGCCAGGCGGTAAACATACCGGACAGCAGATGAAAACATCTCAGTGGCTTAATTAGCGCCATCGGGTGATCTTATTTTCATCTGCTGTCACCGATGCCGATCCCGATGATGCTGATGATACTGATACTGATAGACCCCGACCCCGAAAACCATGCCACCTGTCTGCTTCCAACGGATCTCCCCTTATCGGGCCACCATCCAATCCGTCGCTATCCGTCTCTATATGTTATCAAGACTATCTCAGGGGAGTGCACACACCTTAAATTGTTGCAGAGCGTGGGGCTAAAGGCTTAACAACAAACGGAACAGGTAATCTCTAATATGCTTGCCTGATAGGCAATATTATCACTTGAACCCAAGCTCTTGAACCAAATATACTAGAGGAACGTTCGCAGTAAATAATGTTAAACAGTGGTATGCGATAGCCAAAACAAAAGATGTATACATAAAATAAAAAAATAAAATGTTTTGATTGAGGTTCTGATAACCGGTAATGGGTAAACGTAATTTCCGAATTAGAAGGAGAATTAAAGACTTATGGTCTCATTTCTTATTAGTTGATGACTAGGGCTAACGAATGATTTTAAGCTATAAAGATTACGTTTTATAACCAGGTCGGAATGGCTTATTTTTGTTCTTAATTTCTGAAGATGTATGTCTATGGGTAAAAAATTACCTAGAACATTTTTATACTTTCTACAAATTAAAAAAGAATAACGGTTGTCTCAGCCCAAAAGTATGTGCCTTTAATTTTATAAAAAACAATTGAACGCACACTTCGGGAATATCCATAACATAAAATATGGAAATAAAATATGAATTCGTCGAGTTTACTAATCAATAAGAAATGTATATTCTGGCAGTCAGCTTTAACACATTTTTCCGAAAATGTAAAATAAAACTTCAATATTTGTGATAAAAGTTTATTATTTGCAGCTTTTTTGATGCTTTTTTCAAATAATTGAATTTATATATTAATTTGTAGTTAATTTTATGACATTAATAACGTGGCAGATACAATATTTTTGTTCGTTTTCAAGCGGGGCTGCTACATAACGTCTTTGGGAATTCGGGTGGGGTTCTTAACAATTATAACGTATCTAGTTCGGCATAAATACGGTTTTAGTTATCTAATACACATTAACACTGATCCTTTAGCATTGGCCAATAAATACAACTTCATCTGGATTCTAGAATTAATTGAATTCTTTGCTATGTATGCTCAACTAATTTAACTTTTAACCAATTTGCTAAATAATTTATTTAGTTTACGTAGAATTTCGGTACTAAATTTATGTACAAATTAGGTGGCCTATGAGCTGATTCAAACGTCCAGCTCTAACTATATAAATATTGCAAGCCAAATGCAGCAGGGACTGGACTACACACAGTTCGGTTAAACAAAACTAACGTAAGTAGATATATTAAAACACAGTCTTATTTATGTATAAAGAAATCAAATGGGTAGAATCAAATAACAGGAGCAGGCAGGCAGGCAAGCAAGGTACGAAAGGTACGCATAGGATATGTGTGGTGTTCACTCGATCCAGCTTTATCATTAGGCCTCTGCTGGGGTCACAGAATGTGTGGGCAAGAATCTCGGGGACTGCTGGAGGGGCTGCTGCTTCCAGGGACGCCGCTTCAGTTGCGTCTGTTGCGAACCAGTCAATCTGGAAGTAGTTAGGAGAGGGAGTTAGACCCTTGGTTCCACTAGCTCTGACCGACTTCACTTACCGGTTGTATTTGGATAGCTTACGCCGCTTCATCGGCGGCACTCCGTCCACGTCCAGGCGTGGGCCTACGAAGCCAAAGTTGCCCACTGTTCCCGCGAGGGGAGCTGAAACAAGGGAGGAACAGGAAATAACTAATGCTAAGTAAACTCTTCATGCTGAGAGCCTTACAGTGCTTTCGTTTGTTGTTTCGGTGCACTTGATTGATGGGCAGTTGTGCAGCACTGGATCCGCTCTCCAGGTGGGACTGGTGTCGGCGGATGCTGCAGTTGCGTCCTCGACAACCCTTCAACTGAGCCAGAGCATCGTGCATGTGAGATCTCTCTCCAGGCGTTAGACTTGCTGCGCGATTTGTAGTTTCGAAGCGGTCTACACAAGAAATATAATAATACAATATTATTTTGATCTAAATTTAAAAATTGTATTTTATATTATTTTTAACTTAAAGTGTTCTTTGTAAATTGTCCTTGCACACATTTTACCATAATATGTTTTTTTCAAGTATATTTTTTAGTTGGGGATCTTACCAATGGTCAGGTTGTAGAAGGTTATGAGGCCAGTGGTAAACTCGCAGTACAGAAAGTCGTGAGTGGCGTTGATAGTCCTTAGGCAGGAGTAGGTATTATTGTTGGCATTCATGCAGAAGCAAAAAGGACTGTCGTTCCAGAGGGGAGCAGTGCGCCAGTGCTGGTTGTCGTGCGAGAAGCAGTTCATCTTCTCGGACAGGCACTCCTTCTCCAGGCGGGCTTTCTTGATGCGCTTACGTTCCTTCTTGCGCTGTCGCTCCTCTTTCAGTTTTCTGCGCGCCTCGCGGGCCATTTCCTTAGAGTCAGCGTGGCTGGATACGAGGTTAGACGTTAGATATTGTTTAATTATACAATTTAAACGGATTTTTCTTACCTCTCGCCCACGTCAGGTTCGCAGTAGCACTCGGCTCGCGGGGCAAAGCGATGCGTCTGCGACTGTTCCATGGGATCAAATACGTTGGCATTCCCATACCCTCCGAAAACCTCCTTCTGGCCGACGACGCTTGTCCTTGGCGTGCTGCTTATGTCGGTGAAGTAGCTCATGTTAAACTCCGGACCGACTCCACTTTCCAGAGTGGGGTCATTGCGCCTGCGATTTTCGATTCTTCGACTAGCGGCCAACGCCTGCTTGTTGCTCTCCCTCAGTTGCTTCTTCATCTCCTTCAGCTTGGCAATCTTGTCCTTCAGAAGCTTGATCAGCATATCGATTTGGTTTCGGGAGGTGCGCCACGACTTCTCGTCGTCGTAGATCACATTGGAGCAGTTCACCTTTCCTGTGGCCGCATCCACAAAACAGCGATGACCGCCTGTCTTCGGATTCTTTTCGCCTCCCTCAAAGGAATTAATGGTGGAGTTGGAGCCTTGCAGCTCGTGCTCGTTAAACTTATGCTCCAGGGTCTCCAGTGTGGTCTGTATCTGCTGGATGACCTGTGCAATCGTCTCGTTGCTACTTCCACTCAAATCTCGCTTGCTGCGATGCGTGCGTTCAGCTAGTTGATCCACTACCAGGTGGAGACCCAGCAGCTCTTCCATTTCGGGGGTTATTTCTGTGTGATACACCTCCCGCTTGTTTCGCCGCCGGCCTTGACCATTATGAGTCCGCTTGCTTACGCGGTGCAATCCGGCGGATGGGGCACGGATCTTGGTGTAGACCACTCCATCGGGGGTGAAGCAGGCGCAGTTGCGTTGGTATTGCTTTCGGGGCATCGTAGCCAACTGGTGCTCTAGTTGAAGCTGGAATTAATTCGAATAATTAATTGAATTCCAGCTAAACAATATATTAACATGAGAACCTCACAAGGTAGGTACTTACATGGAACTTGCACTTGTGCTTGCGCCAACGGCCCTCCTCGTTCACGCACTTCCACTTCTGTCCGGGCAGGCAGTTTTTAAGAAGAGCCGGATCGGAGCACTCCGAATTGAGGCGCATCATCTTGGTTATGTATGGTGCCAGGGGAAGGTCGTTGTTGTGGTGGAACTCCTGGTCAATCGGCTCCTCGTCGCCCTCCTCAACGGCAGCATCTTCGAGATCGTCCTCTTCAAGAGCAGCTGCCGAACTATCCATGGCACCGTCACCCTCTGCATCATCCTCTTCGTTGTCTGTTTCTATGTCTTCATCCGCATCCTCTTGCTGCTGGGTGGTTGAGCTCATCAGATTGGCGGCGGTGATGCTGCTGGAAATGGTGGTGGTACTCTCCCCTCCACCGCCTAGAAAATCTTCAAGCAGCGAACTGTTTACCAGCTTCATGTTTCGCCGCTCGGCTTGAAGACGGGCCCGTGACTCTGCTATCTGCTCAGCCGTCTCCCTGCGGCCGGAACTTTCGATGAGAAAGCTATCCGGCCAGTTGTCCCGCACAGCGCGGTTCCTGCTCAACAGCAGGGGCAGTATGCTGCGCCCGTCCATGTGCTGCGGCGTTGGCACGCCACCCATGTCCAGGAAAGTAGGTGCCAGGTCCACATTCAGGACGATCTCATTGACCCTGTGGTGAAAAATATCATAAGTTCAAAGAGCACTTTACACTCAAATTACTTACACCTTGGAGGCCTGAATACCTGGACCGCGGATGAGGAACGGCACTCGCACATCGAACTCAAAGGGAAAGCTCTTTCCCTTGATTAGGCCAAACTGGCCCAAATGATAGCCGTGGTCCGAGGTATACACAATGTACGTGTTGTCCAGCTCGCCCAGTTCCTTTAGCTCGTTGTAGACCCGCTCCACGGCCACGTCGACACTTTGGAGGGTCTGCAGGCGCTTCGTCATCAGCAGATTGGTGAACCGCTTGTGCACGGGCTGCATGGGGTCTGTGACCCTCAGGATCCACTGTTTGTCCGGATTCGGGGCATGATCGTACGATGGAGTGCTGAGTGATAAGCATGGCATTATAAGGTGGTGTTAAAATATATGCAGCGTATATACTTACTGGTGAGTGGTCACATTGAAGAACAGATGACTATACTGCGGCGCTGAATCCTCCGGACCGTGCGGTGCCGGGAAACTCATGGTAAGCAGGACTGGCTTTCGCTGGTTCTGCTGCTTCGAGGACCGCAGGAAGGCGATCGAGTCGTTGGCTATCAGATCTGGATAGTAGTCCTTGGCGTAGTCGAAACCGTGCTTTATCTTCTGCCCGTTCAGGTTGATGCTGTAATTGTAGTACTTGGAGTTCATAATCAGCCCGCCCCACTCCCGCCAGCCAGGTGGGATGTAGGAGCCGTTGTACTTGTTCAGATACTTTCCAAAGTACCCAGTGCGGTAGCCGGCATTCGAGAGATACGTGGCATAGGATCGCGTCTCGTGAGTGGCCTGCCACTGGGGACTGGAGCAGTTGTCGTTGTTGGTGAACACCATGTGGTTGTGCACATACATCCCGGTGAGCAGCGAGGACCTCGCCGGACAGCACATGGGCGTGGTGGTGTAGGCGTGACGGAATTCGGCCCCACCATCTTTAAGGAGACGCAGAGTGCGTGGCATGAAGTTCAGCGATCCCAACTCCACGTCCTGGTCATCGGTCAGGATGAGGATTATGTTCGGTCGTCGTTCGCGGGCCGAGTTGGAATCCCGCGAGAATCTCTTCGCCGAGTGGCTGCGCTTGTGGGAGTGCGATCCTTGCTCCTTGCTGAGCACATGGAGCACAAACAGGAGGAGTATCAGGCCGGCAATGGCCAGGCGTAAGCTGGAGAGCTGCATCGTCGTTTTGGGTGAAGGGGAGACCGCAGCAGTGCTTCAAAACCCAGACGCTGATTCGGCGCCTCAGAAGCTGCGCTCAAAACACCAGCAAATCGCCCAGAAACTGCGTCATGGCTTTGTGACCTGCAAAGAAGATGATTAAGCGTTTAACCTCTTTATAGCTTTATGGGTGGAGTATTTGCTTAGCCACAGAGTGGAAATAATTTAGCTTGGCTCAGTGTTCTTCTCCTCGTTTCATGCCAACTCAACCGTCTTTTTGGGCCTGATTTCGGCTGCCTGTTTTGCAGCTGCCTGCGCTTTGCAGCTGCTTTGCCTGCCTCGAAATTTCATGCACCAGTTGACCTCGACGGTGCCTCGACTCGAGTGCCCTTGCCACCAAATATTTGCCAAGATTGTTTGGCCAAGAGCGGCGAAGAAGCGACAAATCAGAGCGATGCACATTTTGTCCACTTATCAGCAAATGTCGGCTACTGTCAGCCCGTTTTTACCACCCACCGACCGCCTGGTTTCCGGTGAAGTGTATTTGCGTCCTTGCTGAAATTTATGTGCCACTTGCCGTTAAGTGAAAACTGCATTCGCAGTGCATTTTCCCTTATCCTCTGCCAAATCCACGTAAATTTCCTTGTGCGGTTTATGCCCGTTTGGCATTGAGCTGTCAGCCCTACCCAAACCAAGCTACCACCCACTCAACCTGCACATCCCAAGGAAGGAATTGGGGGGCATTAAAGAGGTTTACTGGGGCCTTTTAAGTGTGATTTATATGGTCGCAGTGCCACTGTTTGTTGCATTGTAATTGCCACCCAGGTAACTTGGCCACTTCTTCAAGAGTCGAACACCGTGGAAGCTCCAGTAAGTGAAGACCTTCTGCATTCGGCAGGGCACTTAACGCTTTGACTCGACCTTGATGTGTGCTAAGCGATTCGACAACAAAAGAAGTGTGATCGCTCTTCGAGCGCATCTCAGCTTACGAGGTTGAACTTTAAAATGTATTGTGGGCTCTCTGGAAATGGTTAAAGTAAGTGCTCTCTGCGCTTCTTAAGCATTAAAGTGCATTACTGCTCTTCTCTAAATAACTTCAATACATTTAAATAATTCACTAAGTTTATATGGCTTTTTATCCAAACTCTGCTCTTAAATCCCAAGCTGCCCTGCCCAGTCTGCAATTTCCCAATACAAACCCAGTCACAGTTCAACTGTTGCATAACCGCAATAACTTCCTGCAAAAAGTTTTGGGAGTGGAGTTTGAATTTGACATGCCCAGACAAAAACTGTAGTTAAATATGCAACACAAATAATGGCAAAAATAAAAAAACTGGCAGCAACGAGACGATTCAGGTTGCAGCAGAAATAGCTGATAGATGGAGATGCCCAACATCCGGCGGTGGATGCAAGATGAATTGGTATATGGATGCTGGGTGGATGGATGGATGGCTAGGAGCCAACTCAATGAGCCACTTGAACGCGGCACAATAGAGAAAGCCTCCCACTCTTGCGCCTTGCAATCGCAAATGCAATATTTTGCCAGGCATTTTTATTTATTTATGCTCAATTATGCTACGTTCTTCCCTCTCCAATCGCAATCGAAATGTAGCAGAATTGCCGTAGCAATTGAGCAGAATAAAAAGAAGGAAAGCCAACTGAAGTGCATCCATTGTGAAAGCAGCTGGAAACCCTCAGCCACTTGACTGACGAAACTTCCTTGTTTCTCTCCAAGGCTGTTTTCGGATGGTTTGATGGCTGGACCAACTGCAGCCCCAAGACCAAACCGAGAGCCCGACTGGGAACAAGTTTGGGCCAGGCATGACCCAACAGCCCCGGCCCTATAAAAGGAAACATGTTTCTTGGCGAACAGACCCGACCAAAAAGCCCGATTCTGGCTCTTTTTGTGCGGCATCTTCCTGTCGCCTTCTGACAGACGTCACGCATGCTCAGATGGCATCGGGGTTTGGAGTAGGAGGCAGGGGCAGCGGCAGGGGCAGGGAGCGGGCGGCCAGCCGGCCTGGACCACAGTGAACGTGTTCCCAACTTGGCAACACCAGCAAACTTGTCTCACCAAACTCAGCCGAAGGAGCCAAGAGATTGGCGGCTTGCAGGGAGGATGAAAGCCAACACGATTTCCTGATTCATTCATGAATTTCATGACTTTGGTTTTGTGTCCTTCTGCTTTGCCCCCCGATTCCTCAGACTCTGCCACTTCATCAACTCTCCCTGCCTCGATGCCCGGCATCTTGAGACTAAAATCGTGCCTGTTGCTAGGTGATCATAAAATTTTATTACCCACATTTTACATTTTTCCTCAAAGGTTACATAGTTTTCGCTTTTCAGTTTTTTAAAGTCTGTTCTTAACTTTTAAAATATATTTATGTCGTCTGTGATGGTGAGTTATAAGTTATAACTAAGAACAGAACACATGGCAAACAAAATTAAAACTAATTTAATTGTTTACTTATGATAAGATAACATAACTCGTATAGATTAAAAAATAAGGATTTTGTGGTTTATAAAAAAAGTCGAAATTAGCGGATAAATAGTCGTATGTTTTTTTTGTTGATTACCTAATGGTGATGAAATGTTGTAAATTGACACCCAATTTGCATTTATACTACGCCAGATTTTTAAAGTTGTGACTCGGCAAGTCGAGTGCAATAAAATTAATTAATTCTCAAGTCTCGCTAAGACGTGACAATCCAATTGCATATCAAATGGTGTGATGTTTCTTATCCAGCGAACAAAATGATTACACAGCAGATACAGAAGTTGAACAGGAAAACCAGACTGAGCAGAAAAGGGAAAGCCGGCAGATATCTTTCCAGATAGGACGGGGAAGCATTCAATTAAGTGTATATATATATCTGAGTTAGCTAGGAGTCGAAGTCCAGTCGAGAGTGCGGATACAGTAGATGCAGGCTCCCGAGTCTTATGAATATGCAAAGACAGTGATGTTGACTAATCTGACGGCCAGGCACAAATTATAAATTCCGCGTTATCAGTGCTGGATCGCATGGCGTTGCCGAGTTCCTGACAGTTCTGCTGCGGATCGGACTCATTAGCCGCCATGTCAACGACTCAAGTGGGCCAAAGTCGGGGAGCAGGGAGTCCGAAGCGTGGAGCGTGGAGTCCGGAGACCCGGGTCTGCAAATGTGGAGCACCGGCTGCGTAGGCTGAGAGCCCCTGCCAAGTCCAACTTTGCGCTTAATTATGCAATTAACAAGGCAGCCAGGCGACTAGGGATTGGGTCTGACATGTGACCAGTTGATGCCTTCGCCGAGTCAATTTAACGCTTAACTAACTATTTAAAAGCTAACCCATGCTCGGCTGTGGCGAATGCAGCTCCAACTCCCACTCGCATCCGAGTATCAGAGTATCAGAGTGCAGCGTCTTCGTTACTTGCGGTTGGCGGCTTTTCCAGTTCGATTTATGCATATTTAATGGGACCCCAAAAGCTAAACCGAAACACGCCCACACTCTATTTTCGGAACCAAGTTGGCTAAAGAACATGTGGCAAGTGTCACTTGGGGGGCGTGGCAGGGGTCGACCTGTGGTAAGCCAATTTGCGTTTGGCTCACTCAACTCAGAAAACCCAAACATGTTGTGACAGTTTTGTAATGGACTTGAAATATTTAAGCTTACTTCAGCCTGACACTTTAGAGTGTTTTGGGGGCATTTATAAAACATGCATTAAGAGGAATCAACTGGAAAAGTCGAGGAGTTTATTATTCCAAATGGATGAAGTGCTGCTTTCCGCCCTGATCACTCAGCATTTTAATTTCCTCCTCGGTCAGAGAATTATGAAATAATACATTAAAATAACACTGTCTCGAATGAATACAAAACTCGAGGAAGACGAGACAATGTGCGAAAAAAGAGCACAATGTGAGAGACTTTGAGGCACGTTCCGAAGTCGGTCAGACGACAAGTGTTAGACGAGGAAGCCGAAAAAATAAACAGAATATGCGAAAGATCCCAGCGGATCGGAGTGGGTTGTGAACGATTTGTTAATGGGAATAAAAAACCGTCGTGAGTGAGTGTTTGTAGCGGAACATATTTAAATTGTGTTCCGCCATCACAATAATAAAATTCAATGGCAACAAATTGTATGCGAAATGGCTGCAAATAAATCTTTCTGTTTTTAGCGTGTCTGCTGTCATTTTGTCAGAATTATAACAGGGAGAGCGACCAGCCAAGTGTCGAGATTCACGTGGTTCACTGCCAAGAGGGCAATGGCCTGGGAGGGGCTCCGTTTTAAAGGTTTCAATTGACTCGATCGCCGCGCCGCATTACCAAATGAATATTTATTCCTTTTTAATAAAGTAGCAGCCAAATTTGTATTTTATGCAAGCATATGTCCGCGGTTATTTTGTAATGGAATCTCTTGCAATTTGTTTTACACACTTCTCAGTAATTTATTTTGCAGCTGCTGGCAAAAACTCATAAAAACCAGAATTTATGCAATTAACTCAATTACAAGTTATGGTCAGAAGGCCTGAACCACTCGGCTTCAGCAATTCCAAATTGCTTGCAAAGGTTAAAACTTAAAAGCAATTGAACAAACCAAGTTATATCTAGCATTATTAGGAACATTGCTGGTAGAAAAAATATCCTACAATTGGTCTATTAAAGCTGTCACACAACGTCCTGCCCCATCATAAATAATTTTGAAGGTGCACCGGACTAAAGCAACTCCTGTTGTTGTGGCATAAACAAATCAAATCAAATTGTGACCCACTTAGCCATTTTCCACTGCAACACACACTGCCGGCAAAAAGTCAGCTAACGGCAGCAAAAAGTGTCCTCCACTTCACCCTACCGAATTGGTCTCGGTCTGTGGTAGTTTTTTAGGGCTCTGCGAAAGAAAATTGTTGCCTGACATTTGCATATAACAGATACCCTTGCGGGTGGCCTGAACGCAGAAGTACTCTGTTTTCCCCAATGTGCTTTAATTTTCTTGGAAATCGATTTTAGCTACTTTGCCCAAGACAATTATACATAATTTGCCTTTCTTATCGCGAAAGTTTATTATCAGTTCATAGACCCACACATACCGAATTTCCCCAAAAACTATTCCCCGCCCCTCTTTAGAATTTGTGCAAATTAAACAAACAATAAAAGCTTCGCCCCTCCCGCTCACAATTGTTTTAATCTTCCCAGATATCATTGCCGTCAAGGTCTGGCCCCAAACCGAGTCGCACCGAAAATAGAAATTCTAGCGAAAATGTTAAACATTCTCTTGACATATCAGAAGAATGCTGTCTTGTCGTCACCGCTGCTCGGGATTCAATCCGCAAATAGTTGCTGCAGAAAGGCCTCCAGGCCACCAGCCAATTCGGAGCTGATGACACACAAACGGCGAATAATTAAAATAATAATACTGCGGGGAAGGAAAAAGCCGCTCACCTTGGACCAAATGGACAGTGGTCAAAAACACTCAAAATATGAGGGCTGTGGGCAGGCGATAAATCATAACCGACAACTGGGCGGGTCGAGGGCGTGGGGCAAGGCTCTGGTCTGGCTCGGATTCGCTTTCAGAGAATCGTCTTTCAAGAATGTGAATCATAAAAAAAAGCAGGATAGAAGCGAGCGATGATGAAGACGACGGCTGACTCAGTGGACTTCAACTGGGGCTCAGCTTTCAGCGCCGGGCGTCAAACGGAAGCCGCATTAGTTGCACACTCTCGAAGGCTCAAGCTGGAAGGTGCTCCACCTTATATATGTAGATATATATGTATATATATACATTGGATCAGGTTGTATGCTTGCGGAGACACGAGTCCGCTGAGAACGGATTTCGATTTCGACGGAATTAATCAGGTTGCAGACAAAGAAAGAGGACGAGGAATGCATCAGGGGTTGTTTGATTGAAGAAATTATTTCTGTTCACACTGCGATCATTTCTAATCAAACACCAGAGAACATTCCTTCTCCGAAAATTCACACTCCAAGTAATAATAATTAAATTTAAAATACTTTTCTCGCAAATTTTGTTTCTGTTTACAAGAACAAATTATATATGTACATACATGCCTGCTGGAAAGCTTTGTTAGTTTATTGCTTTCTCACAGAATTCCTTTAAATTCGAAATATAAATTCTGAAAGTTTGCCAAAATTCATCAACGAAAATTAATGTAACCTTGCCATATGTCATGTACGCCTCGTTGCCATCGCTGCAGTATTAAAATGTGATATTATACTCTTTTTGATATACCCGAACGTTATAAAATTTGAAATTCGGAAAGATGTTAGGGTAATAATTACACGGCTGTGCATACCAACAAAATTGTTGTTTTTCATCTCACCTATAAAAAGATATTTCCGCCAGTGAAAACTAGCAGCTGCAACAAGTCTTTGTGAAATTGATGTTGACTTATAAGACACGCAAGTGTCAACAAACATTTTTGCAACTGTCAGAAATTGTGAAAGGCGAAAAGTGCAAAGTAAAATTTACAGATTGGTTTTTGTGTCTTTCTAAATGCGCTTTGGAAATAGAGGACACATTACTAAGTAGCTAAATGCGGTTACGCTCTAAGCAAGGAGATTTATATATAGACGCCAGATACTCGTAATCACTAGTAAGACGCCATGGAATCAACAGCCGAAATAGCTCAGTTGGGAGAGCGTTAGACTGAAGATCTAAAGGTCCCCGGTTCAATCCCGGGTTTCGGCAATATCATCATTTTTTGCGATATTTTATTTGTAAATACTACAGATGTACACTAACCAAACAACATATGTTGTATTGTTAGTGATAAGTATTATAAATATTCATAGAATTAAACGCTATTAGCTTACACAATGAAATGTTGTTTATCAAAATATTTAAATCATTTTAAATGTATTATTATAATTTTTAAATGTAATTGAATTAAATTAATAATTACAACTTCTGACACGAAATTCCATAGTTCAAACACCCTCTACTCGATATCTCTTTTTGTTAAATACAAAGGTTTGGCAGCCGTTATCCTTTTTAAAGAAAATCTAAACAGTTTTCCTATTAACTTTGAAATTTGGAAACTTTGGAGCCACCCCACCATGTGTTTCCGTGGTGTAGTGGTTATCACATCCGCCTAACACGCGGAAGGCCCCCGGTTCAATCCCGGGCGGAAACAAGAATAGGAAATATTATTTTTTTGAAAATATTATTTTTTTATTTTTATTCACCCCATGCATTTTATGAAAGTCATCAAAGTGCGCTTTATCAAAAGCCGAAATAGCTCAGTTGGGAGAGCGTTAGACTGAAGATCTAAAGGTCCCCGGTTCAATCCCGGGTTTCGGCAAAATCACTTTTTTGCAGCACTATATTTATAACGAGGACGGAAGCTAACTTCGGCAAGCCGAAGTTTTAATACCCTTGCAGACTTTGACGAAATTGCTAAAAGTGAAAAAGTAGCGAAAGGAATAAGGTATACATAAGTAAACTAGATTTGCATCGTTTCAAGTCAATTGCTTTTATACTGCAAAAATGTCATATACAAAAGGGATACTTTCGCAGAATTTAACAATTTTTCCTATCTCCTTTAAGATATAGACTTCCGAGCGGCAAGCGCTTTTACCCTAATCAAGATATGCGTAAATAAATAAGAATTGGAAAATGTTATGTTAGTAGCTTACACACTGCGCGAAATATTCTGATAATCATCAAATTTGGACCGATTTCACCCTATTGTTCCTATGGGAGCTATAGGATATAGACGTCCGATCGGCAAGCGCTTTTACCCTGATCAAGGTATGCGTAAATAAATAAGACTTGGAAAAATGTATGTCAATAGCTTATACACTGCGCGAAATATTCTAAAAAACATGAAATTTTGACCGATTTCACCGTATTGTTCCTATGGGAGCTATAGGATATAGACGTCCGATCAGCACGCGCTTTTACCTTGATGAAGGAATGCATAAAAAAATACGATTTGAAAAAATGTACAGCAATAGCTTTTACACATCGCGAAATATTCTGAAAAACATCAAATTTGGACCGATTTTACCCTATTGTTCCTATGGGAGCTATAGGATATAGACGTCCGATCGTCACGCGCTTTTACCCTGATCAAGGTACGCATAAAAAAATAAGATTTGGAAAGATTTATGTCAATAGCTTTTACACTGCGCGAAATATCCTAAAAATCATTAAATTTTAACCGATTTTACCCTATTGTTCCTATGGGAGCTATAGGGTATAGACGTCCGATCGCCACGCGCTTTTACCCTGATTAAGGTATGCATAAAAAAATACGATTTGTAAAGATTAATGTCAATAGCTTTTACACTGCGCGAAATATCATAAATTCTTGCAAGATATATCCAATTGTTCCTATGGGAGCTATAGGATATAGACGTCCGATCGGGGCGATTTTCAAACTTGATCTGCGTACACATGTTTTAGGACGATTGTGAAAGTTTCAGATCGCTAGCTTTTAAACTGAGCTCGCAAACGGTATTGAAACAGACGGACAGACGGACAGACGGACAGACGGACAGACGGACATGGCTATATCGACTCCCCTATTGATCCTGATCAAGAATATATATACTTTATGGGGTCGGAAACGTCTCCTTCACTGCGTTACAAACTTCTGACCAAAATTATAATACCCTCTGCAAGGGTATAAAAAGAAGAATTTATATTACATTTTGACTAAACCAAATTGTTCTTGGGAAAGCTTAACTTCATAATTTAAATAAACATAAGCGAAGTAAATTAGTGGTTACATTAAAACTTCCAAATTTATTTCTGATAAATACAAAATTAATTTTATTTTTAAAAATGATAGCTATGTTTGACTTCCATTTGTTATCCTTTTTTTTAATCTTTCAAAAACTTAAAAAAATAGAAAGCGTTTAAACCACCCCAACACGTGTTTCCGTGGTGTAGTGGTTATCACATCCGCCTAACACGCGGAAGGCCCCCGGTTCAATCCCGGGCGGAAACATAAAATTAATTGTTACTTTTTTGTATATTTAATATTCTTATTGTATAAAAGATATAAAATCGGTCTTGACGAATACTTAAAATATCTCAACTGTAATTAATGACATTTCTGTTAATTTTGAATAATTTGAGGATAAAGAATTTGTGGTAACAAGAAAATACAAAAAAAAAACTGAGTTTAGTGTCACTTTTTCGTCCTCTTTCGTGTTCCCAAAATTAAATTAAAAATCCGAAGATCAGTAAAATGCCTACATCCTCGACCTGGCCGCGGACCTACCTCAACTGGAAGCGGGTGCTGTTCCTCTCGCTAAAGTGCGTCTACTTCATGCTGGTGGTGAAGTTCAGCCAGAAGAGCCTGGAGATGTCCGTCAAGAGCCGCCTGGCCCAGAGGCAGAGGCAAAGACTGCTTGAGGGACCGCAGAGCGGAGGAGAAGCACTCACTTGATGGTCACATGACGATTCCTATTTGTCCCATTTGGAAAAGCGGAGAAGCCGATGAATAAACGACAGTTGGAAAATGTCTGTGCGCTGTCTTAATACGTTTTTATTAGCCAAGAGATTCGCGTCGGGCTGACGGCCAGAGTAATTAGACTCCATTAGTGGGCTGGCAGACGTCGCCGCGTTTCTCCCGAAGGCAGTACTACAGAAATTTATGCAAAGTGCTCACGAGCCATGTGCCACTCCAGATCTATCTCCATCTACAGCCATGCCCATATCCGTAGCCACATGTTGGCGCTCATAATTTGTACGCCATTAGACAACTTTGTGCATAAACTCATTAAAATGTACTTGAATCCCTCGAAACGAAATGGAGATGGCACTGCTGATGTGGCTGAATCTGGAGCTGCGATGGCGTCGCGTTTGGCTAATTTGTCGAGCAGCGTCAAATGACAAGGAACAAGTAACAGTCTGCCTCCCCAGTTCCCACCACTCCACTTCCCCTCCAGATCCCATGGACATGTGGCGCAATTTGACAGTTTGAGGCGCAACAAGATAGATTGGCTCGCAAAGATGCTGGGCTGGCCGGATTGAAGTGGAGTGTGGATGGTGTGGATGGAAATGGCAATGTCAGTGCAGACATTACGCAATTCGAGACAAGTCAAGCAAACACTCGAGTGTGGTTCGCCTCTGGGATGATTATGATTATGAGCTCGATGAGTTTGTCGCTGTCTTGCTCTCTTGAATTTTCCTGCCAAACATAATGAAGACGCTAGACAGACGCTGGGGAGTCGTCACGCATTACTTGGCTGCGTCCACCCAGACAATAGATACATAGTTTGGAAAGTGTCTAAGCAGGGTCTTAATTTAAGACCTTGTACAACTACCACTACTACCTTACCTTATTAGTACTTCAGAAAGAAACAATACTTAAGTTATCTTTAGCAGTTAAAAAACATCGTATAACACCAAAAAAAATTCGAGAAATGAAGACATTGTACTTGCATTTATACTCCCTATTCTTAATCCAAATAGTGTTAAGAAAGTTTGAATTGTAAATGTAAGTTCAAAATGTAGTCTATTACTTTTTTTGTGAAAATTCGATTTAAGGCTTTAACGAAAAAACAACACGTTTTAAACTAAAAAACAAGAGAGAACGCTATAGTCGGGTGCCCCGACTATCAGATACCCGTTACTCAGGTAAAGGGAGTGCGAGGGAGATGGAGATAGAAACTTTGATCACGTATAACTTTTTAACGAATGGTCCGATTTGAAAAATTTCTTCTACATTTCGATAGGTATTGATAAACACAATAAAACTGCATTTTTACTTTTCCGAAATATTTAAATTTTTAAAATCGTATATAAGCGATTGTGGGCGTTAAAGGGGGCGTGGCACCTTTTTGAAACAAACTTGCGCTGCGTAGGAACTCCTAAAATCTACATGCAAAATGCCAATCTTCTAGCTTTTATAGTTTCCGAGATCTCAGCGTTCATACGGACAGACAGACAGACAGACAGACAGACGGACAGACAGACGGACAGACGGACATGGCTAGATCGACTCGGCTAGTGATCCTGAACAAGAATATATATACTTTATAGGGTCGGAAACGCTTCCTTCTAGCTGTTACATACTTTTGCACGAATACAATATACCCTTTTACTCTACGAGTAACGGGTATAACAAGAAAGGAAAGCTAACTTCGGGCGGAGCCGAAGTTGATATACCCTTGCAGAATATTCTGTAAATTATATTCTCCAAAATTATTTATATGATGCATTCTTAATACTCATAAAAAATCCCAACTTCCTTTAAAAACACCAAAGTTATGTCATTTCCAATCGTTCAGTTATATGGCAGCTATAGGATATAGTCGGCCGATCCTTATGAAATTTGGTAAGTCAGACTGATTAGCCAAAAATAAAACCCATAGAACTTCCTAACTTGCTAACTTGAAAAACACCAAAGTTATGGCATTTCCGATCGTTCAGTTATATGGCAGCTATATGATATAGTAGCCCGATCCGGCTCGTTCCGACTTATATACTACCTGCAATAGAAAGACAACTTTTGGGAAAGTTTCAAGCAGATAGCTTTAAAACTGAGGGACTAGTTTGCGTAGAAACGGACGGACGGACAGACGGACGGACAGACGGACATGGCTTGATCGACTCTCCTGGTGATGCTGATCAAGAATATATATACTTTATAGGGTCGGAAATGTCTCCTTCACTGCGTTGCAAACTTTTGACTGAAATTATAATACCCTCTGCAAGGGTATAATAAACAAAACTAATGACCTTATTAGGTAAACAACGTTTTTAAAGATAGTTTAAAAACAAGAAAGGAAAGCTAACTTCGGGCGGAGCCGAAGTTGATATACCCTTGCAGAATACTCTGTAAATTATATTCTCCAAAATTATTCATATGATGCATTCTTAATACTCATAAAAAATCCGAACTTCCTAACTTTAACAACAACAAAGTTATGGCATTTCCAATCGTTCAGTTATATGGCAGCTATAGGATATAGTCGGCCGATCCTTATGAAATTTGATAGGTCGGATTGATTGGCCAAAAATAAAATCCATAGAAAATCCCAACTTCCTAACTTTACAAACACCAAAGTTATGGCATTTCCGATCAATCAGTTATATGGCAGCTATAGGATATAGTCGGCCGATCCTTATGAAATTTGGTGGGTCGGATTGATTGGCCAAATATAAAACCCATAGAAAATCTTAACTTTCTAACTTTACAAACACCAAAGTTATGGCATTTCCGATCAATCAGTTATATGGCAGCTATAGGATATAGTCGGCCGATCCTTATGAAATTTGGTAGGTCGGATTATTGGCCAAATATAAAACCCATAGAAAATCCAAACTTTCTAACTTTACAAACACCAAAGTTATGGCATTTCCGATCAATCAGTTATATGGCACATATAGGATATAGTCGGCCGATCCTTATGAAATTTGGTAGGTCGGATTGATTGGCCAAATATAAAACCCATAGAAAATCCCAACTTCCTAACTTTACAAACACGAAAGTTATGGCATTTCCGATCAATCAGTTATATGGCAGCTATAGGATATAGTCGGCCGATCCCGGCCGTTCCGACTTATATACTGCGTGCAAAGGAAAGAAGGGTGTGTGCAAAGTTTCAATTCGATAGCTTTAAAACTGAGAGACTAGTTTGCGTAGAAACAGACAGACGGACAGACGGACAGACAGACGGACAGACGGACAGACGGACAGACGGACATGGCTATATCAACTCAGGAGGTGATCCTGATCAAGAATATATATACTTTATAGGGTCGGAGATGTCTCCTTCACTGCGTTGCACACTTTTGACCAAAATTATAATACCCTCTGCAAGGGTATAACAATAAATCGAATGTTAGATGAAACCTATTTTTAGTCCACCAGAGGTTGTCGATCACCTAAAAAGTCCCCTTATGTTGTCTAATTGTGAATCACAGCCAAGGCCAAGCGCCCAATTAAATCGAATCGAGTGGAATTGGTGAAGACACATGTATCTATATACTGATTACAATGTCATTTGCTTATCAGCTAGTTATCATTATCGGCAAGTTCGGACCACCTTTGTCCGATTTAAACACGATTGTGGGCTTCTTTTGGGCCCCACTCACGAACGAGCTACCAAACGAAACATTTCGACTTTTAAAGAATGAGTGGAATGCAAACCACTTCGGTGGCGGCAGGTCCCGTTCCACAGAAGGAGACCATCATCCTTGCCACCGTAGGACCGCCGGAGCCTCCAAAACCCGCAGTTACCGTTAATAACAATGGATACTTTTCCCGAGTCAAGAAGGGAAACAGTGTAGTTAGTGGAGGTGAGAAAATGAGGATACCGCAACGGCAAATATCTTTATAAACGCTTTTCCCTTTAGTTTTCTTTTTACTCGTCTATGGCGGAATGGATCTGGCCTCAAGCTTGGGCTGGAATCACACCTTCAACGTTTTCTTATTCACGGAGTATTCGTACTGTTGGTTCATAGGTGTCATCATTGGAGCTTTTGCCACCATTCTCACCATGTCATATCTGCCCAAGCAAGTCTACTATGTAAGTAAGGGTACACATTTAATTTCTTAGGTCGATATAAAACTAGACCTAGATATGAGACAAAAAAACTAATTAAAATCCGTATTTGCATTATTAAGATTTATGTTTCATCATTCTTGGTAATTCTTTCGGTTTTACAAATATGTAATGTATAAATGCGATGGTATAAACATCATCCAAATTAATGAAGATTCTGTTCTTTCTGAGATAGTTTCTTTAAAAAAACATGAATATAATTTTTTAATGTTGTTTTCTAATTCCATATTTTGCAGGTCCTAGGAGCTTTGTTGCAGCTAACTGGCTCTATTATCTTCACCGCTGCTCCTGGGGACTACGCATCTTGTTTGGCCGCCCGCTACTTGGCCGGCTTGGGCATTGGCCTGCTTACGGTGCCCTTCCTCATCCACAACGCCGAGGTGGCGGGTACCAACTTTCGCGGCGTGAGCGCCGGTCTGGAGCAGTGCGCCCTGGCCTTGGGAATCGAAGTCCAGGTGATCTACATCACGGAGTGGTCTTCGATAGTAGGAGCTGAACCCAACTTGATACACGGCATCATCGGGATTGTGCTCTCCTTGTTGGGCCTGGGGCTGTCTGCCCTGTCGGTTGAGTCACCGATCTTCTACCTACGTCGAAACCAGGAAACCATGGCGCGCCAGTGCCAGGAGAAGCTACTGGCCAATTGCCCCAATTGCGTCAGTAAGGCCCTCGACGAGGCCAGGCTCTACGTGGCGGAGAGCGACAGCCGGAGCCTGGGCGAGGAGCTGGTGGCCTCCGTGGGACCCTTTCTGAAGCTGCTCTTCTTCCGCTGCTTCGTCGCGTTCTCCTTCTCCCTGCCGCTGACCATGTCGATTATCTCGAGCACCGCAGTGGCAGAGGGTTCCTCTAGCGGTTGGCCATTGTATGTGTTTATCACACTGCGTCTGGTCGGCACCGGAGTAGCTCTTTGCTTCCTGGACACATTGGGTCGCAAAGCGGTTTCCCTGGTGGGTCTGGCCTGCATGGCCGGACTTATGCTGGGCCTGGCAATTTTGTATTCCGACCCGCTCAATATAATCGCCTGGAAACCCATGGTCCAGGCCTGCAATATCGGAATGGCACTCCAGGCATTCGCCGGACTCTTTGTCTGCAGCTCGTCCGTCTACATGGGCGAAGCCTTTCCCATGCGGGTCAAAGCTTCTCTGGTCGGACTGATCGTCATCATAGAGCAGCTCATCCATGTCATCGTAATCGCCTGCGTAAGCTTTGTGTCCAGTGAGGACATCTACTTCCCGTACTTTCTGTCCGCGAGCATAACCATGCTGCTCGGCGTGATTTTCTTTGCCGTCTCCTTGCCGGAGACGAAGAGAATGACGCTGCGACAGGCTGGCCACCGCTTCCAGAGGTGGTATGATCTGAGCTTCTACTAGACGTTACGATGCGGACTGGAAAACTCATTATACTTGTTCAAGTTTTCGTTTGTTTATTTGTTAGTATAGGTTAATAAAATCATATGGTAATCAGCTCATAAGTGGAAACAAAAATAGAACCGTCCAGTGCGAAAATAAATATTCAAATTACTTGAAATAATTAATGTGGAATGATGACAGCATAGTCAGTTTTAATTGCCTCCCTAAATAAAAGATTGTTCAATAATATTGCTTATGTTTGAAAACCCCCTTTTATTGGGCGAAACATTACTGTAGTACTGACTCTACTTTAATTTAGTTTTTCCATGGAAATGACTAATGAATGTGCCATGTGCCTATTTGTGGTAAATAGAATTGGTTTTTGTATCTCTAATAGCGTGTCGTAAAAATAATAAAATAATGCAATTTTGTAAATTTCCTACAACAAAAAAAGTTTTATCGATCCTCATTGAGGCTTACTTTCCCACTTAAAAGCGGCCTGAGACGTTATCTAAAAGCTTAAAAACTATGGCATTAATCCCCTCTTTGGTAATATTACTTACACGACGATTGCTTCTTGAGCTCTGTGTAGTTCTTACTTGTCCATCAAGTCGTGCGGATCGAACAAAGTTATTTTCACAGAAAGGAGGGAATATTCTTTCAAGGAAGGAAGGAAAATGACAATCACTTATGTTACGGCTGGTCCGGATGGCGATCAACCAAATACTTTTACTACAAAGGAACGCGAAGGAAGATATATCCGTAAAACACCTCCGAAGCAGCCACCGATGCAAACGGTTAATTTAACTGTCGGCAATCCTAGTTCCGTGCGCCACTTCAACAAGCAACTTAACGTTGCCTGTGCTGGTGGGTGGATAAAACGAAGTTCATCCAGTTTTGAAGCAGTTACTCATTCGTTTATCTTCGCTTGCCAGTGTTCTTTCTTTTTGTCTATGGCGGCATGGACTTCGCCCACAGTGCTGGCTGGAATCAGACCTTGAACACCTCCGCCACTCAGGTGTTCAAGTGCAGTTGGTTTATAGGTGTCCTAGCTGGAGCTGCCATCGCCTCGCTGGCCATGACCTTTCTGCCGAAGTTGCCCTTCTATGTAATAGAGAAGTACACCTTTTCGATCGCTAGCTTTTATTGCTTTCCCTGTAGGTCCTCGGAGGTCTGATGCAACTCACGGGATCCATTATTTTCACCTGTGCCCCCTTCGACTACGGACTTCTTATGGCCGCGCGTTATGTGGCCGGTGCGGGAATTGGACTGATCACTGTTCCGTTTCTCATCCACAGCGCTGAGGTGGCGTCGGACAACTATCGCGGGGTCAGCGCATCAATGGAGCAGTGTGGCCTGGCTCTGGGCATCGCAATTCAGGTTAATGCTCAACAGAGGAAGTTAATCTTACAGCTCATAGAACATGGAAATAAATCCCCTAGGTTATTTACGACACGCAGTGGGTGGATGACAAGGAAGCATCCGTCAACGAGGTTCATGGAATCATAGGAATTGTCTTTTCCATTCTCGGTCTAGGAATGACAGCTCTCTCGATTGAGTCGCCCATCTTTCACCTGCGTCGCAACCAGGAGGAGAAGGCCCGCGAATGTCACCAAAAACTATTGGGTAGCTTCAACAGTTCGGTGGACCAGTCATTCGAGGAGGTCAGTCGCTACGTGGCGGAGAGTCGGAATAGGAGCTTTTGTCAGGAACTTTGGAGCTCAGTGGTGCCCTTTATTAAGCTGCTCCTCTACCGCGGCTTTGTCGCCTTTTCCTTTTCCCTACCCCTTTCCGCATCCCTGATCTCGAGCACTCTGATGACCAAGGGCTATATATCCTGTTGGCCAGTGACGGTTTGGGGACTGGTCCGTTTGCTCGGAGCTCTGGTCGCCCAGGGATTCTTGGACAGGATGGGCCGGAAGCTCATCTCGCTCGTGGGACTGCTCTGCATGGCCATCCTGATGCTCTGCATGGCCGTCTCCTACGCAAGTCCGGCGAACGTGCTCCTCACCTACTACATGAACCAAGTGTGGAAGCTGGGAGTAGCTTTCCAGGCCTTTGCCGGACTCTTCGTGTGCAGCTCATCCGTCTATCTGGGCGAGGCATTTCCCATGAGAGTTAAGCCCTTCCTCGTGGGATATATTGTGGGCTTCGAGCAGACGGTCCACATCATTAACATTGTTGGCTATAACCGGGGCTCCGATAATTTCTTTTACCATTACTATTTGTGTGTGGGAATAATACTATTGGTTGGAGTGATTTTCTTCGGAATTGTCATTCCAGAAACAAAGAAAATTACTCTGCGAGAGGCTAACAGGCGGTTCCAGCGATTGCACAATATTAAATTATTTTAGAAAAATAAAATAAAGAGAATAACAAAATTGTAATTGCAAGGGATGGCGTTTTATTTACCCATTATTTCATTCTAATTTGGCTTACACAGTTAAACTTTAAAGAATTGCCTAGATTTGATTAATAAATCGGATAATTACATATCCAAATGTGTGTATATTCTTTTTATAAATAAAAACAAGAATAAACTTACAGTCAAAACATAATTGATTATAAATTTCAAGTTCTTTCCCGATAAGAAAGAAGAGCATATAGATACAATTTATCTTATCCGCAACATGTTAGCTTTGACATTTGTTAATCAAATCAATATCAACTGATAACATTTTTCCCATTAATTCGAGCACGTCATCCGCTTATCCGTTGTCAATTAGCTTTTCTGAAGGCCTCTTGTTTTTTGGGGGTATACCCCATAAACGATGGGTCATGCTCGCGGAACTTTGTACCCCTTAGCCGATCAATTTACCAAAGTTAGCTAGGATACCACAAATAAGTGAGTAACACTGGACCCCATGGCCCTTGAATGTTTCTGTGACATTATCACGACTTATGGGGGCTTACTTTAAATGAATCACAACAAGCGGCAGGCCTACCGTAAAAAGGAAAACGCGAGTATCTACCAGCTGATAAAATATATCAATTATCAGATATCTTTTTTTGCTGATAGCTACTACTTACGCTGAAATATTTTATAAAAGCTCGCTCAGTCTGCCACTGGCCACTAAAACGAACGAATCGATCCTGAGAGTCAAGAAGTATTCAGCCCGCTTTCTGGTTATATAAGGAAGAAATATGACGACCACATATGTCACCAGGGGCCCAGTGCCCGTCCAGCAAACCACCTACATCACCACTGGTCCCCAGCAAATAAGCACAACATATGTCACCACTGGACGGCAACCGCCACCACCACCACCTCCACAAGCCACGGTGGTGGTCACCGCTCCAAACAACAGACGCTGGGCCACCGCCGCCCAAACGCAATCTGGAACAGCAGGTGAGATTTGCATAAGCCTAAAATCAATCTAATGTTCACAGAAGTCTCTACAATTTAAATAATGTTTTGGAGTAATTACTCGAATTGGGGCACTACAATAACTCATATCGACATAATTAGTAAGAAGTTTGCAACTTAGTAAAGGACACATTTTTAAAGTATTTGTCTTCATGATCAGGGTCATCAGCGTGTCCGATTCTACAGAAACTTGTTTCTTAGCTTCAATACTTTTTGGGTTAAGCTTTTCCAAATCTTTTTTTCTATATATAGTAATTTCATCCGATTTTAGAAATTATATTTTAATTATATAAAAAATCTGTATAATTTTATAAAAAGCAACGCATATCTAAATATATTTAAAAGCGAAATTACCGTATATTAGCTAGCTTCCATAATAGAAAGAGTCATAATAAGTCATAAATATCTATATCATAAAAAGGGTATATCGAGTACGGTTTAGCTTCCTTTTATTTGTTATTGTTTATTTAACAATGATTTTATTAATCCCACAACTTTTCCGTCAACAGCCACGCTTCTTTTCGTGTACGCCGGAATGGACATGGCCCAAAGCCTGGGCTGGAACTTGTCCCCCAATTATGTCAATTATTTCAGCACCCTTGAGTTCCAGTACAGTTGGTTTATTGGCGTCATCATCGGAACTGTGGTGGCGGCCATAACCGCATCCTTCCTGCCCAAAATAGTCTTTTATGTAAGTGACAGTTCAGAGATCAATAAAGATTCCCGGGCTAATATCAATCTTTCTCCCCAGGGTCTTGGTGGTGTAATGAACCTTATTGACGCCATTATTTTTGTGAGTGCTCCCTACCAGTACGAGTCAATCCTGGCCGCCCGCTATGTGGGCGGTGTGGGCATCGGCCTGATCACCGTACCATTCCTCATCCACAGCGCCGAGATCGCTTCGAGTACGAACCGAGGAACTTGCTGCGCCCTGGAACAGTACGGCCTGGCACTGGGCGTGGCCATTCAAGTGATTTACGATTCGCAGTGGACGCAGAACTTAGGCATGACCATCAACCGGGTGCACGGAATCTTCGGCATTGTCTTCGCGGCCATTTCGCTTGGCAGCTTAGCCATGACGATCGATTCGCCGATCTTCTACATCCGCCAGAACCAGGAGCAGAAGGCGCGAGCCAGTGTGAAGCAGCTGATGGGTGCTTTTTGGACCCGGGAGGGGGGAGAGGTGGCCTACGACGAGGCCAAGCTGTACGTGGTGGAGGGCAGCAGCCAGGGAGTGGGTGAGCAGCTGAAGGAGTCCATGATGCCCTTTCTGAAGCTGCTGTTCTTCCGCTGCTTCGTGGCCTTCACCTTCTCAATGCCGCTGTCGATTTCAATGGAGTGGACCACGTACTTCGTGGAGGGATCCACATACTCCTGGCCCACAATCATATTCGGCATACTTCGTCTGATCGGAGCACTGATCACCTTCGCCGTGTTGGACACCGTGGGCCGGAAGTTCGTCTCGCTGCTTGGACTCATGTGCATGGCCGGACTGATGCTGGGCATGGCCGGAGTCTACGGGGACTACGCGCACGTAGCCGACCCCTACTTCATGTGGCAGGTGTGCCGCCTGGGCATGGCCTTTCAGTTCTTCGCCGGACTCTTCATCTGCAGCTCATCCGTCTATCTGGGCGAGGCCTTCCCGATGCGCGTAAAGCCCTTCCTGATCGGCCTGATAGTGTGTCTGGAGCAGGTGATCCACATCATTGTGATCATCACGTTCGCCACCACCCCCGAGTTCTATTACACCTACTTCGTGGCCGTGGGCATTATCATGGTAATAGGTCTGGTGGCCTTTGCTGTCCTGATGCCGGAGACTCGTGGTTTGACCCTAAGACAGGCGGGCGAACGATTCCGACGGGTGCACGACGTCATGGCCTACTAAGTGGCTTCTATTTCATTTCTGTAATCGCTAGTCCAATAAAATGCTGCCCAATAATATAATGACAATTCATCTTTTAAGACATACCTAACAAACAAAATGGGAAAATAATGTTTGCCTTTAAAGTTCGTGAAAAAGTAAATATTATTCGTCACTCATACAGTACAAACTTTTAATATAATCTGCAAAGTTGTGTGCTTACATTTGTAATTGTAAATGTTGTTTCCACTTTAATTGTTTGCAAATTGGAAAATTAAAAAAACATAAAGTTACTAATTCTCAAAAAAACACACATTTAATAGTTTTTTTTGCTGAGCTTGCGACTTGATTTCCGCATGGATAAAAAATGCAGTCGGCAGCTGCTTCGCAATTCTTCTCCGACTTTTATGCATATTTATGTCTTCTCAAATTTTGAATGCGGTTTATTCCCCTCTCTGCGAGCCACTGGAGACTATTTTTATATGCCCTGCGGCTAGCAGAGTTTATTTTGAACTTTATTATGGGCTAATTTATGTCTCCGCCGGCTTCTGCCCGGTCCTAATCCCCACATGTGTATGCCTTCATTTGCTCCATTTCTGACACTTTGATGGCGCTTTGGTGGTGTTCGCTCGGATGCCAAACATGTTTGTTTAGGCGGTTTATGCGTTTTTAATGCACTTCTATGGATAAAATTTGTTTCATGCCCAATTAAACATTTTGCCGAAAGCAGCAGCTGCTGCGATCTGATACGCGGGGTAATTTGGATTCTTGGAATAAGTATGCTTGTGAGCAATGTATTTAGCAGTTAAAACATAAGTTGATGACTACATCATTTAAGTAGTCAACAATTTGATTAAAAAGCCGATGCCGGACTGAAGAGTAGCAACCTTGCATTGCCCAGGAACGAAAGTCAAGCACTTACAGCCAGAGCCACAAAGGCCCATCAAGACAACAATACGGCGAATTATATGAATTACAATTCAAATGATCTTACAAGTAACACATTGACAACAGGGATGCCGAGCTGGAGGAAGAGCAACGAGGCACAGGCCCATTACAGCGCACAAAAATGCGCATAAAAATTGCATTAAAATGCCATCCAAGACTGGGGCCTAATGAAGGAATGGCAATAAAGGACAATTGCCAGCAGCAGCATGTTCCGCGATTGCTGGGAAAAAGCTGCCGATGCCCTTAAATAGACGAAGCTGGCCAAGATGGATGCTCGGTGCCCAATCGCATCGACAGGCGGCCAAATGCGTGCAAAAATGTTGCCACGTCTCTCGAGTGGCTTTCTCGACTCGGCGATTTCCCAGGCACCAAAGTGAATTAAATGCAGACGCGTGATTTTGCACATTAATTACGCGCCACCCTTGGTTTTCCTGGGGTGAGAGTTCAAACCACATTCGGTGCATCGATTTGCGCCGCTTCAGGGGCAGCGAACCGAAAGGAACTCAATGGCTAAGGCAGCTGTATCCAACCAAGTGCGAAGAAACGAATTTTATGGACCGCAGCTTTGGCTAATTACCTGCTCAAAGGTGGATTACGTAATTTCATTTCAGGGACGCATTTGAAAGCTAACAATAAAACTAGATATTTGGGCTTTGATTAAAATAGATTTTAGAGCGAACAACTTACCTTAGCTTTTGATATATAAGACTTGCTCTTAGTCCAGTATTCACTGCAAAAGAGAAATGAAATGATTAACACCTTGGCAAAGAAAGCAAATAAGGTAGTAAGGAAAGCAGGACAGCTGGAAATCCTTAATCAAGCAGCGTTATCATTTATTCATCTCAATTAAAACAGACCCTCTTCCCCACTCAAGCTGGTGACACTTTCAAGAAGCCAACTGCAAAGACTCTTGCGAACTTTCTGCTCATTTACAACTGACACATTTGCACCTGCTTCACAGCGAAATGAGCGGAGTGATTGATAGTTGGCCCGTGGAATGAGTGACGAGTCCGTGACCCGGACCAGGAGTTTTCCTTAGCCGGGCAAATTTCCATCTGTCAGCTGTCAGTTTTGAATGGCGGCAGGCAGGCGGTGAACTTGGCATTTTAATTGAGTGCACAAAACTCATGGAAATGACTGCAGTGCCAGCGTGTATGCGAATTAATAGGATTTCAGTTGATGGGGTGAAGGAGTTGAAGTGGCTTTCCAGTCTGGGGGTAGGGTATTGCCACTTCGTTTTGTTTCTCCGAGTCGCTTCCGAGCTAAGGCCAGCTTGTTTGGCTTTTATTGAACAAACAGCTGCCGCTTTACTGACTTTAGGTGAGCGGTTGTTTTCTCGAGTTTACGACTCCGCTGCCACGCTGCGTATGCGCAATGCATGCCGACCCCCTTGAAAGTCACCTTTTAACCCAGTTTGGCCTGTCGGTTGTTAGTTTTCTGTGTTATCACTAACACCTTTCTGAAAGTGTTCTCTTGACATGCGAGCACCAAAAACTACAACTGTGCTTTTTCCGGTAACTTTTCGCCAAGGCAACCTTGAACGAATTAACAAAATCAAATTAAACATAAGCCGATTGAACTGAAACTGCACCCATTGCGTATACGCAGCGTTCGCAAATAGGAAGGCAAACAAAGTGCGACTGAAGTGAATGGTCTTCCCTCCTCGGCGTGTTTGCCCGTCTATTTGGCCCGCGTATTTACGGACATATTTACATACAAGGCAGGCAAACAGAATGAAAGGGAAAAACATAAACTGTTTTGATTGCAGGTAAACAAACCGACCGACCGACTGACTAACTGGCTGGCTGGCCGAGGAAGCAGCCAACTCGTCGTTATTGATTGCTGTCCATTTATCATGCCGCTTGTTTATCAACCGACCAGAACTTTTGATAAGCGCCCGGAACCCGCTTCACACCCCCAAACTTCCTACATGGGAGTCATTGATCTTGGGCTTGGTACTCGCGACTTGACACTTTACGCCGGACTATTGCGCATTTCCCCTGGAGACACACTCAAATAAAAGCATATTAGTTAAAATTTGTCAGCAGTCAGTTGTTTTCATAAATTTTAAGGACAAGAATTATGAATCATGTTGTTTTCTGAATGGCTTGGCATGATTTTCAGACTTCTCTGGGTATTATATTTTGAACAAAACTCTGTTGAATCATTTCAAATATTTTATCATTTTAAATATACATTTTTCTCAGTGCAGATACAGCTTGGCGAACAGGTAGTTGCATTCCGATGATTTCATGGAGCAAAATTAACAATGCAAATAGACAATCAATTGGAATGGCACTCAACAATGTTTTTGGATACGCTTCATTGAATTTCAGAGGGAAGTAGGAATAAAAGTTACGCACCAATTACCACTGGTTGAAAGTATACGAGAAAGCATTCCACCTGTATGAACATTATTTATTTATTACATATAAATAATACATGTCTAGGCCAGTAATCTTTAGCGCATAGCTTCTGAGGCATCCAACATTTTATAGACATTAACATGCGCCATTAATAAGCGTTATTTCAATTACAGCCCACCACAAATCAGCGGTCATAAATCGAATAAAAAAGTGGATTTATGGCAAAAATATGTCATATCGGGCAATAACCAATGCCACAAGCAAACTGACAACTATTTACATCAAATAAATAGAAACACGCAGAATTATGAAATAAACGCCCTCGGCCAGAATTGAGGTTTGATTGAGTTCGAAATGGCGCATGCAAATCACAATTAGCTATTCTATTATTGCCAATGCTGTTTTATGATTATAGCTGTAAGATTTTCCATTGCCTTCGTTGAGCGACTGTTAATTGATTGTCGCGCAGGGCATTGTAAACGAATCAATTATTCAGCATTTTAGCAATTGATTGAGGGTTCTGGACAGAGAGATTATTTATAGATATTGTCGCACGCGGTTTATAATTGAATTTGTTCGTGGTCCTTTTTCTGTGCCTGTCAGTTGTCGTTAATTTCCCCGGTAAAATGCACAAAGGTGTGAGCCACAGAAAGGCCAAAGGGCATTAAACATGTTTAGGCCGAAAGGGCTTTTGGGTCGGCTCATTTCTTATCTTCTTCTCTGCCACGGACTTTGACAAAACGATGGCCATAACATTCATAGGAAACAATGCGCATTCACTATGCGAATGATATATTTTTGTCAATTCGTCAATGTAGGAATTTGGATGAGGAATTTGGGTTGGCTCTGAACGGAAATGCCACAATGGAGTGGTTCCTTACATCGAACAATTGGTTCACGAGAATTCCCTTGCAAAGGTTTCGACAAAACAATATCCACAGTTGCCAGTTGGCTTCTCACCAAACTACCTGATAAATCGCACTCGCATATGTTGACAGCAATACAAATTGCTTTAGCAAAATACACTTGAAATTCTTGGAAATATTTTCAATTAGCACTCGCCAGCAATATGGGGAATTATTAAATAACTCTGAAGTCTGGTAAATATGAACAAATTAATCATAAGCAATAATATATCTATAAGCAATGAATCATTAATCATATGCCACAGTAGTTTCAAGATCATTAAGCACAAGATACTACTTTTCAGTCAAAGATATATTCCATTCCAACCCAAAACAGGCCTTAAATTTATACTTTTCTTTTGATTTTTATGCAAGCACAAATAATAATAAATAACATTTTAACACTCAGAAAGAAAAAGTTTTAATCGAGTTTGTTTCATCCACATAAATGAGGGAATGTTTTGGTCCGTGTTTGTTTTGTGAAAAACCACATGTGAATTTCCATTATTAATTTGTTTTTCTGATAAACAATCACGAACTTTTATTGATGTTATAAATGTGATTCCTAGTGCCCCATCGTTTGTTTATATGGTGCAAAACCGAAACCGAAAATGTGCAATGCGGGATGGTTTTAGTGCTGAGTTAGCCTTTGGATCAGGTATCCAAAATGTTTTCAGTAGACCGATAGATTATTGAAAACACAGGATGAACCATTTTATTTTGTGGAAAATTTAATTGTTGAAAATATCAATGATGTTTATTATAATTGTTGTTCTATTAATATATTTGTTATATTTATTAATGATCAAACCTAATAACGCATATTAGTTTCAAGAGTTAATAATTGCTTTAAATACAGTTATTAAAATTTTTCCCCATAAATATTGATAAAAAAATTTTGCAGTTTCCGGCAATTCGTATATTAAATGTTACTAAACATGTAACACAAACAGTAAAACGTTGTATTTGGTGTAGCCGAACACCATGGGAACAAAATGTCAAACAATGACTGTAATATTTATTTTTCTTAGGGTATTAGAGCAACCCGCCTAGAATTGAAAGGTAATTTACTTGTTTTGTTTCCTTTCTTTTGTTTGTCGCTGTTCTTTCTGCTAGACCTCCCTATTTTCATTGCCCACTTCATCCTGGCCTGGACTAGAAGTCTAAGTCTGGGAATGGGACTGGGTAGGTTTGCTCTCATTTTGCCTTTTTTCACGCCTATTATGTGTTGTTTGTGGTTGTTGCTGTTGGTTTTATTTTTCACATATTTACTATAGGTTTGTGTATATATTTCTTTTTGGTTTAAATGTTGTCAGACAGGATTTTCCACTTTAATGCAGTCGACGTCGCTGCTTTTTGGCGCGTTTTTGCCGCACAGCTCATCATGGATCATGCCCCCTTTTTCCACCGCCTTCTCGTCACCCTTAAGTTCAGCCTGCGTGCACTCCGATGCCACAATCCTTCCTGCAGCTGCTGCCGCCGTGGCCACCATTCAGGTTAATGCAGTCTTTATTCATGCCATATTTCTAAGCGCATTATGTGCTGCGAGCCTTGCTCATAATATTAGCAAAAATTATGTTAATCCCTTTGGGCTGGGTAATCCTTTCTGCCCGTCCTTACGGCCGAGCTTTACTAGTTCCGCTGCGAACGGAAGGCGCGTTAAATTATTTTAATAGCCGCTTACAATTACCAGCCCAACCCCCTCGGCCCAGTGTAATGTTCTTAATGTTCGACGCGACTTGCTGCCTTTTACTGGCGTTTTAAAACGCGCCTTGCGGCCAGAGATCTCGAGTCATAAACAAGGGCTGCAAGCCGATAAGTTCATGGTGCGGCTCATCTAAAAGAGGAAAGCTAAAAATAAATAAAGTACCTTCGAAGACTTTGAGTTAAAGAAACAGGAACCCAAAGAAATGCGTACTATTTTTTAAATAAAAAGTAGTGAATTCTTTAAAAATGCCTATAATAAAATGCACTTTTGATAGAATTGATAAAAGTTTGAGTTTTCTTAATTATTTTTTATATAATACTTTCGATACAATTTATTTTCGATATAATTTTTACATTAAATAAGCAGAGTAAACATAAATTTAAAATGATTTTTCACTTTAATTTGAGTGAAAGTTTGGCTTTGGATTTAAGGTGGCTAAATTCCTAAAGTCTAGTCTAGTTTCACGCTCTGTTTGAGTGCCTGCACCACCGATCTTCGACCACCGCTCCTATCTCTAATAGTTTCTTAAACATTTCAATAAAAATTCATTTAATTCCCAATTAACCCCAGATAGTACGAGTTCGCCACCCATTGTCCTTATCAGTTCTCAGAGGGACAAAGAAAAATTGAAATTGATGTCCGGCTACATGTGTTAATTTACACTTACTTATAGAGTGACATGCATAACCAGCTGCTCCATTGGGCGTTTAATTTTCCATTCATAGAGCGACTGGGAAAATGCAAATTGAGGCGTTTAAAATCGCGCACAAATCGCGCGCCGCAATTAAACGGCGCCCCAAAACGCGTGCCCCATGGAGCCCGCCTCCCGGTCGGTTTTATGGCTGTATTTTATGCGAGCCATGTCTGGCCTGGTATCAGCCCATATAGGCATAGTTTGCGGCTAATGACTCCGCATCGTGATCGGGACTCGGAGGGGATGCAAATGGGAGTCGGGGACGCCTTGTCCACTCATTAAGTGGTGTTGGTCAACCAGTTCCGAGGACAGAATGATGGATTGCCGGCCAGCTGAATAGCTCAGCCCCCAATCGCTCATTCAGCCGGCCATTCATTCATCCATTCGGCTTGGCCTGTCGACGTATCGTATCGAGCGGGCCGAAACCGAAACCTGATTGCGGTAAAAGGCCAAATTGGACCGTTCTCGTTGCCCTGGTCGATGCCTCGGGGCCAGCGTTAGTCATCGTCATCAGCCTTATCCCGCGGCTGACCGAATTAAAGCTCTGGGATTGCGTGGAGCGGGCAAACCAGTTTCCGCCTGGCCGCCACTCCAACTCCGACTCCAAAAAGGCCAGAGAAATTGCCTCAGTCAAAACAATTAGACTGACGGACCAGGCTCGCGACTTTAACTTGTTGCCGCCGCGTATAAAAGTTTGTGTCTAATTAAATGCTTGGTCTGGCTGCCTGCGGAAAGTACGAGGGGCTCCAAGATACCAAAACAAAAATGAAATACCCTTAAAAAATAAATAAATATGTTTATTTAAGGACTTTCAATTGCTAAAATTAAAATTGATTCATTGTGTACGTCGAAATTATTATATAATCCATTTAAGTAGAACTACATTATTTTCCTTCCCCATTTTTTATAATTTTGTGAAATTCCCTACTTACTAGCTCTTAAATCCCGTAACAATTTTGCAAACTTTTGGTTAGTTATCTAATCTATGGATATATATATTTGTTACGACTATTATCCTAAGGTAAATATTTTTCTATGCTAACTGAGAACAAACGATTTTAGAAAAAGTATTTACCACTTATCCTCAGGGTCAACTTAGAAAATTCCCACTATTAGCTGCAACTCGGTAAATATTGAGGGTTGATTTACGCATTTTATTTCATTTTCCCTAACATTAAGTCAATGTTCCCGGTCCCAATGACGGGGCACATCGGGCAAACAACAATTAACATAAATTGCTTACGCGATGCGGCCCATTGAGTGCGGACAAGGGGTTAAGGGGTCACAGTTGCCGCCCGTCAATCATTCGAGCAAACGAACTGCGGCACTTGAATGGCCGAGCGGAAAGGGTTTCCCATTTCCACGGCTGCCAGTTGCCGTTTGCTTTTTTTACGGCTCCAGCGGAAACCTCGGATTGCACCTGTCGCAAGGCGGCGGTAGGTGTGATAAGCATCTCATCCCAACAAAAGATTAACACGCCGGGGCGGGACAAAGAGCAGGGCCCGGTCAGCTGGACAGGTCTCCGATTAGAGACGCCCTGGCGGCAGAGCCTCAAACGACCTGCCTGCGCAAATATGCACTGTTAAAAATAATGTCTAATGGAAAACATTTTTCGGTTATTATTCATACATTTGTTTGTGTCAGTAATACATTTTTACGAACGTAAGGGGACAATTATTATATCACAAATAAATATTCTTAATGGGAAGAGATGTGAGGAGTCTTTTCTCACCCGAAATAATATTCTTCAATTCAGAACTCATGTTTTTCCACAGTGTACGTTTAGATGAACAGGAAACCGACGGAGACGAGACCTTGACGACCCCTAGGTAGGTTGTATTGCTGGCAGTTAGGTAGTTGCCACAAGGGGCAACACCTTTGGGTTGACAGATCGAATTACTGAAGGAGCACCTAAGGAAGCTGCCAAGTGTCGAGCTAAAGTGGGTCACATTACCAATGCCAAACGATCAAATCCAAGGCATACTTTCACTACCAAATGATGCGGAAGTGCCAAAGAATCCGTAGAACAACAACATTCATCAGGATGGAACGCTTAATGGGTTCATAAAAAGCAATATCGCATGATTCGTTTGGAACAGCCGATCAGCCCGTAAAAATTATTTCAAGTTATGATCAATAAAAAACCTTTTAAGTTGCCAACGAGAACAATGACTCCTAGGAAAGATTTGCCGATGTTGCACTTTAAGTTGGCAATTTAACGATCGCAGCGATTTTGTGGGCATGCAAAACATCCATAAAATGCAGTTCTTCTTACCTCCAACTGTATGTTTTTCACTTCAGTTAATTGTATATATAACACACTACAAAACACGATTGCGATTAAGTTAACTTGAGTGGTGTCTACCTATTTTTTGATCACTTCACCTTCTATTAATAGTTTACGTCGTTCCAAGTGTTTCAAATTAGATGATAAGGCCGGTAATTGGTTGTACAATCGCGATCGAATTAACTTCCTCTTTAAACTGACTAACCGAAGATAGGTCAAACCGATCCGCGGAGTTCAATAAAACTGGAACCGAAAAACTCAGCGATAAGCCGGCGACACCAACGCACCGCAGTTAATGAATGAAGGGTCCGACCCGGTAAATCACTCTATTGGATCCCACGAACATCCGTACTGCCCACGAGACTATGTTCAACAGTTTGCCATGCACTTTTCGAATTAATTATTATTTACGTGGGCACTCAATTTGATTTGCAACTGGGGTTTTCCGAACTTTTGGCGCACTTTTGCCCACGTGAGATGTTTTTTTACTGAACGTGGATATTTTATTGTATATCAGGATTCCTCTATAACGACGGCTTCTGAAGTGCGCAATTTCCAAATACTTTCGGCGAGCGAGCGTCCGCAACCATTCCCGTCCGATCGAAAATAAAAACAAACATAGACCGGATTCCACGCGCGTCCGAACAGCTGGCGATTTTTATTTGAAAAACCCAACAACAAAATGCGGGTGTTGCTTTTATAGTTTGTTTGTCAGTGTGGTCGCGACGCAAAAAGGAAAAATACTCTTCCTGCTAGTAACATACATGGTATTTTTTTATGACATGTGGTAAGTCAATTGTCTATTTAACAGAGCTCTGTTAAACATAAAATGGCGGGTTGTTTAAATTTAAATTAAATGATAAGGTTTGGTGATATTGCAATAAATTCTTACCCAAAGGCAACTTTCATCGTATTGTTTATCCTTAAACATAAAAAGTAGCGATACTTGTATAAACTATTTTCTCACAGACCGTTTTATTCTATTTATTATATTAAGCCTGACATATTCCCGCCCTGCGTATATATTTGTATACACATCTTTTTTATCAAATCAAAACGCCCATTATTTTTTGTTAGTTTTTGTTACTCATGCTTTAAAACTGTTCAGAATGTCTAAATAAACTATTCACTCCATTGTATAGTCTTCTAAAAATTCCCAAAATAAATAACACGATATTCGTTCAGTTTATGTATTTATTGTAAAGGTGGATTATATTTCAAAAATATGTTAAGACTATGACTTGTAGGTTGATCGGTAAGCAAAGAGAACGCAATAGTAATCTCTTCTCAGATCTAAAATTGCTTTTTGTGGATATTATTACATTGTATTGGGTAAAAGAAAGTTCATGCAAATGATGTAGGTGGGCGGGCTATAGTCGGGGCTTAAGATGTTTCGCCCTTCTAGTCAAAACATGGAAAACAAAAACGCACACGCGACATTTTCGCCACATTTCGGAGGCAACAACACCAATGGAGACGAAAGAGTTGGGTAAAAGTATTTTATGTAAATTAAAAACTAATAAACGCAAATTAAAAGTTAAGTAAATAGATGTGGCAATCGAACATACCACTGAGAGGCGAGACAGAGGGAGACCGGAACGGATCGGAGCGGACCAGACCAAGGACCACTATCCACTATCCAGCGTTGGGCGCAAGTCAACGTTGGAAGATGCACAGCAAATCCATGAAATGATAACGACTGGGGCGCGAAGGCCTCGAAATACGCGGTTCCCTGGGCGATATAGTGTCTGGGGTGCGATCCAAAGAAGGCGACAACAATGAGTGTGGGTCTGTCCAAGCAAATCCTAATTCCGACCGTAAGGCGGATGCCGAAGAAGGGGCGAGGCTCGAAGAGATGTGTCCGAGTCCGAAACTGTTCGCTCTAGTCCTGTCCAAGGGCAACTCACGTGTTCCTCCTCCTCCTCCACACATCCGTTAACCTTAAAACGACCAAAGCTCACACACAAAATCCTTCAACAATGCGAAATTCCTGTCTCCTCCTCCGAGGTGCGAGTTAGCCGTGGGACACTGCATCCCACGTTGTCCTAGCGAAGGGCTCAGAACAATCCTAAATCCAAATCCATTCCTGATCACCATCTCATAAACATACTCATATTTATAAGATCTCTAGACATGTCCTGCCTCCTCTAAATTCAATCCAAATTTATCCAATCCACGCCAAAATCAACATCAAAATATCCTCCTCCTCCTCTTCCATTAATCCTCATCCTCCAAATCCTCCTCATCCTCATCACTCTCCAAACATAAACGCGCAAAATGGGGAAGAGAAGAAAATAAAAATTAAAGTATTAATAGTTTGTTGATCAATGTGGTTGACATTGCGTTTTGTGTTCGGGTTTCTGTTTCTCTCATTATAGACATATTTATTCTGTATCGATGTTTCTTGTTTTCGTTAAGGTAGATTCTAATAAATAATGCTTGGTAAATATGCAGCCAAAATTGAGTTTATATTATAAATTTTGTGTTCAGGGGCAGAGCAAAGGCTCAAAATAAAACAAAAGCAAATCAAGGAATGGTCAAGGGTTGCAGCCTATAAAATTCCCTGGTTTACAATTGCCATTTTCGAACTGTTTTTGTCAAATTATGCCCTGCGAATTGTAATTTAAGAGAACTTCTCTGCTTCTCAGAACGTGTTATACATTTGGAAAAGCAAGTTGTGTTTGAAATTAGTTGTCTTCGATGAGAATTCGGAACTTGACTGATCAAACTTGAATGGTTCGCTGATGGCTTGGATAGTCAAATTTACAAAGTGGCATATATGGGGGTCTTGAACATATATTGTATGTGGTTTCTTAATTTAGCTTGCTTTTCCTAACGTTTCCTGCTCGTAGAAATATTATAGATTAATGGATAATGCTTGGTAGTGTTTAATAATTAGAGCGTGAGCGAGACCTGGAATAAGATTGACGTCGAACTGGGGAGTAAGTGGGTGTGCCCCGACGGCGCGGCCTTGACGAGAAAGAGCGCGAGCGCGATCTGTACGGAGGGATTTATAAAATAAATATTGGAAGACAACGCTTTGCAGCAGTGAATAACTTACCTGTCGCGGTAGTCGCGGCCTCCCCCACCACCACCACCACCGCCGCTGCCGCCACCACCTCCTCCGCTGCCTCCTCCGCCACCACTGCGGTCGTTGTCGCCGCTATCCTCGCGCACCCGAATGTAGGCAACCTCGCCCTGTAGAGAAAAAGAATTATACATTTTTGTAATTTAATTAAAATATCTATTTTAAAAACTTAAAAAATAAGAACAGACAACAACCAATGATTAAACTAAAAATTCTTTTAAGTTTAACCAATTTTTTAGTGATTACAATCTTGGTCTGGCATATAAAGCATATGGCTAAATATATATAATATTATTTAAATACATAATATTTTGGTAATTAAAGAAGTAATCTTGTGTATGGCATTCAATTGATATAGCTTCTAATGTTGATAAGATTCTTAAAATGTATCACTCGGATACTTTTAGTATTGAGAAAATAGTTGCAAACATTTTCGTGCCGGACATAAGTATATTCGTGGGTGAAACTTAAATATTTCTAAGGGTGAATAGCAATTTAAGGAATACATTCATCAGGCTTGATAGAATCACGAATAAATAATTCAAACTGGAATAATGTATGATGGTCAAATTAAATGCATGGGTAAATTCCCTACCTAAATATTCGAATAAATCTGAATGTTTAATTATGAATTTAATTACCTCATGCGAACGGAAGCGCGAGTCGTCAAGCTTTTTGATAGCGTACTTCATGTCCTCGTGGCGCAGGAACTCTACCACGCCGGATCCATCCTTGTAGGTGTCGGCGAAGCAGACGTCGCCGGCCTCACGCATGTGATCCTTGAGATCCTGCCACGATCCGGAGGCGGGCAGCCCGGTGACCATGACGCGGTACTGCGAGCGCTTGGCCGGCGGTCCACGACCGCCCATGCGTCCGCCACCATCCCGGCTGCGGTCGTTGCGGTTGCCGCCTCGGTAGCTGCCCGGTCCACCGCCCCGCGGGAACTCTACCCGCAGTCGGTACCCGTCGTAGTCGTAGCCATCGCGCGCCTTCACCGCATCATCAGCATCGCTGATTTTGGCGCCAATCGCAAGGAGAAGGGCAACCGAGGGCAAAGGGGAAAGAATATGGGTGAGCTCGATTTTGTTGGGTGTCGCCTCCAGCCAGCTGGTCTGTGTGTATTCGCGTTACTCACCGCGCATCTTCGAACTCAACAAAAGCAAATGGCGGCCCACGCCGATTCTTCAGGTCGACAAACGTAACTTTGCCGAACTTGTGGAATAGATCCTGGATGTCCTTTGTGCGGATATCCGGCGGAAGGTTGCCCACGTAGATGCGGCACTCGTTGCGCGAACCCATTTTTTCCAGTTTAAATCAGACGATTGCTTTTCCTTGCTTGCTGAAATTCTCGCTCGTTTTTTACAGAACTTTTTCTGTCACGCTCACAAAGACAAATGGCCGACGCAGTATAACCGTTGTAGCGACTTCGAGAAATCCCTTTCCCGTTTAGATGAGCGTTCTATAACTATCGATAGCATTAGTGGTGGGAGAGCGTCGAATTTGCAAGTATCAATGGTTATTAAGTAACTAGTTGCAAGTTATAGGATTATATGGTTGTAAGAGCAGTCATTTAAAGATAATAAAAATTGGCTTTTTGCGATAATAAAATGTCTCCCAATTAGAGCACTCCAATTTCTTGCCATTTTCTTTTTATAAAAGGTTTTGCAGTTATCCTTCGTTCCCACAAGTTTTGTATTTTCTTGTTTTTTATCTTATTAATTGTACTTTATTGAAGGGGTCTTATTCTGAAAGACATAATAGACATTTAAAAAATATATGATCTATAATATCAGGGTCGAAAAAAACTCTTTATTTGGTTTTAAGGAATTGCTTATCTAGATGGGCTATAAAATATGTCATTATTTAACATAAGTTTCGAGTTCCACTGGTTTGCAATAATTATGCGCATTTTTTTCGTTTAGTTTCACAAATGTGAAATTGGTTTTAAAAATGTAAATGTTACAATAAACTATTTACTGTATTTGTTATGTCATTTCAATTAAATAATACAGTTCCTTAATCATCAGCAGTTAAATTAGGTAACGTAAAGGGGTATTAACTCGTATAGTTTCTTGCCTAGGTAAGATAAGAAATAACCAAAAATGAAATATCTATGTTCGCATTTAGGTACATGTCTCAAGATCTCAATAAATTATTAATATTAAAAAAATTGCATCAACTCAAAACTTAAAAATAAATAAAACAAATGTGTGGGCCCTTAAGACATCCGCGATAGTCATATAACCGATAGTTTTTTTGTTATCGACATTCACTCCGAGCTGTGCTGTATTTGCATGTGTCACCTCTAGCAGTGAGCGTCGTTCGACAGAAAAAAAACAACAAATATTTTGCATGTGCAATAAACCAAACGTAAATAGCATTTCGGAAATCACAGAACCACCGGAAAATGGCTGCGGCCGGGAGTAACGTCCGATGCATCAACTACCACGACCTGTGCCGCATCTGCACGGACAGCAGCGACCACAAGACGAACATCTTCTCGCCCGAGGGACGCGCCAAGAACCTTAGCCACAAGATCCTCGAGTGCCTCTCGCTGCAGGTTGATATCCTGAACCAAATACCAATTCTTTTTGGATTAATAACCCTCTTCCCTTACAGATTGATGAAAAAGATCGCCTGCCCAAGGTAGTCTGCGCCCAGTGCGTGCATCAGGTGGAGCAGATCCACGGACTCCGCGCCACCTGCCGCAACTCACAAACCATGCTTAGCAACTGCCTTAACATTCGTCCGGCGCCGAGCACCGACAGGCTGTACATCCGGGATGCGGTGGACGAGTCAGGGAAGAGTCTCAGCGTGGCGCAAGGGGCGCCAGCTCCTTCCGGAGCTCAGCAGTCCGGCAATCTCTTGAACAGCATCATCCAGGCGGTGGGAATGCAGCCCCAGCAGCAGTACACCATCACAGTGGACAACGGGATTCAACAGCAGCACCACCAAGCTTCGCCTGAAGTGCAAATCAAAAGCGAGAGACAGACGTGAGTAGTAAATTCCTCCCATTAAGGCTTCCTCTCACACATTTCTTATATTTTTCCGCTTAGAGTGTTAGAGGAATTTATCCGCCTCAAGCCGGACATTAAGATAACGCCGCTAGGGAAAAAAGAGGCCAATATCACCGCCAAACCTCAGCAGCCACCTCCTCTGCAGCCGCAGTCAGTGACTACAGTAAACACTCACCAGTTGCAGTTACAGCCGCAGATGGGCGACCAACTGCAGCCTCTGTGGCAGCAGATTCAGCAATTGCAACTGCAGCAGCAGCTTCAACAACTTACCAACCAACTGCAGGCTACCACTCAGTACTCCGCTGCTCAGGAAGATGCCAATTCTGGCGACAGCAAGAAACCTAAATTTAACTTTGTGCTCTCTTCGCCGGCAGCGCCACAATTCACCACCTCGCTGCCACAGTTCGGTGGCAGTCATCCTCAGATCCAGCTGCAGTTGATGCCCGGAGGAGGAGCGGGGACGAATACTGCGGCAGCACCGGCCCAGACGCAGTTTAATGCCGCTGCCCTGCTCTCCAGCCTAGCGACCCCGCAGACTACCCCCAATCTGCTTTCACCGAACAAGTGTTTCCTGCCCATCACGATTCGCGACGAAAATTCGGACCAGCAGATCGTGGCCCACATAGACACAAAGAATCTAGTCCTGCCCACCACCTACCAGGTGCAAATGAAGCTGCAGCCTCAGCTGGCCACCGCCGACGGCCAGCCCATTATGCAGCTGACTCCCACCTCTATTCCGGCTACACTGCAACTAACACCGCAGACTCTGGGCAATCCGGGCAGCAGCTTTCAGGGCACAGCCACTGCGGTGGCCCAAAACCAATTTCTGGCGCCGCAGCCGCCGCAGCCTCCTCAGCCTTTTCAACCGCAACAACAGCTTACTCAACTCCCCAACACGGCCCAGGTAACCTCCCAGCAAATCATCCGATCTCCCCAGTCCAACACCACAAATCCGCAGTTGGTGATAAGAAATGTGACCAACGCCCAGGCGACTCCCACCACGCCCACGAGCACTAAAGAACCGCCCGCTTTTAAAACACCGTCGCCAAGGCAAAAGCAAATGCCATCGCCGAAGAGCAAAACTCCAGTGGTCTCACCCTCAGGAGGAGTTAATAACCAACCCACCAATGAGTTCAAACGGCTAATGACCCAGGCAAAGCAGCCACCGCAGGTGAAGCAAAATCAGCCCCCAGCAGCCGCTGCAACTGCCCCCCAGATATCAACATCGACCAATCAGGCTGCCATGCAGCGTCTTTCCTCGAACACAACCATTACCAAAGTAGTAGCCAAGCAGCCCGTTTCGGTGCCACCTCCGGCTCAAGCGTCCTCTCCCGCCAAGTTGCCCATGTTGAACAAACAAAATATTACCATCAGTCGAATCTCCATGCAGACTACGCCAAAGCCGCATATAAAGCCTCCCACGACGACGCCTATTTTTCCCCCTGCTCCCCAGCCCATTCCTTTACCCGTTCCTGCACTTAACCAAGCCCAGCCACCTCCGCTGGCGGCGCAACATAAGAAGATCGTGCGCAAGCCACCCGAGAATCCAGAGCCCGCGGGACAGAAGGCAAAACCAGCTCGGCCTCCGCAACAAATTCTTCCCTTACCAAATCAGGAAGGGCAGAATGCGACCCCTAACGCCAACGAAGCGTTTTTGCCGACTCCGAGTCCTGCCCTTATTTGTCCCACCTGCAATCGCGAGTTTAAGAAGAAAGAACATCTTACTCAGCATGTTAAGCTGCACGCGGGTCTGCGACCTTTCAAATGCTCGGAGGACGGCTGCGACAAGACCTTCAGCCGCAAAGAGCATCTGTCCCGTCACTTGATCTCCCACTCAGGCCAAAAGATGTACACTTGCGAGGTCTGCAGGAAGCCCTTTTCGCGGAAGGACAACCTCAACAAGCACAAGCGGTTAGTATTTATTACGTTAAATTCTATAAAGAAGTCTTCAAATGTCATTACGTTAATCTGGTTTTTATTTTTTTTAACATCAAACATCCTTTTCCATAAACAGGATTCACACGCAGCCGGCTAACGAAAGTCTTTACTCATGCGATGTTTGCAACAAAAATTTCGCCACCAAACTTCACTACGAGAAACATAGGGAAATGCACAAGAAAACGCGACCAGAAAATGCGGCTCCGGCAGCCAATGCTCCTGCCCCAGTAACATCTGCCCCTTCTCAAGTGCGTAGCAATGGTCCCAACAAGGTGAGTAGTAAATGTGGCTTAAATTTGCAAACACTAACTTGCCCTATTTTTCCCAAGGGTGTTTATGAAATTAAACAGCGCACTTCTCAGCAGCAACAGCAGCAGACTCAGACACAAACACAGGCGCAGCCGGCACAGATCATGCATGTGGTGACCACGCAAGACCTGGCCGGTAACACAATAACGATCACCCAAGCGCCCGACTCCAATATGCCGACATCTTTGGCCAACTTCGTGCAGTTGGGCTTTCCCCAGTTCCAGAACCCCAGCGCACCAGCAGCCAAGTAAATAGAGAAGTAGACTCCCTGTTTTATCACACCTTATCTCATGTCCTAGTCCGCGGTCTATTCCATCACCTGATCGCCAGTTCCTTGTTACTTTTAGTTTATGTTTAGCTACATTTTTCTTTGTGCAATATTATTTTTTAAAAATTCGAATTCCTTAATTTATTTTAGTTTACGTCTGTGTTATTCTGTATTTATTCAGTAATTCGAAGCAGTTATATTAGAAAAGACTCCTAATGTGTGTGTAAAGTTTCCTACGAAAAGGCATTGTAAATATTTGTGTATCTATATATGTATGTACAAGCTGAAACAAATTAATGGTAAATACCTTTTTTGGGTGAAAAGAATGATTCCATTGCAAAAATAAATATAATGTATAATTTATGGCAAAAAGTATGTTTTGTGTATTTCGTTTGGTATTGCATTGGAGCCTTCATTTTTGGCGCTATAAAGCAGATGGCAGGCTGGCTGGCCCCAATGTTTACGTGATAATTTTTGGTAAGGCTCGCCCGCTGAAAGTATCAATATCAGACGGTTAATCCAATGGCAGCCAGATTTCTGAAAATCTGCCGAATAGCTCGTAATTATAACTCTACCATGCGAACAAACGAAAAACAAATGCAAGCACGTTTTCAGTCGATTTCCGAGTCCAAATTTGATAGCATTAAAGAAAACCAATTCCGATGAATTTTTCTATTTACGCATTTAATTAAGGAAATGCACTTGTCAAGGCGATTTTTAATACTTGGCGTGGTATGTGTGTGTAGGTATTACATGAAAAGCTTACAATTATGTTCAAAATCTAAATGGAAGACTTTAGCAAGCACAGAAACTCAACGTGTTTAATACATAGAATTCTTTGGCCTAACAGTTTACAAGTACTATCAACTACAAACATAAAACCAAACAGAATCTGCGAGAAGTGCCAATAAGCAGTACCAGAGTAACGTCAGAGGATAGTTCCAAAAACCAGGTGCGTTTTATGGGACTGACACTCAAATAGGTAACAAGTGTGTTAATTTGTAGTTCTTAATCAAATCAAAGCGATATCAGCTAGTAAAATCAGTTCAATCACTGGGCAAGATAAAGTGCTTAAGAACTAACAAAAAGCACACATTATAATTCTAAATATTTTGTAAGATCAATTAGATCAGCAAACTCATTTTAAAACCAATTAAATTTTTCATATAATTTAATCTGCTCCAAATTAAATAAATATGGATTTAATACTGTTTAAAACCCAGGTCCATTTTGAAAGGGAACGCTATTTAAAGCAAGGACTTGTGTGGTGTCTTAGTATAACAAAGTTAAACGCATTAACAAACGAGGAAAAAGAAAAAGCATGTCGCTACTACAGCAAAATAATGTAGATGGGGTGCCAAATTCAACAATCTAATTAGAACTACAGGTGAGGGGATTAAATAGTGCAGTGTTAGGACCAATGGTGCCCCTCCACCGAACTTTAAAGAAGCGATTGAAGAAATCATTGAATAGGTAAAATTGAGGGACTACCTTGGGGTTCTTAGGGATAATTTGGGGGTTATCTCCCTATCAGTTGTAGGCCAGGGCAAACTGATTGACCTTCTGCACATCGCCCCACACCTGTATAGCCAGGATGTCGGATAGGGAAAATAGGGTCTCGTACTCGGTTATGAAATTATGGCCCGCATCCCTGCCCTGGTAGACTCGCATCGTAGAATTTTCGTAGTCGAAGGCGAACTCAAGACAAAACGAGGTTTCTGTGGATGAAAGTTGGAGTTCCTCATCAATCTCGTTCATTATGCGGGCAAAGCTCTGGTTCATATTGGGGTTCTTATCGCTAGCTCCTGTACCGTCAAAGATGTTCAGATACTTCTCCTGGTGCAGGCTGCTCCACTCGCCGTTCCTTTTGTAGTTCTCGATAATCGTTTGCGTTGGTATCACCACCTTAAAGTGATACGTGATGTTGTCCGTGCAATTCGTACTGTTGACAAAGTTCACCGAGAATCTGTAGAGGATAAAAAAGCAATTACATGAAGCAAATCTATTGTTGATATCCCACTTAGGTGCTAATGACTTACATAGCTACACTCTCAAACGACTTAACCTTCCTGCTTTTATAAAGGGCTTGTATGGCATTGTAAACCAATATGTCACTATACATTTTTGTATGAAGACGATAAGCAGCTTTCAGTGACGCGTTAAAAATTCGTTTAACAAGCATCTAATGATTATGGTCAACACGCTTAACGATCCAATTTCCACTATTTGTCACAACCCAAAGGTATTAAACCACAACCAAATCTTGTTTTCAAAAAAATATTCGGTTTTGTTAAATGATTTAAGAAAATATAGTTTTTTCTTAAATCTGAAAAAAACATATTTCTATAAGGCTACAAAAATGACCCGATGTCGAAGTAATAATTATGATGCAATTAATGATGGGATATAATAATAAAATGCCAATTTCAAAAATATATTTGAATATTTAATAAATTCAATCATTGCCCAAGAATACTCTATTCAAGAAACACAATTTACAAATCTTTTTAATGGGCGAAGCTATTATTAGAACAAAAGTTAAATGTTGGTGCTGAAGATCGCTTTAATATAAAAGCCCTTTGAATATGTTCATGGTTTATCCTTAATAACAAATTTTTTAATTTTCTTGTGTGTGTGCCTATGCATTTTAAGGAACGTATAATTTATCACACAATCGTGCTAATGACGTCGAGAGTTTGAATGTTTGAGCCCTCATGCTTAGTCATCATAATGGTTTCTATGGCACATGGCAGTTTAGCAAGTTTTTTTTTGGTAGACCGGAGCTCCCAGACGTAGTGAGTAGGCGCGAAAACGTGCCAAGCATTTAAGGAATGCATTTGGGATTTTTGACGATTGCCCATCGTATTTTTCTTTGTAAAATATACATTAGTCACTTTCTTTAGCTTCACCCTTATCTTAGAACAAGCACTACAAGTATCCAAAAGAAAAGTAGCCTCTTACGACATATTTCAGAAGCTATTACTTATATCTTATCGATCTTAACAACAGATAACAAATCGAAGGTCTTCAGTTATCAAATATGTCTTGTTGCCGCACCTGGAACCCGGATTCTAAAGAAATGTAACGGAAGGTTCTGATTTATTAGGCTCATTCAACTATTTATAAGCTGATTGACGATCTTCTCACCTACCAGCATATACATAAATATGATTTATGTTATTCTTGTTCTCCCTTTCATCTTAACTATTTGTTATGCCTTTTGTTGTTTTCTTCGTTGCCGGCATTTTAAGCGCGTGTATGGTTTAATTTAATTGTGGTGATGTCATAAGGCGTGGGGAATTGATACAGAAAAACCAGACTACTACGTATGATAAAGATTGCTTTATTGTCTTCTATCATCGCCTTAACAAATCATAAACTCATAATTGGCCTTTAAAATTAGAAAAAAAGAGCTTGGAGACCACCATAAACTTAATAGATTATTTGTATGTTTCATGTGTGCGCCGTAAATCGTTCGCGAATTTCGTCTAATCGGGTCACATAGTCAAACATTTTTAGGGCACTTAAATTTCTGCACGCAAAGAAAGAGCCACTTTAGTTGGCAGGAAGCAGCTAATCGATTTTCTTCAAGTTCTTAAAGCTATTAGAATCCCAGGAAATTTATTGGGGACTTACTGCTGGGGATTCTCGAGCAAGGAGCCGCTAATGGACATCCTGGTGACTCGGTCTGAGGCATTAGCATTGCTGGGCAGAACGGCCAGGAACTTTACATCAGCCATCTTCTGTTTAAATTATTCCGCTTTTGTTTCGGTTTTATTTTTAGGCGGGTATGTAATTGGAAATTATATTCGGTGCTAAGACTTTGCTGTGGCCAGTTGCCAACGGTTACAATAACTTCAATAACAGGCGAGGTAGCTAGCTCTTCACCGACCTGGTCAATACTGTTAGGGCTTAACCAAAAACGTGGCTATTTTAAGGGAACTCGAAGAGGATTTAAGCCCAAAGACGTCACGGGTAAAGTACGTTCGAGTACATATTTGTTCAGCTTTTTTAATTAAAGACGCGTTGCCCTGTTCCGTCCGGTTTCGCGCGTGATTGAAAACTGAGAAGGAATACTTCTGGGGGAGCCGGAGAGCCGGTCGACACGCAGCTAAGTGATCCCACACCTGTTTGTAAAGAGATTCGGACCCCAAAGAGAACCGAGCAAGGTCGCGGTGTGACCAGCCTAGCGACTTGAATTTGAAAACGTGGCGCTCCCCGCCGATAAATTAGTACTGCTATCGATGCCTGGCCAGCCAGTTGGCTATCGCTGTTCCCCCATCTCTACGGCCACCTAACGCTAACAATTCAGACAAACGAAATCAAAATCGCAAGAGAAGAACTTCGTTTAGTTAATTAAAGTCCGCTCGAACACAGTTGAATTGCAGCAAAATGAAGACGTGGTACATGGTGGTCGTGGTCTGTTTCCTGGCAGGATTGGCCCAAACGTCGCTGGCCCTGAAAGAAGAGGACTGCGAAGGTATGTGGTTGGCCACGTAAGTGGTTGAGATGTTCTGGAACAGATTTTCACCGGGCTCCACTCTTCGGTTTTTTAGTTTGCGTCAAGACGGTGAGGCGCTTCGCAGACTCGCTTGAAGATTCCACAAAGAAGGACTACAAACTGATCGAGACCGAATTCAAGAAGTTCTGCAAGGCGCAAAAGAACAAGGAGCACAGATTCGTGAGTAGCCGGCAAACAAGTGCCGCCCCCTCTCTTCTCTTCTTGGAGAAAAATGATACACGTATGCGTTATTTCACGTAGTGCTATTACCTTGGAGGCCTGGAAGAATCTGCCACGGGCATTCTGAACGAGTTAAGCAAACCCCTGAGTTGGTCCATGCCAGCTGAGAAGATTTGTGAGAAGCTGAAGAAGAAGGACGCGCAAATCTGCGATCTTCGATATGGTAAATATAATGCCCCGTCGGTCTGTGAGGGGGAAGTATCAAAGAAGATGTGACTAGAAGCCAATCTGAACCTAGCTAGGAAAGTCACTCTTTATCAAAACGAAACCTTTTTCGTATCCTTCTGATAAGTAATTGATGTACAATTAAGAAAAATTTTTCAAATAACAGGCTGAAGCGAAGAATTACTAGCCCTGGGGTTATCCTACCGCTAACCAATGATTTTAAAATTTGTTCAACTATTAAAAAACAAATTTATATATATAATCATTTGAAATTGAAGTGCTAGAATATTTATATAGCTTCCCAATGAATTTTGAAATTCGTTCAACAACTTAATATAGTTTAATAATTTAATACCCAATTAACAATTATTAAATAGCGACTTAACATGTGTGATAAATTGATATGTAAAATCATAAGATTGCTTATCATATCACATATTGATTATTGAATTGATTAGGAATGCTGGACTTATTCCGCATGTATATTCTAATATTTTTCCCCATAATTGCCCTCGTCCGAAATACTCCCATGAACATTTCTTAATCGGCATGTCTTTTGCAGAGAAACAAATCGATCTGAACAGCGTGGACCTGAAGAAGCTGAAGGTGCGCGACCTGAAGAAAATCCTCAACGACTGGGACGAGAGCTGTGACGGCTGCCTGGAGAAGGGCGACTTCATCAAGCGCATCGAGGAGCTGAAGCCGAAGTACTCGCATGGCGAGCTGTAGAGCTCGATCTGGAGTTAGTTACTCGTGTAGTTACATGGAACACGCCCACTTAGCTAAAACAACAACCACATGAAACGCCCCCTACACATCCATATTTTTAGTTAATTTACAATTTTGATAGACTTTGAGAGAATTGAATATAACTATATATACCTAAAGAAAAAACATATATTTTGAAATAAAAAACAACAAACACACAAGACCTCGTGCTCTCAAACGGTTGATAAATAAACAGTTTGTTTTTATTTTCCACGTGTTAATCTTTTTCGGTTCTTGATCTCCTCATTCACAATTACAAGTATTACGTACAAATTACAACAGAAATTCACAAAATATCTGGATTAAAGTTTTATTTAAATGTTAAATACATAATTCCATTATTGCCGCGGGCCGCGTAAATTCGATGTGAGCGAAGGGCTGGCTCGCTTAAACTAAATTAACATTATTAGTTAGACTAAAAACGAACATAAGAAGCTAGGATGATGGTGTGTGGGTGTGAAAGTCTGCTTCTAGAATGCATTTTTTGATGAAAATTTTTACTTTCGCTCCTTAGCGCCGGTACGGCTGTTTGTTGTAGCGCCCGCGCTCGTTTTCCTCGGTCAGATTTGCATACTCGCTGTACACCACGCACCAGCAATAGGTGAGAACCGCTGAAAGAACACGGGAGAACATGGGTTAAGTCAGCTGCGCGCAAAAGTGTGCTATAGTTTTAAAATTTACATCCAAATGTCATGTAGAAGATGTAAGTTTATACAGGTTATACCCGTCAATCGTAAAGTAAAGGTATTTGTTAATAAGTATTTAATTAAGAGAAACACGAGTTTTCGACGTTATAAAGTATACATATTCTTGATCACAAGTCAATCTAGCCGCCCGCTTGTTCGTATAAACGTAGAAATCGAGGGAACTATAATAGTGGGTACTTAGCGTGCTGATTTGACTGAGGCTTACACATCCTAAGTTTTTTTTCAAGAATTGTTCACGCCCACTAAACATCCCACCAATCGAAATATCCCGTAGAAAAATATACTTTTTATAACTTTTTATGAATTTAAGTTAAGAATACGGGAGCTGATCAAGAAGTTAAGTGGTCACAATTAATTTATCCACATTCTAAATTCTCCTACAATTAGTTTTGAAATTAAAAGAATTCTTCTTCAATTCGAATTCAATAAGCTTCTGTAAAAATCGGAAATGTTGTCTTATCAACTGTTGTCTTATTACTGATCAAATGGTAAAAAACGTCATTTATAACAGCAAAACTACTAAGAGAACGTAACACGGTACGTTTAGCACTAATTGCTATTCAAATTTCGTAACAGCTCATGAAGCTAGAATAATATTACATAACCTTTCCATTTTCGCTTAATGATTGTCGTATAGTTTGGTTGTAAAAGCTAAAAAATGGTGGTTTAGCACCCTCACATTAAATTAAAGTGCTCCCGAAACTTGGCAGTTGTACAAATGGCCCAAGCCAGCCACTTTGCGCCTCATTTGCTTGCACCACCCTGCAATCCCCTCCTGTTCCGCCTTTAAAAACTCCCGCCTTGGGGCGCCGGCAATTTCTGCTTTCAGCACACGGGCAATCAACGCATGATAAATGCGTCTATAAATTAAAAACGGCTCGCAATAACCGCCATCCGGTGCTAAAAACCGCACATGGAGAAGTCGCATAGCCCCCCATTTCCACCGCCCATGGAGGAGTGCACTTACCGCAGCAAATTAGGCCGAAGATCAGCCAGAGGACGCCCGTCAGCACATAGCCGTCGATGAAGAAGACGACGCCCGTGTAGATCACGGAGATCAGCAGACCGATCGCAATCATAATGCCCAGCACCACCCAGGGTACCATCAGGTATTGGTTCCGCTGCGAAAAATTCAGATTAATGTCTGGAATTAATAGTAATAGTCCGACATACCTTTAGAACACCCACAATCATGAGCAGCGATATCAAAATCGTCATACACAAATTGACGACGAGTATTATCTTTACGATATCATTAGGGATAACGTCGAAGATTATCGTCTTAAAGTGAACCCGCGTCGTAAAGATCACCACGATGGTAATGATCGACAGGACGATTGCCAGGATGCCCGATATGACGGAGCCATTTCGGGTCGATTGGCACAGGCAGCAGGAATTAAGTAGGGGCTTCGGCATTTTGGCAACTTCTTATTAGATTTACCAACTGGAAATAAGAAAAAATAGATGGAGGTAATTTAAAGGATTTCTTTTTATTTTAAGAACTCAAGAAACATTCTTTTTTTGTTTGTACTTAAATATACACTTCACATGCAAGGGTTAACAACTTCGGCTTTGTCTCTAGTTGTACATTTAATTGATCCGGAATTTGGCATGTGTTTGTACTGAAATGGTGTTATGAAAAAATAAATATTTTTAAGTTATCTTAAATGTTGCTGTAGAAGGAGAAGGGGAAACTTGTCGACGCAATCATGGGAATATGATAATGGGACTGAAAATTTTGGATCGGAACCACGCCAGTAAATTCCCGAATCTTTTAGATTGTGAAAAAAAATTCTCGGAAATGCTTCGATAATTTGTTGAATAATTGTGATTTGATTTTTGTTTCTCAACAGCTTAAAGCATGTTGCCGTATTCAGGCGGAAATGTTCAGGGCTCTCTAACTTCTACACCTTGACCGCTATGGCAATTGGAAAAGTGAAACATACAAAGTCGAACACAAGTTCCCACAATATGACCAGTTGTGACGTCAAGCAGACGAATAAAAATGTTTATAAAACAAATGTGCTTTAAAAATAGAAGGAACGAAGAAAACAATAGACTGAAAGCGTGAAATATGCGCGGGAACGTAAGATTTATATTTAGCAAAGCTCTAAGTTAGATCAACAAATCGAATGAGTAATCACCCGTATTTTAACTGCAGGGATGTGAGCTGGCAGTAGATGGCCAATTCAGCGTTATTACAGTTTGGATTTGGGAAAGTTGATATCATCCGCGCATGCGCATGCGCACACGATCGGCTAACACACGTGTCTACATCTATGCATCTGTGGGCTGCACCCATAAAAAATAGCGCCACCGGGCATTGTCATTAAATTAATCAAACGCTTAACGTGCTTCGGTCCCGGCTGCGGATTGATGTGGCGCATGTCGGCACTTGCAAATGCCGCTGCAGCTGGTTTGCATCCATTGGATGCAGGCGCTTGTATGTCCATGAGATATATCTCATGCTTACATGTGGCTCGCGGCGGTCTTGATGAGATAATAACACGCCAAAATGTCTTGTCTTACATGGAAACACTCTGAATCATTATAGAAAGACTAAGCGGGCTGCCTGGGAAATGCCTTTGGCACACAGAAAAAGTTCAACCAGCAGATACATTTACAGATACTATTTGTAGGCAAAACCCATTTCCGCTGAGTTCACACCTTCACTCAGAAAGCAAACTACAAACAGCGAAAAGACGTGAAGAATCTGGGCAGCAGAAGTGCTACACAAATTGCGCAATTATCAGAGGCGACGGCAAGGGGAGCGTGCCAAAGACCACATGGCATTCTACTCTGTAAGGCAGTTCAAACTTTTTATAGTTTCGTCACTGATAAACCGGGCATATGGCGCATTAACTTGCCGTTTTTCACGCGTTTCGCACGAGTTTTACTCAGGCGATATGTTTATAAACGGAGATTTAAACGGCCACAGACCCCAGAAAGCATTTGGCTGGCTTCTATACTCTGCCATCTTGGATTACTTTCTGCAGACATAGATATGCGATATGTTTTGACCTGGTTAGCAGAACAAAGTAAAGGCACTCGAGATCTCGAATGGCAATTAGGGTCAGAGGAGACTGGGTAATATCAGGGGAATGGGCCTGGGAACCCGATATAGAAGCTATCAGCCCACTCAGTTGCTTAATGGCGTCAATATTCGCATGAACTCATCTAATGGTGACGCTAACTTCCGCCTGTCTCACTCAAAGTGGAATTACTATATGGGCGTGATCCACAGATCGCGGAGTCAAGTTCAAGCCATGGCGTGGGCGACTCTTTCCGAGGAATTCATGCCTCCACTTGACGTAGGCTTGGAGCTGGAAAGTGCTCGAGACTTGACAAGTGCAACTGGCCGCAGTTGTCATTGCACTCTGTAGGTTGATGGAGTTGCTTTGGGGCTGAGTGTGACGGAGTGGGAGTAAGAGTGGTTGGATGCTGCTAAATGTGAAAGGTAAAGTTTGTCAACAAACAAATGGGTGAGAACAGTGAAAGCTCTTTTCCAAACCTGAATATTTTCATAGAATACATTAATAAATTATTAATAACATTAATTTGCTAATTAAAAAAATCGAATTAGAATGAGAGTTAAAGAAAAAGTAGTTTTTAAATGTATTTAAATGCTTTAAAACGGTGCAACATTTTTAAAAAGCTAACAAAAACTGAATTTTGATTAATTAATTAATAAGAAATTGTATAATAACACCAAGTTCTCGACATTACATTTAATAATTGATTTAATTATTAAAGAATTTTTAGCTTGATTTCTTTAAAATTGAAGATTCCCAAGAGCTCGTAAAAATGTTCATACAAATAATACAATGACATAAATGATGAATAATAAAATAAATACTTGATTCCATTGTTTCTCACAAATGGCTTTCAAATTACAAAAATTTTGTTGAGAATAATGAAGCAAACTGGAAAAACTAATTGGAACCCAATAATACATATTTAAAAAAAAAAGTTTAACAAAAGTACTACAAATTATAAATTCAATAACACAATTTTACATTTATCATAAGCCATTAATCAACTGCTGACCCATTTGCCTAGGCCAGCGAAGTGAAAATATTGTCCATATAAATCAAGTCAATTGCTTTTGGCTTATGCTCATGAAAAATTGGTTCAGTCCACAAGCAAAGTCTGGCTGGCAATTGTTATTTTCGTGTGCAATGAGCGCGTGTCCAGGTTTTGTATCTGACAACGGCGATATTGTTTTCGGCATTTATCTGCTGTTGTAGGCCGCAAGCGGATCCAAAGCCAATTATTCTCGGCTTTGCTGTTGTGTTGACTTTATCGCGATTCGAACTTTTGTGACCCTGCTACCCGCTGAACCCCACCAAGCACCAAGTCATTCAACAATTAGTTTGCGCTTCAACGCGTAATTAAGTTTGACATTTTTCTGAGCTACTTTTTGCGCCGAGCACAATTGATACCGAAGACACAAAGCGTTCTGTATCTGCGATGTGGCTGGAAATTGCTCAATCTCCGACAGAAAGTGGGAGCCCGCTTGAGTGGCCGAGTCAGGTTTTTATTTTTTTCGGTCCATTCGAAACCGGTAGAAATCGTTCTTCCAAATTTGACAAGTCCCAAGCACGCGGCATTTTTGGTTTTTTTTTTTATTTATCGGATCACTGCTATTCCAGCTCCCACTTGACTTTTGTCTTCGATTTTTGTCAAATTGCCTTTTTGCTGCGCAGCGAACTTTCAATCACTCGACTTGCCTTATAAATCAATTAAACTCGTTGCAGCTGCAAACTCAATTGCAGCCTTTGAAGTTTTATTTCGCCGACGCAGCCAGTTTGAGATTTTGTAATTACTAGTGGCAGCGGCGCCTTTTAGATGCAAGATACAAATGTGCGCATCCACAAGACACTTTTCGATTCGGCTCCACGTTCTGCTTCTGTCAACGCTATTCAGGGTCAGGGAGGCGCCGACATTGAACGCGTTCAAAAAGTCAATTCTCGAGGATCTTTCGGATTTTCGGCATTCATTTTCCCAGCCAAGCGAAAGTTAACTCATAAAGAGATCGCCCATCAAAATGATTCATTTAAAAGGCGACCGAATAGAAAAATAAAAACACGAAATGCTTATAAATAGCTCGCAAGGTCGTGAGCATTCAACTGGGAGATCTAGAAATATAGAAAATCAACAAAGCCAAAAAAGTTTTGGAACAGCTCTCACAATCTTCGAACAGTGGCATCTGGGGTCAACAGTGGGGTTCGTCCCCGCACTTTTTTTTGCACCTGTTGGCCAAGATTTCGGCGCCACTGTTCCTCTCATTTAACGTAGGTGTGCGAGCTTCGTCGTTTATTCTCTGCCTTAATGTGTTTTTGTGTGCCATGTTTTTTTTGTTCCATATGTATATAAATTCTGACGTTATCTTTTGCCTTGTAAATTGAGTAACCTTCACATTGTTCATTTTTCACTGTTTTTTAACAGATGCGCGTCACTGAACTCTATCAAATTTTATACCGGGATCGTCTTCATTTTCCCTATTAATTACTTCCCAAGAGGAGTGGCCACTTTAAATTCATTGCTCGATTCCTTCATTTGGGTTTGAATGTGATTTTTATGGTTCGCAACTGAGGCGAATAGCCAAAATGTGGCTCAATTGAAACGTATGCCAGTCGCATTACGTATACGCCCCCGCACGGGACTCCGGTTTCGATGGCCTACTTATCCCTAACCCCGCCACCTGTTCAACTTGAGATCTCCCAAAAAAGCCCGAAGAAGGCTTGCAGGTTGTCGGCGATCGCAGACTTTCAATGTCAGTTCGCAATTCTGACATCACCCAGTGCATCGCCTATATAGTCTCGTCGTCTATATAATCGCTGAAAACAGACTGTTTTGTTTTCAATCTGCCAATATTTCTCGACTAATTGGGTCAGCGATCACAAAATGCAAACAAACAGTGGCATTATTTTCCAATAATTAATATGCTGCGGTTTTCAACTCTACCGCCTTGCTGGCGCTCAGAAAAGTATCAGTCTGAAGTTCAGCGATCATTTGAATATTGAAATTGTTGGTGTGCCAGCAGCGACAGCTAAATGAAATTGAATATATTTTGTATAAATAAGCACACACAACCGCAAGGCAGACGAGCAAGCTCGCCTCAAGTCGGGGACTGGCTGTAGATAGGTCTCTGGCTACTGGGGCTACTGCGGCTACTGGGACCACCGCCTCGTCCCTTCCCGAGAAACACTTCTGTTCGATCACATATATGCATATCCACCTCCGGGGGCCAGCTGCTCGCCTGTTATTTCAATTTCGAGGCGATCGTTTATCACTCGATTTGCATGCGACGGCGATCGATTGATCTCCCGATCCGATCCGCCCAATCGGCTGCCAACAGCCTGCATTTCACCGCTGATAATGTCAGTTTCTTGGCACCTAGCCAAATTCACTTACACTTTCTTTTTGTTTTTTTTTTCTCTTTATTTCGACTCGACGGCAGACTGCAGTGCGCGGGCAGGGAAATCGATTTGATTTGGACTCGCAACTAATTAGTATTTGATGTTTATGCTTCCCAGTGCGATTCGATTCGAGGCGATTTCGGTCCGACTTGCGCGCGATTTCGATGTGAGTGCGGCGGGTTTCACGAGGCGACTGAAAACGCGGGCTGCTGCCGCCTAGAGAGACGGCCCCCGATCGCGATTTTGCTCTCGTCTGCGAGCGTTTGTTGACTTTTCCGCTCGTTCTGGCTGGCTGAAAAGTTCTCAAACTTAGGCGCTGTTTTTAGTTAAGACAGCTTTTGCGTGGCTGGCGAAGAGCTTTCTCCGACAGCAGAAACCAGTTAGGCGATTGGCGTTCCGGCATGAAGTTATCAAACACTTGGTCAAACAATGGTGGGGCGATCGGTTACAATGCCTTGCACTAGCCAAGACAAACAAATCAGTGGACGTTCTCATTACCTGGGCCCGACATCCGCGTCTCCCGGGCTGGAGCAGCTCGAGATGTTAGCCTCAGATACCTCGGCACGCCATGGCCCCGTCTGCCTTTTTTGGCCATGTATCGGCTTCTGCACTGAGCCAAATGTCACCTAAAATAGGGCATCGTTTGGAAATTTAATTTATTAGAGTTATTTTGGTGGTACAAAATATGCAGCTCAAAATTACCTTAGGCTTTTGTAAGACTTAACAAATTACTCGCATTTTTACATTTTTGTAACATTGAAAATAAAATGGTAAACGACAAAAATTTATTTAAGAATGTCTAACTTTTACTGTCTTTAAATATTTAAGGAAGTAAAAGTCTTTTTCTTTCATTTTCACCAAAGGTGTCACATTTACATTACTATTTTAAAGAAATTTAAAATTGGATCCAGAGATAATTTCCGTATAATTATATTTGATTTTACTTTCAAATCTTACAGCACTACAGGATAAAATAAAAAAAATCAGGAAAGGATTTTGAAACCAAAAGATTTTGACACCCTAACATTTTGGTGCATTTTCGAATTTATTTTACTACACATTAAAAGGTAAATCAATTTTAATATTCCTTTAACGTTGAGTCTCACAAAAACTTTTCAAGGAAAAGTACTTTGTGTTTCTCAGTGTTCCAGCCGACCGTTAGTGGCCATCTCATCTGTAAAAGGTAAATGCTAGCATTCGACTTATTGGCAACTAGGCGAGAGTTTTGTGGGCCAGTCCATGGCGTGCAGCTACTTTCATATTTATCAAATCATTCCAAGTAACCTTTGTTTATTTCGCCATTTCTATCTGTCTCCTATTGTATGCAAATTTTTTCAGCAATCGGGTTGCTGGTTAAGGCAAGCTTTAATCGGGTCAGTGAATCTGGATAGTGGTTTTCCAGCGACCCATTAATACTCAAGGAAGTGCGATTTAAGGTTTATATTTAACAATCTTTGACTATACTTATGGGGTTGATCTGAGGTTATCCGATTATCAATCTTTGTATCTCTCTCTTCGGCGCCCATTTCTCTGATCATAACTATAAAAGGGTATCATTAGTTTCAGTTAATATCGGCACGAATCGACTGTCATTGTGTGCCATAATCTATATATATATTTTCGTCAAACACAATAATGCATAATCGAGGCTGCTCCAATAATTTTTTTCTGGCGGCTGCATATTATGTTTTATTTGAAAATTTATATATATACATTACAGTAAATAATTTAGTCAGGTAGGTGAAGAAATAAAAGTACTTATTTATCGCACAGCAGCACTGCAATTGAACGAGAACGAAAACCGGAACCGAATCGCAATTTAAATCAAAGTCCTTGGGTGGCACCTATTTAAGTATTGCTATTGCTATGTCGCGTGCTGTACAGCCCGGTAATATCAATGTGTTGTAGCGTTGAAATGTATGCTTGTCTGTTGCTTCGTGTACAATTAAACCATGTGGTCGACTATCCTAGGTCCTGGGGCGAATCGGGGTCTTGGCTGACGAACGACTGACTATATGCCTAAACTGCCTGGATTTGCATTCGGATTCGAAGATCCTGGCAAAACCAGTGGGTTTGGGTTGACTATTTGCTTGGGCCGGCGGCAGCGGCGTCCTCCTTTTTTTTCTGCTTCTCCCGCATCAATTCTGCGTCCCTGGGAAATAAGCGATATATGAATTTGGGTGTTCCTTCTGGATACTTATAACGTTAGATAGAGACTCACCTGGCCTTCCTCTGCTCCACGGTGAGGTTATCCGTGCGCTTTCCCTTGGTGGAGTCCGCCAGTTTCTTCTGGTTCTTCTGGCGTGCCAGGTCGCGTTGGTTGCCGCCTGCAAGGTTGAGCGGTTTTTAATTAGTTAATACGTGTCACCTGCTTAGTGGCGCGTGCTGGGTGATCTACATAATCTGTTGACTAGCCGAGCAGAGAGGTTAGAGGCGCTCACATGTCCTACCGCCGCCCATCGATTTTGCCTGCTCTATATCGGTAAAACCGATGAGGTGGGACTAATCAGCATCTTAGATGCATTTCCAAGGTCTCGAAGATTGCTTTACAGGGGCATTTCCGCCATTTCCTTGTTGTTTCGATGATAAGATACCAATCCACATATTTTATGCATAGCGGACCAACAAAATGGCTCCATGATGCCCACACTTACGTGTCATTTTTAACGCTCGTTCTGGTTTCTGTGCTGAATATAGCTACAATTTGGACCCAATTTTGTTTACAAACTTGGGAAATTCAGCCGCTTAATGTTGTGAATTTTTAAGTTTGAGTAAATCTTGCTTCTTTGCTTAGACGAAGTTGATTTGTTTTTATTGGAATCGGAGATGTGTCAAAAATAGTGAAATAGCACTAGCGCGTCGTGCATGAAAATGTCTTAGCGCGTGGCTCTTTATGGGCAGCACTGGCGAGCTCAAAGTGAGTAGATTTAGTATTTTTGGGCAGTTGAACATTTTCGCGGGCACTTGTTTTTTTTAAATTTTAAAATTATATATTGCCTAGAGTGGATCAGTGCTGCGACCACAGCAAGTATTACTATTTATTTGTTAAGATAATTCAAAAAAATATTGGAAGAACTTTAATGGTTTTACAATATAGTTATATTTTGGAATATTAGGATATATAGGAAAAAAAGGCCGCCAATATGCATGGGTTTTAAATGAAATTCAAGAAGCACTTAAAATTTAGGCATAGGTCTTATATAAATTTGTCTCCTGAGTTTCTTCCAAAACTGGAACTGTATCTCCCTTCAAGATCTTCGAAAATACACTTGCATGTCATGTCGTCATACTCCTTTCTTAAAACCCACATTTCCACAGTGCTCAGAAGAACAAACTTAGTGTGGGCGCTCTGAATAATAAACAAAACTATAAATGAGGTCAACATTTTGGTCTACAAATTACCTCTTTTGGATAATTTTTCGACCAAAGTCCTATGGCAGACAGATAGGCCTTAATAAGCATTCGCCACGTCCAGAACATTTGCGAGTCGCCAAGTTTTGGTATCGGAGGTACAATCACTTGATTAATTTTAAAATCAGCATGGCTTACATCATTAGAGTCCCCCATAATCGAATACTTTACAGATCTGAATAAATTTTGAAAGAAACTAAAAATGAATCTGAGAACCATAAAGACGGAAATATCATTACGATCTAAGCATTGACGGCTGAAATTTTGATGTATATTTCATGTGAAAGATTCTTGCCTGATTTAATTTCAAATACAAATACTAGTTCTCCGTCGACTCAGTTTGATAGATTGGAGGCACGGATTCTTGAACGATAATGATTTCTGATCTGTTCCTGCCCAATATTGCTTATAAAGTTTTAAGAAAAAGTTTCCTTTTTAATCCAGTTTTTACCAATTAATATTAATATCCCCTTTAGCTAAAAATCTTCCTGGCCTCCACTTTCATCCAAATCATCTACCTTATTAAATAAAGACAAAACTAAGATACATCATTCACAAAAATACTTGTGTAGTTTAATAATTAATCTGCGGATATACAATAACATTAACACCTAAATGCGTGGTAGTTGCTTCTCTCCGGGGCTTCTCAGCGGAGGCTAATACTAGGGCTAGGATGCGGATAATGGATGCGGCTAATGGGCGATGGGACGGACGGGAGTGGAAATGGGAGCGGGACTATCTGCGCAGGCAGGGCTCGCAGGTGCCCGGCAGGACGAACGAGGGATGGCACTCCGGGCACTTGGCGTTCTCGCCGAACCACTTGGCGCGCTGCTCTGGAATCTTCAGCTGGAACGAGTTGTACAGATCCCCATTGCTGAAGCCGGAGGCCGCCGCTCCTCCTCCGGGCCCGTAGCCCGTGCGCCCGATGGTTTCCAGGGGAAAGGCGTACTCCGGGATGAGCAGTTGCTTGCGCAGGTGGCTTATGTCCGTGGAGCTGGCCACCACGTCGGAGCGGCGCTGGGCCTGTTCCGGCTGCAGCTTCTCCTCATCCTTGGGCTTGATGGATCTCGAGATGGCCAGTCGGTGGGTGGTGCTGGACTGCTGAGCAGGCGAGGATATCTGCACGGGCTTCTTCTGCTGGCTACCAATATCGTTCAACCGGGTGTTGAATATGTCCTGCTTGCTGGTGACCCCGTAGTCTCCTGTGGTCTCGGGATATTCGCGACCATCCACGCCAATGGGTGGGTCCAACTTGGGCGGCTCAAGGCCGTTCGAGGGCACTTTCCACTCGTAGTAAATGGGCGGCCCCTGGGTGGTGGCTATATCGTGGGGCACAAAGTCCACGAACGGCGGCAGCAAATCGTTGAAGGGCATCTGTGCCGCCGCCGCTGGTGGTGCTGCAGTGCTGGTGGGCGTGGCCAGACGGAAGCTCTGAGCCGGAGCTGGAGTCCGATTGTCGGTCCGTGGCGGAATAGCCACGGTGCTTACCGTGGTGGGCAGTGTGGCGAAGGAGAAGGGCACGCCGGCCAAGGTCGTCGGTCGGCTCACGGGCCTTGGGGTGGTGCTGCTGACCTCCGAGCGACTGGGCCCCGGACTGAAAGGAGCCGCCGTGGATGTGCGAAGCGTGGAGGAGATTGCCCCATTCTGGGTCTGCGGCTCCTCCAGGTTGTAGATGGGGTACACAAAGGGCGGCTCGTAGATCTTCGAGGGGGGCTTGACGAACTTGGTCAACTTGGTGCTGGACTGCTTCGTGCCACGGAATGGCGACTCCGCAGAGTTGAAGTCCGCCGAGGTGTTGTACCGCGTGCTGTGGCTGGTTCCCAGATCGTCCGTGTCCTGCTCCAAAGCCTGGAAAATGGGACGCCGATTGTGCAAGGCCTCTGTGCGCTTGGTGGTCACCACTGGTCTCCTAGTGGTGGTGGTTGTGGTGGTGGTGGTGCCGCGGGTGGTGGTCGTGGCTCGAGTGGTGGTTGTGGCTCGAGTGGTGGTTGTGGCTCGGGTCGTGGCTGTTGCTCGAGTGGTGGTGGCTATCTTGGGCTTGGGAGTGCTGCTGGGCAATTCGATTTGAGGCTCATAAGCCGGCGGCAGGATCGTCCTACTGGGCGGTGGAATGCGCCAGCGCGTCTGCGATACCTGGGGATCCAGCTTGCCCGCACCCGCACCCTTGAAGGATTCGTCGCGTATCTGATTCTGGTTCGAAGTCAGCTGCTGCAAATATTTACATATTTATTTATATTTTAATATGTTAATACTAATTTATTCAATTTTCACAATGTAGTTCGATTTTAAACTTCAAAACATAAATCATTAGCTCTAAAAAGTCACCTTGTATTGGCTTCTAAAGGACTCTCCTGAATAGTCGGGTGCATAAGGACGGTCCAGAAGGTCGGGTCTCGGAGTCCGCAGACTGTTTTCCTCGTCGTTCACAAAGGGCTTGTCCCGCTGACCTGTGGAAGTCTTTATTGTGATATCCTGTTTGAATTGGTGTTATCTGAGTACAAACCAATTAAGAGATTGGCGGCGTAGTTGCTCTCCGCCTTGGAACAGTTCACCATGTACCAGTGGTCGCAGATGAGCATCCGCTGCTGGAAGAGGGTGGTGTTGGGACACGTGTAGCTGAACTGGCGCCCCAGGCCATCGCACATGTGGTACATTTGGCAGCCCGTCTCCACGTCCGCATAGTAGCCTGCAGGACGACCGGCGCAGGAGAAGGACGTCTTCTGCATCAGCTGCGAGGCAGGATTCGCTGCCTGGATGGCATTCTGCGCCTGCAGATAGTAGGGAATAGTAACCAAGTTTCAAATATATATTTCAATGAGTTTTACGGTTTATAATCAATTAAAATTAATCAAATAGGTTTTTAATGAGTATATGAACCGAGCCAAAATTCAAGTTAAAGACTAATATCGTATTGATACAAATTTCCTGGATTTATATACAGTGTTTACTAAACATGCAAATTATTCTAAGCATATAATCACATAAATGTGCACCGAGAATAATGGGTTTTTTTCTTCATACCCAATAAAAATTTAAACTATTAATAATGGTGTTTCATAAAATCATAAACCTTTATGATGCATTTATTTTATTAGCTATTATTGCACCCTATTGTTTCTGAATTTAATTCGTGCTGTATAGTGCCCACTTGCAAAAGGTATTAAGTTGGTACTGCATACAAAAGGGAGATTCATGATTTCATAGACTTTTTGGAATGCTGGGAAAATAATTTTCACGGACTTGGCGGAAGCTTCTGCACATGTTCACACATACTCCGAGTAGATCCAGTGGCAGATTTCGATAAGTCATTGGGCTATAATTTGCGGCTGCCGACGTGAAATTTTTTCATTATAATTAAACGCGGCATAGAGAAACAGCCATTTCCACAAAAACCGACTAAAAATAAAGTTGACATTTCACACAGCAGCACAGGTCGACTGTTGCAAGAAGCCGTGGCACCATGTGCCAAGTTATGACATCGCGTCAATTCATCACTTCTGGGCCCAAGTCGGGGTAGCTTCCAACCTGTGGCTCATAGTCCCAGCTCCCAGCTCCCAGCTTCCATCTCCCAGCCCGAAGCCCAAAACGTAAAACTTAAGTCTTAGTGCAATCACACATGCTGGGCACGAGTACTCGCTGATATTGATCTCCGCGTCATTTGTTTCGCTACTCCAAAAGTCTTGGGTCTGAGAAAGCCCCTTCGAAGGTAGCCAATTACAGATTATGCTCGGCATCCTAATCTCCCCAGTGGATCTTACAGATGTGATTTCCTTTCACTCTGACAAAGCAAACAATCACTTGATGCCACTTCTGATTAAATGTTGCATGGCTTAAGAATTATTTTTAAGAGTGAGAATTCATTACTGTAATTTTCATTTATAAAGTGGAATAAATCGTTGTGTTATAGAAGAAATTAAAATATAACCAACGTATGACCTCGAGTAATTCAATAACACTACAATTATTGTTTAATAGGTCGATAGCAAAACCAACATATATAAATATTATAAATAAAACTCTTCTTACACTATTCCACTAAATGTACAATCTTCAGAAAAATAAAGCAGAAATGCAGTTTTTTTTAAATCTGATTTATAAAAAGGGAAAATCAAATTGTTTTACGAAACTAGTTTCTGATTGCCATTTAATAGTATTCTATTAAAATGACAATAAACTACACCTCGTCATTTAATATAACTAATTGCAAACAGATTTTGGGGTTTCGTGTTCTCCTTTTATCCTCTTTCACAATTTACGACCAATTTTTTTCAAAAGATTTCCGAGCGATGGAGTCTCAATTTAGAACACAGTCCATAACTTTATTTTTTTGAAAAATTTTGGTATTTTTACTTAAATTAGCTCCTTTTGAGGTCATGTGATTGTCCCTGACTAGAAGCTTGTAAAATTAAATGGAGCTTTCCCTTATTTGGTTGGCTTAACGACACAAATTACTGGATTTGCGGGGCATTAATCTGGATTGCAATCAGCCCAAATACGACAGGGAAGTACTTAAGGAACGAAGATTGTGCAATCCCAAAGACACAAGCCAAGTCCCAGATGCGGTTTCAATTTCACGACTCTGTTTGTGTTTTTTATTTCGGGTAATTTGCCATAATTTGAAACGCTCTTCAATTTCATTTCAGGCATATTTACGGGCCGCTCTAAACACACATTCTGCGCCCAGTTGCCCACTCGTCCGTTACATAACAGCCTCAGCTTCATCCTCTCGACTTGGGTTTCGTTTTAATTTCTTGTATGCAAATAGCGAAAACAATCAACACACTATTCTCCCCGTTGTTCGGGGCTGCCGGTGTGTGTTCCATTTCTGCAAAAGTGTCAGACGAGTTGGAAAAAAAGGTCACTTGGTCAGCCGAGTCTTTTGTTTTTAATATACCTCGAGACCTTTGCTTGGCTGAATCATGTGTGCCGGGGTGTGTGTGAATTGTGGATGCACTCGCACACATAGAATAAATTAAAAATGAAACAAAGCGTAAAGAGCGCAAAATTACAACATTTTCCGCCGTTGCTCAAAAAGTGTCTTGGGAAGCACTGCGGTGGCAAAGACGGCCAAAATGTCGGTGGAGCACCGGCTGATCTCCGCAGGGGATTTATGGCAGAATGAAACCCCTGGGCTAACTCGCTGCTGCCAATTTAAACTCTCATAAGCAGCCTGTTCTAAATAATGCTATAGCTTTCCGACAGTATCACATAACAAGCTTTAATTGGATGTATTTAATCGCATTTTAAATATTTTGTTCACCGCAATCATTGGCCTCGCTTCACACTTAAACGAACACACATAACTACTCAATTTCGTTCAATTTTTACAACCCATTAAAAATTAATCTTGCGCATGAAGTTGTTTAAATTTAAATAACAATATTTAAGAATAGTGACGCGCAACTACTTATTTAGTTTTACTTATCAAGCTATTAATTGCAGAAATTGTTAGATTGTTGTTATTGTCTTAATTTATAATCATTTTATAAGCTCAAATAAAATGTAGTATTTAAATCGTTACTAAAAAGTTGTTTTCTCAATTTTGCTTTTGATTAAGTTAGGAATTAGTTATTACTTTCGTGTCACACCACTGACCAGTGGACCAGTGATCACGTTTCGAATAATGATAATCACAGTCTTAAACGGATTACCATTTCTGGAGATGGTTTCATTGTTGCGGGACAGGTGAAAATTATTGTAAATTATATTTATCTAAATATGTTTCTGAATGCCCACTTAGTTGGAGCTTCATTAGCATTGATCGTACAAGTGCTTACGATATTTTAGCAATTAATTATTGCAATCTTCGGAAGGAAGATAATAAGCACCTTCGAAGCACAACAAATACGGCGTTTAAATATTTATACAATTCCGCGATTTGCATTTCAATGCTCTCTCACGTGCACAATCGGCGTCGGAATCTCCGCCGGCATACCTTTCGAATTCCCCGATTATCCAGCCCCCGGCTAAGGGTAGATGTCAGACTTACCTCACTGGCCAAAAATATCGCTGAGCAGAACAAAGCCAGGGCCAAAAGTCGCGAATGCGTTGGGATAATTTGCGCCAACATTTCGCCGATTGTTCTCTCTGGGGAATGTCGTCGGGGAATTTGGGAGGGGGTTTCGATGGAGAGCTTAAAACTGAAAGTTATTAATAAGTTATTGAATGAACGCTGGACAATTGATGGGAAAGTGCAGACAGGCCCTAAGTTGGCGCTAATTGCCTTATACAATAGCTCGCATCTTAACAGCCATTCCATTCCATCCACCCATAGCATAATAATTCCAGCCATACGTCTTTTGTGCCCAGCCTTTGCGTAACCGAAACATTGATTACCTTAGTAATAACTTTCCCAAAAATATCTCCCCATAGGTGCTTATGGGCGATAATGATGTGTTTTGTTGTCACTGACTAATTTTCTTCGTTTCCATCCGTTTGTTCGATTCAACGCCTTCCTAATGAATTGTAATTTGAAAAACATTAACTTCTGTAGTTGGTGCCGCTGTATTGGCTGACAGAATTTGCAACGCTGCCGCTGGCTGGCTCTTCCCCTGCCACGACCTCCACCTACAATTCGATTCTGCGACCTTGCCACTTGCCACTCCACTCCTCGCGCAAAAAAGTGGGCATCTGTGGACAACTAGTCACACCGATAAAACTGTCAGTCGCAGTCGCAAACAAAGCTCCAAAATGGAAAATGCACTTTATGACCATTTATAGTATCCAAATTGGTCGAAATTGAGTTGTCCAGCAAAGGCTCTTAACTTTATGAATATCCGCTTGGGTCAAGAGCGTGTTTAGTACGTTTACGAGGGTATTTACAAATGCCTGGTATGGCAAAAAGTTATCTGCCTAGAACAAATTTGGCTAGTTTCAACACTTCTAGTCTTGCCTCGCAGTATCGGTAGATCGAATGTCTCTTAAGATTTTTATTTAATTTTGTCGATATTTACTAACAGCTTCATCACTTGGTTGACACAAATAAACAAAAAAAGATAATGTCAGAGAGATAAAGTCAAAAATGTGCACTTTGCTGCCAACTTTGTTACTTGAACTTGAATTTTTAGAAGTAAAAAAAATATTAGCATTTTAAAGCTTTGAAGCTGGTAGTTACATTTCTTGTTTCCCTCTTTGTCTACCAACCAAAAATAAAAAATGTTGAAATGAATTTTGAAATCCAAGGTTAATCTAATTTTGTATATTATTGATGATAGAGAAATGCTTTTTGAGAAATAAGTTTACATTGGCAATAATCGACCAAATGAATGTTTTTAAGGTAGTTTTTTTTCGATAGGAAGACATGCATACGGTCATAAATGCCCAAAAACTATGGTAATAGGCTAGTAAGTATCTGATTTCATGGAATTTCATTGTAATGCTAGATGATGGGCTTAGATTGACAGATAGATTAATATCAAACAAAAAGAACCGTCCTTGTAAATTTGAATTCAATTGTAATTTTAATGCAATAATTACTTTTGAATGGGCAATCAACTTGACAAATTAAAAAGCATTAAATGAACTACTAGCAATAGATAAATTCTTTCCATTAGGATATGGTCGTCCATTTAAACTACCATTTAAGCGCACTTTTTGCAATTAACTTTACAGGTAATTGAAATCTTTTCAAAGGCATAAATGCTCGGCCATATTACGGCAACGTCGTCGTGTAATTTATTAGGTTAGCAAGTCTGTACATCATCTCGTAGAGCTCCAAAGTTCAATTGCCCAATAAAATCTCATACTTTTCAGCTAACGAGATCATCTGTCTCAATGCTAACCGCAACATTTGTGGCAAGTTGTGGCCAGCAGCCATTCGAGCCAAGTGCGTGTGGCAGCAGCAGAGCATCACCAAAAAAAAAGCAACGCGAATAATGCCGAACTGGCATCTAGTTTGGCGGTTTTTCCTTGTCTTGACCTTTTTGACAACGGAAAATATTTACCGCTTTATCCTCCTCGGGTTGAACTCGTGATGCTGGTTGCAGTTTTATTTCTTGGCTGCTTTTTTTCGTAAGTTGCCTTGTGGCCAGCAAGGCGAAGCCTATTTGACATTTTTGCCAGCCATTTCCACTAAAAGAGCATTGCGAATCTAACTCGAAGATGCTCAAGAGCCGCAACGGCAACGGCAAATAATAGCGGCCGAAACAACAGCAGATACAGCAACAATTATGCCAATTAGCTGGCATTACAGGTTGATTACGGCAGGGCCAGGCCGTAGTTGGCCCAGCCATAGTTGGCATTCTTCTAATTGTTTTCCCTCGGACCCGGACCCGAGCCCGGACCCCCTACTGGATGGATGCGGAGGAAGCTATTGAGATGCAAGCCGATCGGCGGGCTCACCTTCGCCCGCGTCGTCGTTGACGGAGTCTTAAATTGTACAAACTAATTGTCGCCGTAGGTGGTGTGCTAAAATATATTCCATATGGTCGCGGACCTCTTCACACAGTGCGAGGTGATTCAGTGCGATGTGATCTTTGCAAAGATCAAATGTCAGAGACAGCAGCCGAGTTGCATCGGGCTGCATCAATTGCAGTGGCTCCAAACAAAGTCAAGAGCACTCGCACACCGCCGCACCAAATTGGTTCGCATAAATTATTTGATATACTATAGGCATGCCATCAAATCAACACTCTAGCACTCTGTTTCACAGTCCTTTCGGATGGATCGCGCCTACAAGTAACTTTGGATCTCGTAAGTGAGGGTTTAGAGTTCGCCGGATCGAGACAACCGCTTCGTTCGAAGACGCGCTTTCAACTGAAGCCTCCGAGTGCACCCAGCTCGGTTTAAGATTCACATTAGGCCGCCCGCTACAGCCAAAGTCTCGTCTAGAGAAGAGCCAAGCCGAGCTTCGTCATCGCCGCACAGTGGGCGACATGGACGCCCACGTGCGTGAGAGAAAATTCTGTTAATTTGTAAAGAAATCTATGCAAATACGTACTTTCGAATGCGGCCAAATAAGCTTAAGAATTGGACAAGAAGCTTTAGGTCTTAAGTCCCCATAAAACCATAATATTAATGTGTATTACGACCTTGTTGACACACACCACTGTGCCAAATCAAAAGAATTAAAGCCATAATATTCAACTTTGACAAATCTTCGCGTTCACTTAACGAAGTTCAGTAGAGTTCTGAAACCCTATGTACTTAATTTAAAAATCGCAGTGGATTTAGATCTTGGGTCCCATAAAAGCCATTCCACTATGCCATGTCTTCTCGGCTAGTTAACATAGCTTAAATTTTAAAGTTTTAAATCCGGATTCGTCTTAGAACTTAGGCCCCAAATAAAGCTAGAATATTAAAATACCTTTTTAGATATTTGTTATATATGAATAATTTCGAAGATTTGAACTCGTAGTGGCTTCAGCCTTAATGTACATTTACCTTTCAATCCAGGTGCCACATACCACTGTGCCAAATCTTCTCGGCCAGTTAACGAAGTTCAGTCGGGTTTTTTTTTAAGACCCAGCCAGCAAAGCGTTAACATTGCAGCTTCATTTTCATTTTCAGCTTGATTCTCAGTTTCAATTTACCGTTAACAGCTTCGTTTTCGTTTTCATTGCACGTTATTAGCATTTGCAATGCCACCGTTTAGGGAAACCCTTCACCCACTGGTGTTTATTTGTCTAATTTATTGGAACGTTTACGTTACTTGGTAGTGGTGCTGGCACTTTGGCAGATGGGTATGCCGAAGCCGGAGCCGAAGCAGGCAGAAGTGGGCTAAATAGAGCAATCGAGCGGGCCAAGAGATCTGAGCCAGATTGGGCGGCATATTGCGAAAGCATTTTCCCCATCTCAGATTCGCTGGATGTCTGCTGGCTGGGTCTTTTGGCGGCATCATTGTCAGATTTCTGGCGGCTGGGTTTTGTAAGCGAAGATTTCCATTTTCCATTTTCATCTTCGTTTTCGATTCAAGTCGTTTATTTACTCCTCAAAGCCCTTTTGTCGTGAAGCCAAAAAGACGAGAATCGCCAACGGTTTGGCGCACTCAGGTTTTCATCGCAGTCGTGTGTTGCCTCATTGAGTTGCCAGGTTTTCTATTCGCTGGGCGTTGCGTTCCACCCATCCCCATTTTACCATTTTCAATTTTTCGTGACGGACCTGGGAGGAAGTCAAAGTCGAAGTCGAAGTCGAAAGTGTCGAGAGTCAATCGATAGTTTATTTTTGTCGTATTTTGTTTGCTGCTGTCAAAAATAAAGAAAATAACATGTAAAACGCTGTGTATGCACGTTGTAACCCGGAATTTAGATAGTTATCTCCTGGCTATCTAGGGCTCGCCTAAGTGGACTGAGCACTCGGTCCATCCTGGACCCCCGGCTTCTGCTCCTGGCTCTTCATGTCCAGCGAATGCTGCTGGAAGTCCGCCAGGATGCGGCTCTCGGGGATGTCCGTCTCCACGCGGCTGCCCACGATGTCTATCTCACTATCCTTCTTATCAAAGAAAATGTCAATAATAATGCGCACGCCTGTGGTAAAGATAAATAGAATTGATCTATGAATTGATTTGAACAATTAATTTGCCTTCGCGCTTTTCGTGTGAATGTTCTTATTGTTTTTAAGGAATATTAAAAGTTAAATATATTTAATATAAAGCAAAAAAAAGATATATTTCTTAAAAACACATTTATGACAAATAAATCAGGAAATTTTAATTTATTTTAGAGTATTAAAAACCGACTACCAATACGATACTAATAAGCTACTTTACGATAAACTATTTATATTCATGGAATTTGAATGAAAAAACCGTAAATTGATATATGTAAGCTAGCAGATAATATCTAAGATTTAAATTTGAGAAGAATGTTAACAAAGCTGAAAGAGTTCTTTACTGAATATTAATATTCATTTAAGTTGTAGTCTAAGATTCATTAGATTCACTTACCCTGATTTGTGCGTCGAATGGTGGTTTTGCTCTGGTAGGTGTTTTCCACCTCGTTGTTGTTAGCCGGATTCTCATGGCGCATCGAGCACTGGCCGTCTCTGGTGTTAAAGTGATTGGTTAGTGGAAAACAAAAGCACCTCGGACTGAACCCTCACCCTCCGTTAAGGGCGCCCTTCTCCCTCTCCTCCTCCAACGACATGTTGCAGCAGCTGCTCTCGTAATCGCGATCCGCCACCTCGTCCTCCTCCGACCTTGAGCTGGTGCCGAAGTAAATGGACTTGGCGTGCTCCAGTTCCTGGTTCTTCTGCGTGGCGAAGTTGTACAGGTTGATCATGTCGCGCACGCGGATGGGAGTGTCCTTCCGCTTGCGAGTCCCTGTCTGCGGTGGAGTGGTCTGGAGCTGGGATGGCGATGGGAGCTGAGTCTGCTCCTGATCCCGCTCGGCTTCCGGACTCTTGGTGGCGCCATAGGTGAGGCTGCTGCATTCCTCCTCAACGGTGTTCATGGCGATTGCGCTAATGGTTCCTATCTCTCCCTAAATCAAATATAATCACTGAAAAAGGCCTCGAACGTTTCTTGTGGAATTCAAGACTTCCGATTTTTGTTGTTGTTCGAAAAATTCCTTCAACCTTTGTGTCTGTGGGAAAGTAATAACTAACTCTGAATTCGTTTCTGACAATGTCAACTGAATATGACCTTTACATCATGGAGATCTTTGGATCGTGTGTGTGTGCTTCATGTGGGTCTGCCAGCAATTCGTTAGCAATTACAGTAACGAAATGTAAATGTAATTCATCTTCGAGCTGCCGAAGACGAATCGATGGAGGGCGACCTTCAGTGCGGCAATCGAAAACCGAATTCGATCGATCGCATGATTGATCCCACAGAGGGGGCAGTGATTGAGGAAGGTTCGGTGATTAGTGAAATTTGAGCCACACGCTGAATGCCAATGGTATTGTCTTAGAGCGGATTTAATGCAAGTTTTTTACTCACATTTTCCCCGTTTCTTACGGGTGTGAGTGTGTGCATGTGTGTGAGTTATTAATATTTTGAAATGGGGTGAGCAATGACTTGCCGTTGCCACAGAAGCAGCATCATCGTACCAGCATCATCAATCGGTAGCTCGATAGCGGCCAGCTGGAGGTCCATTTGACACACCATCCAAAATAAAAAATCCGATTTTAAGGTCAATCAATAGCCAGCGACACTTGAAGATTGGCTCGAACACATCTCGAGATTCGCAATCAGCGGTGATGGTTCGGGCAAGGTCTGCGGCCCGGGAATGCACGGCTCTGATTAAGATTGTAAACAAAGGAAGGCAATTCAGCACCATCTTCTCTGCTGACAAACACAAACAAGTCTGACAAGAGTAATTTGGTCCAAAACGGTACAATAGTTATTTTATTTGTTATGATTTGATTTTTTAACAAATAATGATTCATTGCAATTTTAATTTGACCTTTAAAAGAAGCTTTTTAAGGATGATATACAATTTTTCAACTCCTTTTTAAAATACTTTATGGCGTACCAGCGTGCAGTCTAATTTAACAAACTAAACGATTCTAAGAATTCGACGAATGTTTAGTAAAAAAGTTGAGATGAATCCCCTTTTAATAAATCTTGAAATTCATGTTCACTTCAACATTCTAACTTTAAATTCAAAATTCTTTATTTTTTCAGGCACACAATTAAATTGGGTAATAAATCTCCGCAGATTATGATTCTCCAACTATGTTTTGTTCCCAACAAATAATTTAGTCACATTGGCAACATTTTTAATAATAACAAAAGTTTCGTAACACAGAGGTTGGCCCAACATTGTGACTAATGGCGGCTTGATGGGGTGATAATGCATTGTAGAACTGCCAAAATTAATTTGAGCTCGGTGTGGGAGTTCTGGCTCCCGTGATCGACATTCTTTGACTTTTAATTCTTACATATCACGAACTTGGAATTCGGCTCTGCTCTGCTCATTTGTGCAATTAGCCGCGATGTCAAAGGGGTTCACTCCAGTCATGGCAAAAGAACAGTGAGAAGGTGTGGGACCCACAGCAGAATTCACACAACAAAAGTACGTATGTACATAGGTGTGTCATCATCATCATCTCGGGCTGTGATTCCATTGAAGGTCGATGAGCCACAAACAACATTTGTTTCTGCCATTTATGCTCACTGAATCTTTCGCTCTTTCTCTTGGCTTGAAAGCCCCCTGCTCTCCGCCCACTCGTGGGCTACACATGTTTAATTGCCAAATTGGTGCAATTCCACATAATTCATGCCGATAGTTGGAGTCGCCACTCAGTCAGTTCTCCCCTCGCAGAGCTGATTGCTTGGCAAGGTCCCCGCATTCAGTTCCAGTGAAGAGCTTTACGACTTGGCCAATAAAGGCAGCTCGTGGGGGGAGATTCACACGTTTATTAAGCGGCATGATCTGCTCCGGCAGAGTCGTGTTGCGAATTGAAATCGAAAGTGGAGCGGCTAAGCACACATAATTGATAACGGCGAGTCTTATGGAAATTATTGCGCATACGCACTGTGACTTCGAAAAGAGTGCTAAGAGGTAAGGCAAACACCTCTGCCACCGACGGCTGAAGAAGTAGCTCGAAATGTAGCCGCATCCGGTCGCAGGCAAAGTGGCAATTTCGGCTGCGAGCTGCTACAAATTTGTCAAACCAACAATGCAGCAAGGTCACTGGTTGAGCGATGATCACGTTCGCGTCCGGCGTGCGGTCAGCTCTGCCATATCATTGACCTTAAGTGACGAACATGAAGAGCAATGAATAAGCCGAGATTATCACCTTTGCCAGCATTTTATTGCACTTACACAGGCAGCCGCCAAAAACGGATTTGAAGTTCAATTGCAGGCATTTGTGATGCTCCAGCTTCTTAGGCCCCACTCTCCAAATCGATCTCCATCTCGATCTGCCGCGGACCTACCAAGACGCCCATGGCACAATGTACAACACGACTATTAAAGGTCAAGCTCCAAAGCCAGCAGTGCAAACGACAACAACGGCAACACAAAGATGAATCCAAAAAAGAAAAAAAAAACGTTAAGTAAATCAAAGTAAACAAACGGCGCACTTTGTTAATTGTTGAATTTATTTCTATTTCAGTTCGAGTTTCTCTTGCTTTTGTGACTGCAATCTATTAGAAAATGATCTCAAAGATGCGTCAATCGAAAGACTCAAGACACGAACTGGCCACAAAACAATAAAATGACCATAACGGCGGAGTTAACAAGCAATATATATTTGAATAGTCATACACCCTAGCCGGGGAGGTTATTGGGGGGCTTATTGACACTTCGGCTGCCTCTTCAAATTTCCTAAACAGAGCATCGGATATTTGTGGGCCAACTGCCATTCACTTGCTGCCTCGACTTCTTCTGTGAGGGGTTGTTCTGAAATGCCAAAAAGGTAGCATACACGTTCATTGTTTCCCATTGCTGCTGGCAGGCGCGACCTTCACTTGGCAATGGAGCAATGGAGGAGCAGCTCCTAGCCTCAGGTTGCCCGGAGGGCATTCAGCAAACCCAAGTCAAGTGCGCGGCAGCCTCTTCAACAATGAAGCCATCAGATCGACAAATATCTTCAATGTGAATTTGGTTCAACGGTTCAATTGTATCGCACATAGGAACTGGTGTGAGTGATTAATTGGTTTGCTTTCGAGGCTCAAAACACACACTGGATATGTTGTGTTTGGTCTTGGGATAATTCGAATGAGTACGGCTGCAGAATAAATCATTTAATATATAGCGTAAACAAGGCAGCCCACATTGGATTGCTTACTATTCAAGTTGAGTTTGGGGCGCTCCCGCTTCGCCGGATGATTATGCTTTTGTACTCCGTGTTAGTCTTCAAATCTGCGCCCCAGCATCTGATGAATGCTTTCCATTATCTATAAAGCCAGGAAAATATGATTGTTAGGTGTCAATCAAAACTTTGTGTGCCGCGTGTGTGTGCCACGTTGTCGTTGTCAATTAAAGGCAGTAAAGTCTCCAATTAAGTTTGGAGATGGTAATGGCTTGCGGTTGAATGGCAATTGCTCCATGGAAAACTGAGATTTACTATTGTTACACCTTGGAAAACCAAGTGCTTACAGATTGGGAAGACGCGAGTCGCCTATTTACAATACGATTTGTATTATATGGGTTCCTAAATACCATAACCCTATTACCCATTACCTAACGCTGAAAAGCTTTTACCCAGAGAAAACACAATTTACACGGTAATTTGACTCTTTCTTGTCAGTTAAATCTGACAATTGACAGGATGGAAACATTACTTGGCATTTTAGTAAAATGCTATCGTAACATCATCTCTAAATCAAAATGTTTAAAGAATGTTAAAATTTAAATACAGAAAACTTTTTGCTTGACTAAAACTACTTTCGAAGAAATTAGTCAGCCATTGAAAATTAGAAAAACTTAAAACTACATATAAGCAACTAAATTAGAAAAACAAGAAAACATTTTATTTTGTGGTATACTTTTGAGATGACTCTTTCAAAGTCTTTTTTGTGGCATACTTTTGGTCAAAAAATAGAAAACGTTAAGCAAGGTTTGATTTATATTTCTTACTTGTTATGCAGAAAAACCGAAGTTAAAATTCCTAAGCCCTTATTTGTTTACTCCTTATCAGTTATAAGTATTGCAAGCCATCTTGCCACACCACTGAGTCGACGGCGTCTTCGCAGACGACACCCTGTAGACTTATGGATTCTCGGCCGTGATAGACATGGGCATCTCCTATAACCACCATCCTGATAAACTTATGACCTGCTATGACCACAGCTGATGAATGGAGCACTCGCTACCCGCTTTTTGGGATCTTTAGAATTCATTTGACAATACAAACAAGGTCCATCATTGAGTGGCGTGTTTAACAAATATATAACAAAACAAGAAAGGAAAGTTAACTTCGGGCGGAGCCGAAGTTGATATACCCTTGCAGAATACTCTGTAAATTATATTCTCCAAAATTATTCATATGATGCATTCTTAATACTCTTAAAAAATCCCAACTTCCTAACATTAAAAACACCAAAGTTGTGGCATTTTCAATCGTTCAGTTATATGGCAGCTATAGGATATAGTCGGGCAATCCTTATGAAATGGTAGGTCGGATTGATTGGCCAAAAATAAAACCCATAGAAAATCCCAACTTCCTAACTTTACAAACACCAAAGTTATGGCTTTTCCGATCGTTCAGTTATATGGCAGCTATATGATATAGTCGCCCGATACGGCTCGTTCCGACTTATATACTACCTGCTATAGAAAGACAACTTTTGGGAAAGTTTCAAGCAGATGGCTTTAAAACTGAGGGACTAGTTTGCGTAGAAACGGACGGACGGACAGACGGACGGACAGACGGACGGACAGACGGACATGGCTAGATCGACTTTCCTGGTGATGCTGATCAAGAATATATATACTTTATAGGGTCGGAAATGTCTCCTTCACTGCGTTGCAAACTTTTGACTGAAATTATAATACCCTCTGCAAGGGTATAAAAAAGGTTATAAAATTGATGTCTTAATCAGACATGAGGTAATAAGCCTGGTGTTCCGTTTTTATTTAAATGAAGTAACAAGCTTCTTTACCTTTGACCCGAATCTAAAAGTTCGATTTTTAAATATTTTGAGTTATGAAAACTGGA